ATCTCGAGGACTTCGCTATAATTAGGCTACTTGAAAATAACAAGCATCCAATATAATCTTAAGCAGTTGCAAAGACTAATTGATATCTGCCAAAATTTGACATGTATATAACATTAATCTTGTTTAAAATATTTTATGTACTTTCTCAAATAATTGTTTTGTTTTTTTACTGCTAAATAAAATATAAATTAATTAAAAAAAATATCATCGATGTGTATAAAGGCAGTAGTTAGTAATATACATCTTTATTCTGGTATTCAAATGGTCAGTTAGTGCATTTCACTATATAAAGTTCAAAGTTCAAAGTTCTTTATTTTCCAAATAAGGGCCCCTGAAGGGACATAATGACCATAGCACGCAGTACATTATCATGCATAAAACATAAACATAAATGGAGATAAAAATAAAATTCACATAAAGTGGATGAGACTATCATAGAATATATATCATACATATGATCATATAAAATTGCACAACATGAATCTTGTTATGATTATTATTATTTTTTTCTAAATTAGTTCAAATACGTCAGAGTGCCAATACAAATATTATAACCATCATATAGTTTGCTAACAGAGGTACACCTGGTCTCTTATCCAGAAAAGCAAGTTAAAGGAATAAATAAGTCAAGTCACTAGAATGGAAAAGAGACCAAGGTCAAATGCACTTGGACATGTTAGCAAGTGTGTTTTCAGACACCGTACGATATGCAGACAAACTCAATCCTTCTATTTGAATGATCTGCAAAAAGATGTGTTATTTCTATGTGACGTCATCAGACATGGTCGCCTTTTTTATGACTTCACAATATGAAATTCAGAGGAAAGCAAGAAAATTTGACATCATAATCGAATTTTGACCAATGAAGAACTGAAATCAAACGAATCACACGTTGATTAAATAAAAATAATCAACAGGTCAGGAAAAGGATAAATCGTGTAAGAATAAGGGAAAGATATATATATGTATTTGTCTCGAAAAGCTTTTATTTCAGCGTTATCAAAAATGAACAGATTATGATATTCATCCCCTTATCTCGAATGCCAAAATAAATGTTTATTCTTCTTTTTTCTATGCCCGATCATCTTCCAGTTTCTATTGATTTTTCTTTTTAATTTGAGCATTTTAACTTTCAAACATATAAATTATCTACATGATTTACTTCCAAAATGAAAGTATTATATTGACAATATGATACTTTCATGGTTTCAATCATGTATAACCTTTCATTTTGTGAAGAAGAAAAAGAAGAAAAATCCTCACGCGAGGAAACGTATGGTTGCGAAAGACAGAGTCGGATGTATTGATTTCTTAGCATTGTAGATGATACATTTTGTTGACAAAATCCAAAAAAGTCAGATTTGCTAAAATAAAATCATAGTGCTATACCAAGAATATGAAAAAATGAAAAGTTTATATTTGCAATATGGCATAAAACAAAATATATCTGCATTCATAAAGAATATATAGAAATAATGCTGTCGCGACTCAATTGTTTCACCTACATAATTTCGTAATTCAGTAGACCATGGAAGTATTATATTCATTTTACTTCCACGAGTAAGCTGACAAACTAATACATTTCTTTTATTTCTATCAATATAGAAATAGAAAAAAGCAGAGAATAAGGTAGAGCAAAACAAAATGATTTTGATAATATCCCCAAATAAAAATAAAATCTCTAAATTCTAAAAATTAGAAATGCAGAAATAGAAATATTTATACAATTGTCAATCTATACACGTGAAACTGTGAATACTCTAAGCAATACATTAATAACTTATAACAACATAAATAGAACACTACATGTATATGAAAAAATGTATCTTATCAAAGCGCTTGAAAATTTTAATATCACTCACATAAGAAATATGAAGGCGGATTTGTTCGCATAAAACTGTTTTGGAGATACGGTTTCAACCTGGTTGGATTTTGTTACCAATACAATAAACAGATTAATGCCAAACATATATAATATGCAAATCCAATAATCAAATCATTCAAACCAGCGATTATTTCATATTTGGTATGTTGTATTACCTTTTGGAAAGAATTTTTGAAAAGACTAATGCCCCTATTAGAATAAACCACTGTTTTATGGAACATAACACAACAGTTACATTAAAATCCATACCAGCTTTCTTCTGCTATAATACCTTGATAATGCAGATAAAACGTGCATATTAATTATTTTATTAATTCTCTTTTAAGCCAAACAGCCAATTAGGTTCACGTGTTGCATTTCATTTTTAAATGAAGCAACTTCAATGGTATCTTAAATCCATTTCCTCTTTCTTCTTGGCAGTTAACGAGATCCGTTCTTTCTTCTTGGCAGTAAACGAGATCCGTTAGGTTTTTCGAAGTCGTGCTGTGATATGATCTATAAAATACAATAAGTGCAAGGCTGGTGAATTCTTTATCGCGTTACACGGAACCACAACACGTCTCGTTTATTTTTCTTTGTTGATATTTAATGATTTTATGGAGTAATCTTAGCTGTTTTCATAAGTTGTTGTACTTGATATGCAAATGATTTATTAATTACTAATGAATAGTATGCATGTGATTTATATGATTAATATGAAATCATAGGAAGCGACTCAACCCTATATACTTTTTTAGTATTCACCAATGGAATACAATATTTATTTTGGACGAACGAAGAGTTGGGAGAAAACATAAGTTTCATAGCTCTTTTTATCTGAGACACCAGCCTGGGGTGTTGGCTCCCTGCCCGACGCGAAACAGAATTGGACCAGCATCCCAGACTATTTTAAAATAGAATTACTTCCCCTTTTCAAGTTTTATTTCAGATCTAAAGAAAAAGAAAAAAATATCAACAAAATCAGTAAATATGGCTTGATTAATTTTGCGCCGGGATATTTCGTCACAGCTTGTAGCATTTTGACACTGTCTTTGATGTCAAATATATGTCGATGAATATGTCTTAAAAAACTACAATTTTATACTAAACTAACATGCAAAGTAGCTGTTAAATACCGCGTCGACCTTTTTTTTTATCTTTTGTTAATTCTGCAATTCAAATCCTCAGAGTGACGCTTAAGCGATTGATTTTGTTTTTGTTCATTTTGGAAATCGTTGATTGTGATGAACATAATTACTTCGGAAATTATTTGTGAATCCATATTACCGTTTTGCTAAAAAAAAAAAAAAAAGAAGAAAAAAAAAACAGGACACCAGAAGATGAGAAGGTGGTATAAATTTGAATAAGGCCTGGCAATCTTCGAGTTGCGAAAATGAGGTCCATATCGATAAAAAGTAACAATCTGACTATGCTGTTCGGTGTGAGCCAATGCTCCGTGTTGAAGACCATACTTTGACCTATAATGGTTTACTTTTATAAATTTTTACTTGGATGGAGAGTTGTCTCATTGGCACTCATACCACATCTTCTTATATCTATGTTCTTGTTTTATGATTACTCTCTCTGACTTTACTATAACACTTTATCCTGCAATCAGCCAACTATTGTACAAATAACAGGTACACAGATAATTTTTTGCTCTATTTGAACATGTACAGATGAAATCTCCTGTTACCCCGCTTCCATGTTGAGCAATCGGTAATGTGGATATTTCTTTTTGGGTAACAGTTTCATTTTGAGGTCCTCTTCGCGGTCCGCGTTTAAATTTTCGATTTCTTTGAAAAATCAGAGACAATGATTTGGATTGAATAACTAAAGCTTCAAGTGCCGGGTGTAAATTGCAGGATGAAAACAATATATGTACATTGTCGGAAATATAAAATGTATTTGTACTCCCTATAAAACCGGCGAGCTTCGCTTTTCGTCCTGTTTTTAAAGCTCGTACAAATAAATTTTATATTTTCGGACAATGTATATATATATATATTGTATATGATAGTAATCTCAGGTTTATTCTTGTAACATTTTCGCCACTGTTTTGTTAATACTGAACTGTGTTATATTTTGCGTGTTTTGCTTGACCCACATTGGTGAAAGTAATGTAATTTGCAAATAAAGTTATATTATACAAATAAAGAAAATAAATTTGCGTATAGTTGACTAATTGCAGGATAAATATTTTTTAATTTTAATATAAAAATAAGGAGATTTGATATGATTGCCAATAAGATAACTATCCATCAGAGTTACAGGCAATCGTATGGCTTTTAACATGTTCAACAATGTGTAAAACCCATACCGTATAGTCGGCTACAAAAGGCCCCGACATGAAAAATGTGAAACAATTCAAACACTAACAGCCTAATTCATAACAAAACAATTTCCGAAAAAAAAACCAAATATGATAGACATGGACCAACGACAACAAGTGAACTACAGGATTCTGACTTGGGACAGGCACATAAAGAATGTGGAGGGGTTAAACATGTTTGTAATCGGCTCAATCCTCCTCTAACCTTGGGCAGTGGTGTAGCAGTACAAAATAAGAACAAACTGTAAAAATCAGTTACAACTGGCTTTACCCAAAGGATCGATACGAAGCACAAAAACAACCAACATAAAAACAATAGTCACAAAGCACCGAAACCAGAATATTCGCAGTTACTGGAAGCGAGTTCATTGCCAATTGCAGCTAATAAATAAATCATGTTCTCCCATATTAAAGTATCAATCAGTATATACACATCCAACGGATTTTGTGTAAAGAATTAAGTCATAAACAGTGAGAAAAATTCATCTGAAAGAAATGAAACATATATAAATTAAAACAATGCTTTACTTTACTTAACTTTTTCCAAAAGAAATCTTCATTTTTTTACAGAAAAAGATAAACAAACAAAAAGAGACCTTAAAATGAAGTGTTATTATGGCGTATCATCTTTCCGTAGATTTAGCATATACGCAAGTGAGTGCTTTAATAAATTTAGCACAATAATACCGCTTCATAAATTATCTCTGTACCATGGATTTTAGTTTATGAGAATAAAGATATATAAATTATGCGCACACTAATTTAAGTTCCTGGTTCCCATTGAAGAAATATGAAACTAAAACTCCGCCTTTTGTTATTTGATCAATTATGAACATTTAAATACACGTTTAAAACCATTCTATTGTTGAAAGGACATGGGTACAATCACCTGGAGCGGTTATTTAAACACATGTGTGATTCATTATAAAATCGTGACTATATACTAGTACTGTGTACATTTTTACCTGGCGATTTTTATATTAAGGAAACAGCTTGTGCATTGATTATCTGAGGATATGTAAATATAGATCAGCTCAAAACAACAAAAACATGGCGTCTCGATCACGATTAGATCGTAGTGAAGTTAGTTTGTGTGTGAAATATTTTTTATTTTTCTTCAATTTTATTATTTTGGTAAGTAAACAATATATTAAGCCAATGTTTAACATGGGGGTTAGTATTTGGGTCAAAATAGACAGGTCAATATAGAAAATCGTGCCTAGCTTTGATCTTGTTTATCCTTGTATAATCATTTGGAAGTGCTCGTGTGTATGAATAATGGTGTTTTATATTGATTATGTGCTTTATATTGTTTTTGTGTATTTTGTTTATTTTCTTCGAACTACGAAATATTTGTTTATATCTTGTTCATAATCAAGAAATGTTAGATTTAAGCAATCAATCACACGTGTAACATATTTTCATTTACATGGAAACATGTATATGAATAAATACACGTACAATTTAGATCGGCTGCTGGGTTGAGTCAGTTCAATTTCAATATGAAGTATATTTGGGTACACGACCAAAATCCTGAACTGATATGTAGACTCCTTTTCAATCTTGATCGTTATAAAACTTTGCAATCTTGATCCTAGTTCAATTTAAACAAAACATAAAAATGTAGTGATGGGGACATGCATCTGTGTGAAAACTAAATGTTAATTGATATGAAACGTAACTCAAAGAATTATATTTTCTTTTATGATCTGCACCATTAGGTTTTATTAAAACCATTGCGCATTTTTCGTTTATGTTTAAGATTTTAATTCATTAAAAAAAAAATTAAATCTGGATGATATATTTTAAGATGGATTGTGTACAAGCCCTATATTATAATTATGTACATATAAGCAGATACGTCTTTTAAACGTTCAACATCTTCAAAATAGGAATTCTACATGAATAGAGATTGACTTTTAAAAATTTACTCCAGAAATGACTAAGCAATGTGGATTTCCCAGAAGTTGAGTTTCAATCAAATCTCTGGAATCAGAATATAACATTACATGCTTTGGCCAAATTAACATGATTATTAAGAAAATGACTAATGAACTAATGTCTTTCTAAAATTCTTTAATGAACATGCTGAAAAAAAAACGATAAATCGAGTAAGACAGTACTTTTTTCGTTATTGACAAATACCTAATCAATTAAAGGACTTGATCATCGTATTAACTTGATAGATATTTATATCATTACGAAAGAGGATGATACAATGTATACTTCATGTTTTTATCACATTGTCTCATAATATTTTCTCCAGTAAATTATACCGAAGTGGCTATCAAAAATCGATTTAAACATTGTAAACAAAGTCACACCCAACCTACGTCCAGGAAGTGCAGAATTATAGGTACGGTTTGTGTGATTTTGTAGTAAGCATACTTATACACAGTGATGAAATGCATATATTAATCTTTATTGCAAAACTACACCCATAAGGGTCCAGCAACAACAAATAAAATATATACAGAAAAAAATACAGAAAAAAACCAAATGACATGAAACACAAGTGTAAGAATTAAGCTTAATACATAATCATCATGAACCTGTCTGACATGGGTCTATCGTCCTCAGTTCTACTATGAAAGTATTATATTCACTTTACTTCCATAGTTCTACAGACTGTTTAACAAATGACTCCAATAATCAAATCAAATCAAATCAAATCATTTTATTGGTGTAAAATCCAAATATTGGATTGTTACCAAGACAAACATGACAATCATTACAAACATACAATATTTGAATTTAAACAACATTCATATTCTATAAGACTATATTTAGATGTTTTCAATATGAAAAACAAGTTCAGGGTGGAGCTTAGAGTGCATACTACCACATCTTATTATAATTTATAAAATAGATCGAGATTTTGAAATGATGGCACCTTATCTCTTAGATGAACAAAAAAATCTGGGTGTATACTGTCGATTATTAACTAAATCACGACTGCATCTTTAAGCTCCAATATTAGCAGTGACTTCGGTCCAGTAATAATCTTTCCGAAAACAGACACTTGATCGACTGTTTTAAACAGGTGATAGGGGACGATATTCGATATCTATACAGTGAATTACCTTGTAAATTAGTAATATGTTGTAAAAACCTAGGAAATTAATACTTTTCACACACCGAACCCATGCAGATATTGTTACAATATAAATAGCTTTTATTCAAAATACATCAAGCTTTTTTTCAAAATACATCAAGTCAGCTTTTGAAGAATGTTTTGTAGTATTTATATTCATGTTCATCAACAACAATTAAGAATTGGGTGGAAATATGTGAATAACTCTGGCGGAAAGGAAATAGGTATTTCTGAATATATATATTTGAGTATTTTGATTCTGGGTTGCGCCTTCTCTCCCCTCTTCCGTAACATTAACCTCGGGTTGCTTCGGTGATGAAAGAAGTTTAAATATATGGTTCAAAAATTTCCGTCAACATAATCCAGAGAAAACATGATTTATAATTTAAAATTAATACAGGTCATAAAACTTCTTTTGTATCTCTCTATAAGGAATAGTTATTGTATGTTGTATCTCTCTATAAGGAATAGTTATTGTATGTTTATTTTACCTGGGACTTGTTAAAAGATGCAATGATAGTGTTATCAGTGAGAATCTCAAATTTCCTTTTAAGAAAAACTGCGTGAATACCTTTATCATGTATTAAGTCGACAAATAAATTTCACCCCTTCAATATTAAAGACATAAATATTAATAAACACCCCCATGAAATCTTAATAGAAAATTAAAATCAGCTTAAAATTTTCAGATGTTGTCCTTTAACATAGTGAATCGGTTGATTGACAAATTGCATTTTTTGAAAATTTAGGAAATAAAAGATATTTGATTAATACCTCATTAAATGGTAAAAGAAATGATGCAGTGTAAAAGTTTACAGTTAAAATATGGAATGATGTGTCCCTTCCTGTAGTAAATTGGTCGCTGGCATTGCATCTCTTTAATATGAAGGACAGAAATAGTAATAAATACCTCATGAAATCTTAATAGAAATAGTTGTGTTTAAAAGTTTAAGACGTAAACACGGAGAATGTTGTTGTCACTTCCGTAAATTAGTTGCTGACATTGCCTATCTTCAATGTTAAATAAAGAACAGAAATAATGATAAATTCCTCGTGAAATATAAATAGAAATAATGAAGTATAAAATTAACATGTAAACATAGAGAATGTTGTTGTCCCTTCCCGTAGTGAATCGGTTGATTAACAATCACGTATTTTGTTGAATAATGCATTCGTCTTAATGATGGAATACGATGTTACATATATATATATAATTTATTAGTTTTTAGAAGTAAAACAGTGTATTTAACTAGTTATTTTTCCAACGTTAATCAACTCCAACCTATTCCTTTTGTCTACAAAAATCAACTTTTCGTGACGTCCAATTTAAGAAATCGTATAATGATGATAAAATAAAATTTTTAAAAAATGCGCAGCTCCATATATATTACAATATTGAAATTGTTTATCCTCGTGAAGAAATTGTGAATATAGTGACTTTCATCAATAATGTCTGAGAGCTATTTTTTGCACCTGCAACTGATGTTAAAGTTTTTCTGTATACCATGACATCCTTGAAACAAAACCGCAATGGTGGTCTCGTGGCAGCGTGCTTGCATCGACGGTGCGGGAGGTCATGAATTCGATTCGCAGCCGGGTCATATAAAAACGACTTGAAGCTTGGCATTTTTTGCTTCTCCGCTAAGCACGCGGCATTTAGGAGTAAAAATATAGACTGGCCGGCCGGAGTCCGAATACTATGTCCGGATAGGGTGAAATGTCTTCTTGTAAACTGTAATCGTGTGAATTAGCACGTGAAAAACCCGGCTGAGCGTGTAAGGCTCATATTCATATCATATTATCATGTTCTTGTTATGAATATTCATTTAATTTGTCATTCCAAGTTGGACAGCCATCATTCAATCAATCAATCAATCCCCCAAACAATGTCAGAAACTTCAGCTGTGCACAACTACTCAAATGCGTAGAATGAAAAATTACCCTTTCCCGATATTGTACAAACTAAACAAGACTGGGTGCAATTTGACTATTTTCATTGATTGTAAATGTAAGATCTTAAATGTTTATCGTCCTTATTTAGCAATACCCTTGATATACAATGTTAATCAGACCTACAAATTGTTGTTAATGCATTTTACATGGTGTATATTATGATTGTTTTTAAAGGCACCCGAACAAACTTCACGATTAAAGTTTTGTTTGAAAGATCATTCGAAATAGTTTCAAAAGAAATATAGTTGGAGTTTGGAATATTCCCATTATTCATGTTCAAGTTTCAAACTCAAAATGGGCCTATAAGCTGTCAAAAGCGCAGTTTATAGCCCTCTACAAGCGGTATGCTTGGACTCAGAATTATTTATATATGTTGGTATGCTCGAGACGGTATTTCTCTATCTACACTTAGACGGCGACTTTTTTCGATTTTTGTTCATTCCAATGTTTTGATCATTGTAAATAAAAGTTTTCCCGAATGTGAATATTTATGTTAGAAGCAATAAAAGATTATAGCTTATTTTACTTTTATATCGTATCTACAGTATTTGTATTTACACCAAAACGTCTAACCCAATGTTTTTATCGTAAATAAAAGTTTTCTCGAATGTGAAGATTTATGTTAGAAGCAAGCTTATTTTACTTTGATATGGTATCTTCAGTATTTGTATTTACACCAAGACGTTAAATGAAATTGGCTACCCTGCATTTATCATGCTTTTCAATAACATAAGATCAAATCGCTGAAAGACCCCCTTCCTAAATTATTGAAAACTATCATTCTGCATTGACAATACTATCTTGGTGTAAATAAGATACATCCATTCGGGCTAACGCCCTCAAGGTGTATCTAACACTTTTTTTTAAATACGAAGAGCCATATATGCTTTGCTTTTTGCGAGGACGTGTTTAGCAATAAAAGTTACCATTTATTGATATCGTATATCTAAAATGTTTGTAGTTTTTTTTATACCAAGAACCATGGTGTGATCCAGGTTTTCTTTGAAAAATGATTCGTTTCTAATTATTTGTGTCGTATCTGCAATATTGATATAAAGAAGTGTAAACAAGCATTGTCTTGTTGCGAAGATATGTTAAGCATTATAATTACTTTTAATTGACATAACTACATTTTTATTCTTTCAGATATTAAGTTTTACAGCTGTAGGCGTAGGAATTTGGATTTTAGTTATTAAAGAGAAAAAAGTGACCAGCTTTTTAGACGTTTTATTAGACTTATCATTTTGGTTAGTGATATTTGGAGGAATATTTGGTATCATCAGCTTTTTTGGTTGTTTCGGTCCTCTCAGAGAAAATATAACTTTTCTTAAAATTGTAAGTATAATTAAGTGATTCTTTTGTTATTTTTCTAACGACGTACATATAAAAAGAACACAATACATTTTATGAAACTAGTAATTTGAACTTCATGCAATAATCAATCTTTTCAAAAATATACTACAACATTAAAAATGAGTTATAAATAAACTGACGCTAAATACCCCCAAACTAGATAAATCAGACTACTAGGATCGTCCGTTTATCTGTAATGGATATATAAAAAAGACAGCCACATCCGGTCGAAATTAGAAAGTTAAATCCGATGCCTCATATAGCTTTTGCATGTTAGAGAATCCTTGCAATGGATGTATGTTTCAAATGAATTTCATTTCCTTTCCAACAAATTTTCCATATTTTAGGAAGAAGAAGTTAGCAATATCCTTTAACTTTACGTTCCGCTATATAGATGATGTTCTCTCACTAAATAATACAAAATTTGGTGACTATGTTGAACGAATCTATCCCATCGAACTAGAGATAAAGGATACTACAGATACAGTTAAGTCTGCCTCATATCTTGACTTACATCTAGAAATTGACAATGAGGGTCGGTTGAAAACAAAACTTTACGACAAAAGAGATGATTTCAGCTTCCCAATTGTGAACTCCATAGAATTCCATTTCTATGTAGTAACATTCCAGCAGCGCCTGCATATGGAGTATATATCTCCCAATTGATACGATATTCCCGGGCTTGTATTTCCTATCATGATTTCCTTGATAGAGGATTGCTGTTCACAAGGAAGCTATTAAACCAAGAGTTCCAAATGGTGAAGCTAGTTGAAATCATCCCTTCGTAAATTTTACGGACGCCATCACGAGTTGGTTGACCGTTATGGAATAACCGTTTCACAGATGATATCGGATATGTTCCTTATGTCGTAACTTCAATACCCTTCCCTTTTCACGAATGTGACCTACCGAATTAGACTATTTACCGGATTTGTAATAACATAAGCAACACGACGGGTGCCACATGTGGAGCAGTATCTGCTTACCCTCTAGAGCACCTGAGATCACCTACAGTTTTTGGTGGGGTTCGTGTTGCTTAGTCTTTAGTTTTCTATGTTGTGTCATCTGTACTATTATTTGTCTGTTTGTCTTTTTATTTTTGGGCATGGCGGTGTCAGTTTTTTTTTCGATCTATGAGTTTGACTGTCCCACTGGTATCTTTCGTCCCTCATTTACTAAACAATTGCGCTAGAAATTTGTCGTCCATCTCGGTCGATCCCCTTTACAAAACATACCTAGATAATGCATTGTTAATTTGTTCGCGTCAAGAATGCGCATTAAGCATATGCCACTTTTAATCCAACAGCAACCATTCAATCGCCAAAAGGAAAAGTGACTATTATTGCTTCCATTCTTTAACACCTTTTAATCCATTTTTTACATTTTTTTGTAAATTTCGAAAAACCTGGATGAGGATAACATAGCTATCGTGGAAGAAAAGAAACTTGATAAAAATTCAGATATATTGTAATTCGGGTGCTCCGCTCACCAGAATCTTCAATTTTGGGAATAGTTCGTTATAAAGTACTTTGCCTTCTATGACAACCGTTTTGTTTATGATACTCAAATCCGGTCACATAAATCAAGAGAGGATATTTTGTAAGGTATACTTTTTAAGATAAACCGCTTATTTTTACGCTACGCTATGAATAAAGTATAGTAGTCTGCCGAGAACAAGCTTTTAAGAAAGGAACAACATTCCATATCAAAACAATGATAATTTTAATAAAAGATGTAAGATACTTTGCAACTTTTTCAGTGTTTTGAAACAGGTTTGACTACAATCGTAGCCTTCTTTTATCCTGTTAAATTTTCATTAAGATCGGTCAACTAGAATTAAAAGTTATCGCTAATTAGTGCCTACTGACTTAAGACTACGGCGACAAGACGACAAAAAGAAAATGACAAGACAACGAAAAGATGATCTTAATTTTGTTGTTTTATAAAAATGATAGCATTTGTATTATTCACCATCCCCCCAATCGAGTGATCTGGAATCAGTGATTATTAAATGCTAAATGTACACGAACACCAGATAATCATGATTATATCAGATCGGATATGTTAATGAGATCAATTTCGTGTGTTTTGTGACCTAATAAAAACAAAATCTTTTGATGAGGCAGTTACACAAGACAGTATTGGTTCATTTTCTAAATTGAATGATAATTTGTGAGTCATACATTGCATTCTAACGCCCATTTTAGGTAATGATATCGAAATATTACAATTAAGTTTCGAAAATTTTTACAGATCGGTAGACACATCGATGGTTGTATTGTTAAATTAGCAATGATTGGAACTCGTTCAATTCCCCAAGTACTGTTTTCTCATATAATTTTTATGCTCTTCAATATATCTTTACCTTATCCTCTAATCGCACAGGCACTTGTCTCAGAATTTTTTCCCCTATATACCTTGATATAACATTAAGGTATATAGGAAACAAATTTTCTGAGACAAGTGCCTGTGTCTAATCGTTATGCTGTGTTGAAATCCCATTTCGATATACATCCCAGGGGTATATGGGGTATTGAAATATGATTACAAGAACTTCTCTTGTCCCGAATTGGGACCCTGGATGAGGGATATCTTTTTGGCTGTGCGGAATGCATATACATTAAATATATTTTTTTAATTAGAATCCGTACTTTTGATTGTCGACAACAATCCTAATGAAATGCAACATTCGTGATGGAAGGTGTAACAACGTAACAACAATGCACACGAAATCAATTAAACGAAAATTTTTACATAACACGTTATTTCATCATGTTCATGGTTGTAGCACACAGGCACTTGTCTCAGAATTTTGTTCCCCTATATACCTTAATATAACATTAAGGTATATAGGGGAAAAAATTCTGCGACAAGTGCCTGTGTTGTAGCATATTAAAAATGTTATTATGAAAATTGAAATGCTTTTTGTAATTTTATAGGGAGTAAAAGCGTTGATTGTGCACACATTTTTAGTATGGAACGCTTCCAACGCTTATATAACTTTTTAGAACTTTCCCCGAGTTAACATGTATCATCTTTCAATGTATTGGTTCTATTAACACCATAACAATAGAAGATAGGGCGAAACCGTCTTACATTAATTTTTTTTACGAGAAACAATATATTTTAAGAAAAGATGATGATACCGACCTTAAAATATTTGTAAGTATTTATGAAATGGTTTTCATTTATTAAAAATTTAGCAGCGAGAAAAAAAAATTGGAACAAGTAGGTGTAAAATTACTTAACAATTAAAATAAAATGAAATAAAAAACAGGATTTTTATTTTGTTTTGAATTTATGTTACGTGATATGTCTCATGATAGACATTGTTTTTATTTACAACATTATAAAAAGAAGAAAGTGTGAGAAATACCGTCTAAAATTTATTTTTCACGAGAAACAATATATTTACAGATAAGATGCTGGCTGATAACTTTAAATTATTAACGTCATTGTTTTCATTAAATGAAAATTTCGCCCAAAAAAATACCAACAACACTTGTGTAAGAAGGTAGTACGTGTAAATTACTTAACAATTTGAATTGAGTGTAATAAACAGGATATATTATTTTTATGAGGATATATGTTACATGATAAGCATTGTTGCAATAAGGAAGGGAAATGTCAAATTTTATGAACAATTGAATACAAGTTATTTTTAAGATTTTGGCATGAAATAATAATTACATACCTCACCTTTATTTTATAATTTGGTAGATCATAAAATATATATTGTATATATATATTCAAAGTGTTTTTGTTGTATAGATTGATTTAGTGTTGTTTGTTTAATGTAAACATGGTAAAGGAGCAAATACATGCATGTTCAGGACGACAACAAATTAACAATAAATCAAATACTGTAAATTCAGAAATTATTGCGTACATTTATTATTGCGATTTTGCAAGAATGGACAAAAATGTGAGTTTAATTAATGCGATGTCGAAAAATTCTGCATACAGAACTATGTTTCAGTTAACAGAATGCGAGTTCTTATTATTGCGATACTCACTCAGTCGCATTATTCGCATTAATAAAAACCTCGCAATAATTTCTGAATTTAAAGTACTAGTAGTACTAGTAGTTGGTCGGTTCTGAAAGCGGTTGACTTGCATGAAGGTTTAAAATGTCTCCTTGCAACATGGGACCTATTGACTACTTAATGAGCTGAAGCAAGGTTTTTTTTAGAGTGTAAAGATCAAGACACTCTCCTTACACGAAGCATCGGAATAAACGTCCCCATTCTGACTGGACGTGACAGGGTATTTAAACATCCCACACAGCCACACGGACCCTCTCTATTGCACGGGCTTTACTGACCATGTTTCTATGCTCTAGTCAACCTTTGATGTCTAGAGTATAGAAAATTGTTACAATAATGTTTACCCTAAAAATAAAAGAACGTTAGTATGTTGGACAATAGGGATTATAAATGTTGTTGGGTTTAAAAATGTGTCGTTTGGTTACTGCCGCATTGCCGTGTACACTATATCTTCTTATATTGAAATTTGACGGCGAACTTGTTGAAATAAAACGGAGTTTAAATTAGTTTAGCATGTTTTAGTCATGCTATGTAACCTGTTTACAATTAAGATTGGATTTAATATAAAAAAGAAGATGTGGTATGATTGCTAATGAGACACCTCTCCACAAGAGACCAAATGACACAGAAATTAACAACTAAAGGTCACCGTACCGCCTTCAACAATGAGCAAAGCCCATACCGCACAGTCAGCTATAAAAGGCCCCGAAACAATTATTGTTTTAAGTTTAAGCTTGTTTGAACTTGGATTATTACCGTAAATGAAAAATGACCAGAACAGATTTTGAAGTTGAACTAGTTTTGTCGCAACCAATACCAAAAAATATTTCATTTGTTCCTAGATTTTAGAAAACGGCTGTACGCTTTTTATACGACCGCAAAAATTAAAAATTTTTTGGTCGTATATTGGTATGACGTTGGCGTCGTCGTCGTCGTCGTTGTCGTCGTTGTCGTCGTCGTCGTCGTCGTCGTCGTCGTCCGGCGTCGTCCGGCGTCGTCCGAAGACACATTGGTTTTCGCACTCTAACTTTAGTTTAAGTGAATGGATCTCCATGAAATTTCACCATAAGGTTCAATACCACAAAAGGAAGGTTGGGATTGATTTTGGGGGTTATGGTACCAACAGTTAAGGAATTAGGGGCCAAAAAGGGGCCAAAAATAAGCATTTTTGTAACTTTCAGACAATAACTTGTGTGTAAGTGTATGGATCTCTCTGACATTGTACCACAAGGTTCCATATCACAAAGGGAAGGCTGTAATTGATTTTGGGGGTAATTGCCTCAAAATTTTAGGAATTAGGGGCCAAAAAAGGGGCAAAAAACAAGCATTTTTCTAGTTTCATGACAATAACTTGTGTGTAAGTGTTTGGATATTTCTGAAATTGTACTACAAGGTTCCATATCACAAAGGGAAAGCTGGAATTGAGTTTGGGGGTAATTGCCCGAAACGTTTAGGAATTGGGGGCCAAAAAGGGGCCAAAAATAAGCATTTTTCTAGTTTCCAGACAATAACTTGTGTTCAAGTGTATGGATCTCTCTGAAATTGTACTGCAAGGTACCATACCACAAAGGGAAGGCTGGGATTGAGTTTGGGGGTGATGAATCATAAGGGGGTTCAAAAAATTTGGGGGGGGGATTTTTTTTTTTTCCTTTTTTTTCTTTTTTTCCTTTTTTTTTCTTTTAAAATTTTCCATTTTAAGTTGGTTATTTCTGATTTATACTTAAAAGCAAATAATAATGATATGGTAGGAGATACACACCAAACAGGATGTGTAAATTATTATATAATAAGTATTGTGCAATAGCAAGAAATTTTCAATTGCACAGTATTGCACAATAGCAAGAAATCTTCAATTGCACAGTATTGCGCAATAGCAAGAAATCTTCAATTTAACAGTATTGCGCAATAGCAAGAAATATCCAATAGCACAATATTGCGCAATAGCAAGAAATTGTCAATTGTACAGTATTGCGCAATAGCAAGAAATATTCAATTGCACAGTATTGTGCAAAAGAAGATACTTTGTATAAATTGCTTATTTCTTGATCAATTTCAATGGGGTTTTATTCTTGAATTCTTGGGGTTCTTTAATATGCTGAATCTAACCGTGTATTAAGTTTTTGGATTTTGGGCCCCGTTTTTAAATTGGTCCACATTGAGGTCCAAAGGGTCCAAAATTAAACTTTGTTTGATTTCATCAAAAATTGAATTATTGGGGTTCTTTGATATGCCGAATCTAACTGTGTATTTAGATTTTTAATTTTGGGTCCCGTTTTTTAAATTTGTCTACATTAAGGTCCAAAGGGTCCAAAATTAAACTTAGTTTGATTTTAACAAAAATTGAATTCTTAGGGTTCTTTGATATGCTGAATCTAAACATGTGTTTAGATTTTTGATTATGGGCCCAGTTTTCAAGTTGGTCCAAGTTGGGGTCCAAAATTAAACTTTGTTTGATTTCAACAAAAATTGAATATATGGGGTTCTTTGATATGCTGAATCTAAACATGTATTTAGATTTTAGATTTTTGGCCCAGTTTTCAAGTTGGTCCAAATTGGGGTCCAAAATTAAACTTTGTTTGATTTCAACAAAAATTGAATATATGGGGTTCTTTGATATGCTGAATCTTACCATGTATTTAGATTTTTTATTTGTGGGCCCGCTATCAAATTGGTTCATATTGAGGTCAAAAGGGTCCAAAATTAAACTTTGTTTGATTTCATCAAAAATTGAATTATTGGGGTTCTTTGATATGCCAAATCTAACCGTGTATTTAGATTTTTAATTTTGGGTCCTGTTTTTTAAATTGGTCTACATTAATGTCCAAAGGGTCCAAAATTAAACTTAGTTTGATTTTAGCAAAAATTGAATTTTTGGGGTTCTTTGATAGGCTGAATCTAAACATGTGTTTAGATTTTTGATTATGGGACCAGTTTTCAAGTTGGTCCAAGTTGGGGTCCAAAATTAAACTTTGTTTGATTTCAACAAAAATTGAATATATGGGGTTCTTTGATATGCTGAATCTAAACATGTATTTAGATTTTAGATTTTTGGCCCAGTTTTCAAGATGGTCCAAATTGGGGTCCAAAATTAAACTTTGTTTGATTTCAACAAAAATTGAATATATGGGGTTCTTTAATATGCTGAATCTTACCATGTATTTAGATTTTTTATTTGTGGGCCCGCTATCAAATTGGTTCATATTGAGGTCCAAAGGGTCCAAAATTAAACTTTGTTTGATTTCATCAAAAATTGAATTATTGGGGTTCTTTGATATGCCAAATCTAACTGTGTTTTTAGATTTTTAATTTAGGGTCCCGTTTTTTAAATTTGTCTACATTAAGGTCCAAAGGGTCCAAAATTAAACTTAGTTTGATTTTAACAAAAATTGAATTCTTCGGGTACTTTGATATGCTGAATCTAAACATGTGTTTAGATTTTTGATTATGGGACCAGTTTTCAAGTTTGTCCAAGTTGGGGTCCAAAATTAAACTTTGTTTGATTTCAACAAAAATTGAATATATGGGGTTCTTTGATATGCTGAATCTAACCATGTATTTTGATTTTGGACATTGGACCATAATAGGTAAATTAAAAAAATTGAAGTTCTTAGACCACATTCTTTCCGTGTCAGAAACCTATGCTGTGTCAAATATTTAATCACAATCCAAATTCAGAGCTGTATCAAGCTTGAATTTTGTGTCCATACTTGCCCCAACTGTTCAGGGTTCGACCTCTGCGGTCGTATCAAGCTGCGCCCAGCGAAGCATTTTATTACAAATCCATTCCTAAAATTGTTGATACACATCAATGTGTCCGTTTCAGAATTTAGATTTGGTTTGAGTTTATGTCGCTTCCTCGACGAACATTAACGTAACATTTTGTTACAGTTTGTTAGTAGGGCAACTACTAATGGTAGGTCAACTATGCTTGATTGGAAGCTGTATTAGGATTGACACGTCTCATTTACATGGAGATTATTTGACACGGCCCCTCAGAAATGCTTCATTGACTTTGAAACTTTTGCATAGTTTACATGTTAAAGTGTTGCCTTTTATATTAAAATATTTGCATTATATTATCAAAATTACATACAGGCGAAGTATATCTATGTATCAACAGTTATACTTAACTAGCAGAATTTAGATTATGGTAAAAAAAAAAATTTCGCTCGATCTTGAAACTCCAGAATCTCTTCCTTATGTCAAGGATAACCAAGTTTTTTCATAACGGCCAAATGACATCACGCAAAATATCGTACTTTTGTCGTTTCTATAACTACTCTGTAAATAAATAAAATGTCGCCTTAAGAGATATAATTTCATGCTTTTCAAGCTTCGGTTTAAGCATTCATGTTGATAGTTAATACGGGCGGTTCAAAACGCTATGTGCTTTTATCCTTTACAACCTGGACAATACCTCCTCTACATGACTGTACTTTGTAAATTCGCTCTAAGTCAATCAGGATTAGCATTTGCATGATAATTTATTTACTATTTTATGGATTCATTATAAGCTATAAGATTTTGTAACACATTATAAAACATGGAAATAAAACCAAAAAGTTTATATACGCCTGAGGGAGATGCAATCTATAATGTCCTTTGTTTGGGTGAAAATAAAGATTAACATCTACATAATAAATCACATTTATTTACATAGTTAATCAAATTTGATTACGTAATCAATCATATTTCTTTTATAAATTAATCAAAGGCTGTTCAAAAATACTGATTCCTGATGATTCCCATGGGAATTGACAGTCCACCAGCAGTGGCATTGACCCGACGCATAGGCAGTTGTCCATAGGCACTTGTCTCAGAATGTTTTCCCCTATATACCTTAATATAACACAGGCACTTGTCTCTGAATTTTCCCCCCTATATACGTTATATTAAGGTATATAGGAAAAAAATTTCTGAGACAAGTGCCTGTGCAGTTGTCTCTAAAAAAATATCTTTATACTTTAATTTAACAAACAGGCAGTTGTCTCTGATTTTTTTACCTATATACCTTAATATAGCACACAGGCAGTTGTCTCTGAAAATACTTTACACCCATCGAAACATGAATTTCAATTATGGATGATGTAAGAATTTGAATTAAAAAGATTACAAAAATGTAACTCATCATACACGTTGTATAAACTATTATTAATAAACCAACTTGATTATTCCAGTATCATTGGTGTATTACGGGAGGAATTCTAATAGAACTTCTGTTCGTCATATTTGTATTCCTGTTTTATTTCCAACCGGATGTGCTCAAAGACTTGAAAATTTATCCCGAAAATATGTTTAAAGATGGCATCCAGTTATATCCGGATGCAGATGAAGATGTTAATGACTTTATAGAATTAGTTCAGCAAGATTTAGTAAGTTTTTTCAGACTTGTTTGATGATGTTGTAAATGTTATTATAAGGAATGGTAAATGTGAAACATTTTAAAATGATTCAACTTAATTTGAGGAATAGAAGACTCATGTCAGTTATCATTTTTATATCTTAACATCTTATTTTTATATTTTAACTGTAATGCACAGACATAAATGCAACGAAATAATAACACACACAAACTCGTAAATTATATATCAGTTTAAACTTTCTCTGATGTGGATCCTATTTTCACAATGATAATACTGCTTTATAAAGTCACAGACAACTGGACATATTAAAAAATTAAGGATTAAGATTGTTTCGTGTATTTGTATATTGGAACAACTTGTGCCAATATTAATACTCTCTTCTGACATTCTTTGAAAATTTTATTTTAATCAGAATGTTTATCAGAATTACAATGAACGGAGACATCTTCAACTTCATAACAATTTCTACAAACAAGCGTCTTCCATTGAAATATTTTCATATTTGTCCAGTGCCAATGTTTAAAGGGTAACAATGGACAAGTAAAAGTCATAAGCCGAAAATAACAGACAACAACCATGGATAAAAAGAAAAAAAAACGACAAAAAGACAAACAACAGTCCCTAAAAACACTTCACAGAAACACAGGCACTTGTCTCTGAAAATTTCTTTTCCTATATACCTTAATATAACACGTGTTATATTCAGGTATATAGGGAAAAAAATGCAGAGACAAGTGCCTGTGCACAGAAACCTAAAGATTGAGTAACACCAACTCCAACAAAAACAACAGGGTTGAACTCTGAATGGTCTTAAGGATGTAGTCGGGTGAAATTTAAAAGATCTGGAATTCAAAATTGATACTATAAATCAGAAGAACATTTGTTAAGGAACAAAATAAGCTAAAAATATTGATAGGTTATGAAACTCCCTTTAGAAATATATGATTGAAAAAAAAATGGCGGGAAAAGACTGACTCGGACTTTTACCTTATATTTAGGTCTCAAATCGTATGAAAAGAAATCTAGAATCTGCTTAGAATTTGGCAATGACCTTTTATTAGCTATTGAAGTCTTCTATGTAAAGAAAAGTGGGTGATATGGGGCAAATTATTTTACCCTGTATCTTAGGAAAAACCCAAGGAGTCCGAACATCTGACAAAAATTCCTAAATCTGAAATGACTACATCCTTAAGTTATGATTATTGATACCATAAGAATAATTCTTCTATTTAAGTTCATCATGGCTGTGTTAAAGTTTAAGATATATTGAAGATAATTAAATTAACTTGCATGGTGTTTGTTTGGTCACTTTAAAATGCGACACATGATGAGATCTCAACTTAATGTATGTGTGTCAACGTGTTTGCATGTTTGTTTTGAAAAGCTTCATGTCGTAACGACTTCTTAACAAATATGTTTACCCTTTCAGATTGGATGTTGTGGATTCAGTAATGACGATGAAGGATACAAACAATGGGGACAAAACATGTACTTTAATTGTTCTGTGTCTGATGATATGAAAGATCTTAATAAACTAGCATGTGCTGTGCCAGAATCATGTTGTAAATACAAGGACGTAAGTGCAGTTATTAAATATTTTATGTCTGGGAATGTATCCCACTTGTTTCTACTAATACGACCTATTATTAATGAAGTTAGTCATTAGAATACGTAATTTCATCAGAACATCACATCTTCGAATAACAATAGATTGTTTTTGCAGGTCAAATATATTGATATTTTTTTCTTGTTTCCTTTAACCCTCGTATTAAGACCGTGCTACTATCTGAGTACTAAAAAACGCTATTTATCAATGAATAAATTTTGATCTTTAAAAAAAAAACCAGTTTTTTTCATATGCAGACAAATCAAAGACATCTTTTTTTAAAAGGGTTACAGTACGAATGATGTATACAGAGCTATTTTGTTTTTTATAGGGTGAAATTAAAAATTTACTCTGTGGAGCAGGCGTACTTAACAAATCGGTAAGTATTCATTATATATTTCCATGTCTCAAAAGGTGTTTTTATAATTTATTTATAGCTTGCTTTTTACTAAGTAGTTTTAAATATTTGCGAGGTGTCACTATTAAAGTGAACAAACAAACTGACAGGAAATTACTATATGTAGGTTTAACCCTTATTTAATTATTTAGAATACTTGTGTTTTCTTTAAAAAATCTACAGTATAGAAACAGCCATTGTTTAGTATTCATAGAGAAAAGAAAGTACGACATGCTCACATTGCAGAGAGTTCAGATATCATGAAAAAGGAAAGATTACCTGTAATTGTGGATAGGGACTACACACAGAAACGTTAAAACGAATTGAAAATAAACCAACAATCTAGCAGCATAGAAGAAATTGATTCAAACTGTCTTCAATGCTACGATTTCTAAGAAAATAGAACAGCTCATACAAAAACAAGAGAACTTAAGATAGCAAAAAAAACAAACAATAGAGTCTTACAAACCATTGCAAACTTGATTATAACAATTTGAGGAATAGTTTGGCATAACAATGTCACTAAAAAGGAATCAAATTCTCCCACAAATCACAGAACTCCTCCCACAATAAACATCTCAATTTAAATAGAGACAAGACGAAAGAACACATAATTAGCCATGACTGTGAAGGTTATAGTTTCTTCTTGGCTCTCAGTGCATCCATATTCGTTACTTTGAGCAAGGCAATTAGGACATCAACGGGTTGTGAAGGACCGTAAACACGAGGAGACATGATCAGAAATAGTTCTACCCATTTTGAAAATTTTAAAATAGTTGTCACTGTGTAATCATTGGAAGGATTTTATTTGTTTGTTTTGAAATGAACAATATTTGAAATGTTCGTCTGCTATCTACTGACATTTGATTTCTTATAAAACAGAATTGTCACAAAGCATTTTGTAGTTGCAACGCAGTATATCTGCAAGATTGCTTATGGTTACGAGAAACCTTCCTGTATAAATTCATTGCTTTGAGCGAGCTGTAAAAAGAAAGACCAAAGACACACGAACATACAAAAGAATAAAAACAAGAATTATTAAGGTCCTAATAGTTATTAAGAAAAGGAAGGTGAACCACTGAACCAATGACAACAAAGGATATTTTTAACCTTCTGGGACAACTTATATCACTCCCGATTTTTAATTGAAATTTAGGATTGCCCCAGCCTAATTTTTATTATTGTCTGTGTAAACTATTTTTGTCTAGGTCTTTTATTGACCTATGGAATCTACCATTATGATTTTGTTCTTTGAAATCCTTTCACCTTTGAATCCTTTAATTCTGTGCATAAATAGACAATGATAAATATGAAACAAGAAAATCATTATAGTTATATCATTTAGAATAAGTAAATCTTGTAAATCGATCTCGTTTTTTATAGCCATCAGAAGTAAGCAATCAGATATATACAAGAGGATGTTTAAAAGGCATTGGAGACATAATTGCACAGAACTCATTAGTGTTTGGTATAATTATTGCTGTAGTCTTAGTTGTACAGGTATGTTAAGAATTATAACATGTAAACAGAGATGTTCTCGAACCTAACATTTTTTGAGAGAAAGCTAAACCTAGTGCCATATATGTCCTGTCTTTCATTTCAAGGGTATAACAATAGTATACATGGAGGGACAAAGAAAATATTTATAAACATATATATATATATTTTTAGGGATATTATCTAGAATCCAATTTTTTAAAGAATTTTATACTATATGTAGCTAATTTGAGCAACTGTGTTCTTGACTTTAATGTTCTGACCTTGAAAACAGAAGAATCAATCACTAGTATAAGTTTTTTTGGAAAACAACAAGTGCACCTCATGTAAACACCAAGAGACCACAAATTCCTCTTAATATTTCTATAATTTCAGTCAGATTGAGCAGTTGAGACCTATTGACCTATTTTAAATAAAATTTTAGGATTTTCCATATTCCCTTTATCTTCCATATTTATAAATTTCATCTTGAACCAACAGTAGAAACTCCTGATATCACACAGAAACCAATTTGTTCCAAATAATTCCTAATTTTAATATCAACGACCTTGAACTTTGAGCTTTTTGACTCCAATCTCCTTCACAATATCTTTCAGTTGCATAAATATCGTTTTAATTTGAGAAAGGAAAACTTATCCTCCGGAAATCCTTTGTTTCAGACGGAGAAAGAAACGTCTATATGTTGCCGATTTTTTTCTGGGAGCATAAATAAAATGTTATTATTGGTGTCATCTTAGCTAGATCGTCTAGCTTTTGGTCTGAACCATACTTGATGAATGATATTCACAGAAGCATGTGGCATCAACATTGAATTGGTTTAAAACGTTTACAAGTAAATACATCTGTAGGATATATCTGTATTCTGCTAAACAATAGCTTAAAATCACATGTAAATTACACAAAGTGGATTATTAGGCTAAAGAATGTTTTTTGATCCTTTTCTTTTTAAGGTTTGTCCTGTACCTTTTGTAAAAATCTCGTTTTTTTGCACGTTGTAAAACATACATAAAGAATTTAGTGCAGTCATTTTTTTCACACTGAAAAATTTGTGAAAAAACCACTCATGCGCTGAAATGAAGTTTCTCAATCTGTGGTTCAATTTTAAAACGTACAGATGATTTTTGATATTACTACATCTTAGCCTGAAATATACATACACGAAAATGAAAGAAAATAAGACTCAATTTTAAAGTGAGTTTAGCATTCGTCATATATTTACTCTGACTGTTGAATGCAACTGCAACATGTATATTAAAAAACAGGATTTTAAAATGCATAAATGTATATGGTTAGTATTATTTAAATGCATAATTTTGTATAAATGTATACAATAATTGCTTGATATTTCTATTTTTTACAGATGACAACTATTTATTTTGCAAAGAATTTGATATTCCAAATCAAACAACAGATTAGAAAATGGAAATACAACCACAACAGATAGATAAATATTAGTTATTTGTGTACATGTGCCTCAAAGTTCTTTCAAAACACTGCATATTTTTTAATCAATGAAGACTAAAAAATAGTTTGATAGTCCAATTGTTTGCTTACGTTTTTTTTCATTTTGAAGGATAAAACTCTCACATCAAGTATCATTTATAAATTACACACATGACTTAAAGTTTATTGAATAATGATTTGTAAAATTGAAAACACTTGTTCCCTATTTCACATTTTCTAAAGTGCCTTTAGTCCTTTGAAAGGAAGAATGTTGAGTCAGAATCAATAAGTCATTTATATATCATCTTCCTTTAATATCATTTGTTTTATTCTCATAGTTAACTTTAACTGTTATAGCGAAGTATTTTTAAACACCATCCTCACATCTGTGTTGTACTACCTGATTCACTAGTGTTCGAAGTTCCCTGTTTACTTGCTTGGTTTCAACAGATTTGATTGTAGGATCTTTTATTTTTATTTCAAAATCTTAAAGTAGTATTTGTAAAAGAAATGTAGTTTTTCTATACCAATTGAAAGAGTTTTGTTTATCTATCATAGCAAGATTGGCTTCTGTTCTTGCCGACTGAAAATATATTGTTGATTGTTAATTGAATCCACAATACCAACAAACCAAAGATACAGTATTTATTCTTAATACTTTTTCAAGTGGTGACCTTAAATTGTTCTGTTTAGCTTTCTACAATCTAATGCAAGAAGAAATAATCTTTTATTAAATCAACGGATTCTTCTTGTTGAACAGTCCTCCTCAAGAAATTAAGGTGTTATCCCTTTGTAGTAGAAAAGAAACGAAGTCTAGATATCATAAACAGAATGTGTAAGGAGATCCTGTTTGAATCGATTTAAGACAATATTTTAGTGCATAATTTATGAAATGTTATTGCTTATAGTTTTCAAATATATCATGTGATGAATCCTGGTTTCTCCAGGTAATTGAAATATTTAGATGTATATTGAATGTGATTATGTTATAAATTAGTCCCTGTCCTTCCATTATGAATCATTGTGGGTGTTTTTCTTGTTTCCATCAATATTTAAGAATGCATATAATTTGTTTCACCTGTTGAATGTAAAACATGTTTTCACAATTGTTATGGCAATATGTATGCAATTATTATACCTGTTGCCAAGAGTATAATGCGGGGTGTGTTTTGTCATTTGGTGTAGTTTTGATATACCCTCCCCACCCGATTTGGGTTTGACCTTCGGTTTGAATCTAATCACACGAGTACCATTATAATAAATGTTAAGAGGACTATTGTAATTTTATTTTGAAGAAGGTTATCTTTCTACATTCAAAATTAAAGTGCAGGCATTCTAAGAAGTGGGGATTTTGTGTGGATCTCCTCGCTTGAAATTAGGTTCAAATAACAAACTACAGTCTAAGTTCAAAAGTGTTTCACCTATCGGAAATATCCCTATTATTTCATTTAAAAACACATTTTTAATATAAATTCTATAGAAGATATATCTTTTCCAAATTGATTTTTTTTTCATCAAATAAAAAAATGTCTGCAGTTTCTTGCAATGATAATGAAATATATCTATGATTTATATTTTTAGGGAAATCTCTATTTAAAGACAAAAGTGAATTTCTGCACGAAAAAATCATATGGCTATATTGGAAAAAATGACAGTTAATTTCAATATTTGTATACAAATTAGCAGTGACGTATCATAAAATTGTTTCTTAATAAAATTTAAAAAACCTGTACACATTTGTGAGTTTAACATTAGACTTTCTTCAAAATCGGACCTCAAATAAGTTGTAATAAGTAAAATAACAAAAATACTGAACTCCAAGGAAAATTCAAAACGGAAAGTCCCTTATCAAAATCAAAAGCTCAACCACATCAAACGAATGGAAAACAACTGCCATATTCCTGACTTCGTACATGTAGAAAATGGTGGATTAAACCTGGTTTTATAGCTAGCTAAACCTCTCACTTGCATGACAGTCGCATAAAATTCCATTATATTGACAACAATGTGTGAACAAAACAAACAGACAAAATAGGTAAAAATGTCAAAAATAGGGGTACAACAGTCAACATTGTGTCATAATCTTAATCACTATAAAAACAAACAAATATGTCAACGAAGAAAAACAAAATAGCATATAGCCAAAGCACATAAGCAAAATTGAAAGACAAGATTACAAAAAGTGACCATAGCACAATAACACACTGTTTTTAAAAAAATATGTTTTTATATGATGAAATAGGGGAATTTTGGATAAGTGAAACACTTTTGACCTGAAGACTTTATGTTGTATATGTACGAGATGATTTTAAAAGCGTAGTCCAAATCCATTTCATATATAAGAAAGCACTAGATTACCTTTAATTTTATTATAAGTGTTTTTACACTTGGTAAAGGCAAACACGTTTTATATACACGTATATACAATGTAATTCACAACTGAGTTGGACAATCACAATGTTAATTTTTCTTCGTTTTCGTAATTGCTATTTACAAGTCCGATACTATATCAAAATAATTTGTGTATTTTCGTTAGGATGTATGTAATTAAATATATATTTACAGCCTTGTACAATCACAATGTAATTCATGAAAACTTTTTTCTGCTTATTTTATTGTACAGAAGGGGCAGCTATATTGTTTAATTCAAATGAATGTATAATTATTTACTCTTCTTTAGACATAATGAACTGACTTTCGGAACAGGAAGATCAATACAAATGTGCCCATAAAATATATGAAAGCTTAAATTCCTACATTTAAGTGAATATTTTTTTAAAGAATAAACATTTTGGAAATTAGAATTATCGCTTTTGTGTGAATGATCGAGTTTAAAAACTATTGACTAAATTCTGTTTGAAAATATTTAATGCTTCCCTTTGCAAACACAGCATGGAAAAGGCAAAGCACAATTTTAAACAAATGTAATGTTAATCATGATCTATGAACAGGAATTATGTAACAATGCACTGTGTATTTCTAAGAACAAAGTTATAACTTAACCAAGAGAGAATACTTGCGATATGTAAGATAAGATTCATACTGACACTTTTACTTTTACTTTTCGCGGAGCAGAATATTTTAATGTACTACAGTAAGCAAATGGAATTTGCAAATTCACAAAAATAAATACCAACCTGAAAACATAGAAGATACAATTTTATTTCAAAGATGATATGATCTTTGTTCATACAAAAAAAGTTATGAGAGAACATGTGTGAAAAATGAAATGTTTTATTAAGTGACAATAACTATTTTTATATAATATATCACTGAATTATTTAACGTACTAATTGAAAGAGTATTTTTATATTTATTCAGTTTTTTATAAAAATAATAATCATGTGCTTATGAAACACAGAAAAACCTTTTTTTTTTAAATTTTAGTAGTATTTAATACTATAAATAAATAACTAATTGAATGTACAAGTATTCTATTGAAAATATAGGGTCATAAGTAATAAATCATGTTTCTATATGACTCAAGTTCTCTTATTGGCTAAGGGCCCTTAGAAAGTTGTCTCGTAAACATATTAACCTCGAGCGATATATCAAATGGTAAATTTGACTTTCCAACACTTGACAAACAGCTGAATTAAGTTAAGCAATATGAAGAAAGCTTTTATTGGTGGTAGAATGAACACAATATGATAAAACGATTTCAGTTTTGAGGCTTCAAGGTTTTAACCATAGATATTTATTTTAACATAGGCATATTACCAGGGTAAATATACTATTATTGGGTTAATATCATAAATTGCATAGATAGCCATACTCTACGTTATAAAAGTTTACAATGATTCAAATAACGAGAAACAATAAAAAATGGCTAGTAGTTACAATAAAAAAAATCTAAATTGGATCAGATTAAATGAATATTGGCCATATAAACCCAAATGATTCAAATAACGAGAGACAATAAAAAATGGCTAGTAGTTACAATAAAAAAAATCTAAATTGGATCAGATTAAATGAATATTGGCCATATAAACCACCTCCCGATCTTTCATTTGTTGCTAATATACGAAAATAAAGGAGTAGACAATACCATAAAATTTAGGTAGTTGTGTTACCTTTTCAATTATGAATTTATTTCACTTGTATATCATTGTTTACTAGATATACAGCAACAATTATAATTTTTGTTAAAGACTGAATTGCAAAACTTTTGAAACGTCAAAGGCAATGAAGATAAGATCTTAAAATTCATATTATTTAATAGATTGAATTTTTAGACTTTATATATATTGGTTTAATGCATTAGAGGTAACTCCATTATATTTGCTTTAAGATTGTGTATATAACACTGAAAAGAAGCATAATCTAAACTTTAGATATAATTATATTAGGTAGATCACTTCAGATTGAAATGACTGCAGTGATAGCAGAAATGAATGCATTTTATAAAGATCTGTACTTGCTAGTAAGGTTGTATATTATGACTGTAACTATTTTTATACATTTATGTGAAACAAGTATTGTGCAATGGTATTTTAAACTTGTTACAATCAGATGTTATGTTCTTTCATGATAACATTTGTAACTGTTACTTATATGATTTATAATAAAATTTTAAGGATTTCTCAGTCTTTTACATTTCCATATCCCACAAGATTATACAGGGGGTTTGAAGCCTTAGTATTGAATCTATTATTTTTTTTCAGTTCATTTATAATATTGGATCAATCATGTTAACTCCCCTGACTGAAAAAACTTTAAAAGATTTTTATGTGAAAATTCCTGTGAAATTTTCTCTTTATGAGTACACATGATTAAGAGGAACTTTCTCGCTTGCATGCACAAAGTCAGGAATATGACCGTTGTTGTTCACTAGCTCCCTTGGTTGATAACGTTCGATTTTGTCTGATTTTATGGACTTCCCCTTTTTGAATTTGACTCTAAGTCGGTATTTTTGTTATACCTTTTGTCCGACACTTTTCTGTGCCAGATCGCGAAAACAACGGTACAGATCTCTGTCAATATCGACCTTACTTAAATTCAATTACATACCTAACAAAATATTATGCTATCAAGTATTTCTTACTAGCTTTACTTTCACTTCAATTCCATGCTTGTGGAAATTAAGCATCGATCAAAACTAACTGTATTCATTCTAATTTCTATGGAATGAATTGTACAGCATCTCAGATTTTTTTCGTACTTTTTCGTGTTGGTGGAATTTTTTCAATATTATCATTTTTGTTGAAATACAAATTCAATCGATCTTTTTTCGTTTATATTCGCCCGTACATCTGATATGTCTGTACCATATCAGGAATAGGGCAGTTGTATTCACGTGTTCCATTGATTGATAACGTTTGGTTTTATCAGTTTTTATGGAGTTTCCCTTTTGAATTTGCTTTGGAGTTTTTATATACTTTCTTACACTAAACACATACTGTCTTTGACCTTGAGTGAGGTGAGATATTTGCACATTATCCTCAATTTGACTTGCAAGTGCAGAACAATAATTCCGTTTCTGTGCATTTCATTTCCAGTCGACATTTATTTGTAATGAAATGATTCACCATATCCCTTTATATCCAAGTAACATTCAATATTGAAATACCTGTCAGAAATTGACTGGAGTTGTTTCTGTGGAATAGTATTTTTATCAACAGAATATGGCAGAACTTCATTTCATAATTGTTTTTTTTTTCTCAATTATTTACAATATTCCACGGATTTGTTCCATTTGTATTAACCCTTATCCTACTCTTTTTTTCCTCGATTGTGACGTTACCAATTTCGACAAATAACTGGACATTTAAATGAATGAGCTACATTATGAATACACATGTATAGCAGGAACTGGTTACACTTCCGGAGCACATGCCTTCATCACCAGTTTTCGTTCAGGTTTCGTGTTCTCCATCTTTTTGGTGTGCAATAATTGGTTATTTATTGCTGGTCTTTTCGTAGTTTAGGGGATAAATGTTGCAAAAAAAACCCTTATGGAAGTCGCTTGATAAGTGACATTGTTTTGAGAGAAGAAACAAAGTGCATTTAACAAAACATTCTACATATCATTTCAATGAATATTTGAAGAATTTATCAATGAAATATAAACTCAGATCTTCAAGTTTCAAAATGGTGTGTATGTGTATAATTGTCAAGAAAATTACATAAATTGTGCATGGTGCATGAATATCTGTTCTAAAATAATCAATGATGTCATTGTTAAACTAGTATTAAAATTTTAGCTATCGTCTTTTGTCGATAATTGTAGTTCAATCAACCACAATTATGAACAAAGGAAGATATATCTCATATTCATAGCAGTTCATTTCAATGATTTATACAATGCAATATTTAATTATTTAATTTTAAGTTCCCACTACAAAATGAATGTAACACCTACGCTTGGGCATTCACAAGCACGTTGGTTTGTTTTTGTCATGGTGTTGTTTGTTATTATTAGAATTATTTCGATTTCCCTCTTGATATTTTCTCTCCAAAATTATGCAATTTTGCATATTGAAAACTTGACAAAGTCAAAAGGCAAGGCTTTTTTGCATGCTCATCAAGTAAAAGTTCGAAAGCCAATACTAAAAGTATGGCTATTTTTTTTTATATGAAATACACTTCAACTGCTAGTTTCCAGATAGTTTAAATCGCGTGGTAAATGTTTGAATGTAAATCTAACCCTGTGTTTTGAAATAGTTTGAAAATATTGTGACAATTTAAGCACAGATAAGGCTTTCAAAAAGAAAAAAAAAAGAAAATGGAATTCAAGCAAAATGTCAACACTCATTGTGAAAATGTAAACTCTCGACTAGAACTGGTATTCAGTTCTTTCTTCGGAAAACAATGTTGTTGATATTGCAATGAGTTTTTGCATCATCTGCTTCAGATACATTTCTAGTAAGTGCACAATTTATTTTTTTTCAATTATAAAGAATAATAAAATGGAAAGATTACTGTCTGTAAAGAGGTTCGTGTCAGTATACTTACAATATTACGTGCATTTGTGGGACATGCTGTGGAATCTTATTTTACTGTTAATAATGTCAAAAATAATAAAGTGATTGGAACAGATTTCAATATAATAACACTAAAATATATTTTTGGTCAATTTCAAATTTGAAAAAATCGCTAATTCACTTTACGATTATTGTATAACTTTTTACAGGCTTCAAGGTCTTGCATACTATCTCAAATACACGAAACAATGGTTATCATTTGATCGTACAAAACATTACATATACAATAAAATAAAGCAAATAAAACAAAGGATAATATACACAAACATAAACATTTTAAAGGCATAAATACATGCCGAGTATATTATATTTTGAAAGATAAGTTTTTTTGCAGCACATGAATGGCATTAGCCTCAACTTAGAAGTGTGGATCAAATGATATAAAGATGAATGTTAATCATAAAACAAATCCTGTGTTACTCTGGAACTCTATGGTTTAAAAAGTCACTGGATTACTTATTTACAATTGAAAAATTCGTATCCATTCGAACAAACTTTATTCTAACTGTGGAAAGAAAATCCTAACACTGTACATTCATATACACTTAGAACGATCTAATAATCTTGCAAAATTTAAATTGAGGTTAGGCATTGTATTTTGTCGCATTTAGATTTAGCCCTATTTACATTTCTTACAAGTAAAACATAAAATTAGTTTGCGCCTCCTGTAATCGACGGAACGTTCATTGTTGCAGAAAATTTGTTCCAGTGCATATCTGTTGTATAACCCATAAGTCTCCATTTTCCACTTATTTTCGGTGTAACTTTGACCGACGCACTTGTTCCCGGGTGTAATGCTATGACGTCATATCCAACATAGAAACTACTGGATTTTGAAAACGCAACACCTGACATATGTATAGATTGGAACCTGAAACCAATATTGAAGAAATGTATGAATTGTGATTTTCCAACTTCGTAGCTGATTTCCGGAAGAGTGCCTTCGCTCATACCGTTGACGACTGAAATAACAGAGGAACATATAATCAGACTATTTTGTATGATAGTTAACATGGTTAAGCAGTTCGAAGAAATATGGATATATATCTCGTTTGATGTCTTAATGTGGAAGTAATGTTTAGTAATCATAAACTTTTATATGACTTATATAATTGTGTATTTTTAAAAATCTCATTAAAGCATTTATGCTTACATTGTATGAACTATTTTTAGCCTCTGTCAAGCTGAATGTTAATGACCCAGTGTTAAATTATTAAAGTTCTTATAGTTTGGTTCTCCGAGATATGAGTGGGGAATCTGAAATCGACACTTCACAAGTTTGACAGTCACCATCACGAATTGATTGAACGATACGATGCGAGTCGCTCATTTGTTTTCACTTGATTTGTACATTAAACATTTATTTACGAGATATTAGGATCGGAAAACTGCTGCTATCTCTAATATAAATGCCCTTGTCAACCGGCTAACTTGGCTTCACTTGATACCAAGTAATCACACAAAAGACAGTGGACCTGCCTAAGCTGTCTCACTGACATTTATCCCATAACGTATAATGAATACTTATCGATTAATTGACATTTTTTACAACTCTGAAAGATATGCACACATGGATGTTTGTCACTGCTTTTAAATTATTGCTAGGACTCGATATTTTTATTTAAGAATAAATTGCTTCTTTTTTATGATTTTATTATGGTGTAAAAGCGTTGACCGAAACACATTTGTACGAAGCGCTTCCATAAAAAATGTGCGCACGATCAACGCTTTTACACCCCTATAAGATTATAACAAGAAGCATTTTATTCTTATAATTACATTTTTATGCTACAACCATGAAATTAAGAGTTATATCAAAGTTTTCGTTTGTTTTTTCTAGGCTTTGTTTTAACATGTCACGAATAGCACGTGCAGTCATAGCTGTTGTATTTACACGATAATAAAATTTGATATGAGAGTTACTCCCGATTGTTGTCAGCAAATAAAAATTACAGTTTCTTATGAAGCATACTATAATGTACTTATTAATCAATGAATTGATAAATCAGTTTTCCTTGTATGTCCCTTCCAAGTCAGGAGCCTGTAATTTAGTGGTCGTTGTTTTTTGCTATATATCATATTTGGTTTGTTTGTTTGTTTTTGTTTTGTACTTAAATCAGGCCGTTAGTTTCGTAATTGAATTGTCTTTATTTGTCATGTCTAAGGCTTTTATAGCTTGCTAATCGGTTTTGGCTTTGCTTATTGCTGCAAGCCGTACGGTGAACTTCTACGTCATTTGGTTTATGATGGAAAGTTGTCTCATTGGCATTCATACCACATATTCTTATTTCTATATATTGAGAAATAATGAAAACATACCGAACGTACAAGCAGTTAAATGACGGTATAACAGTTTGAAAAGAGAAACTGATTATAAATGCACAATTATACTATATAATGTAAATGAACAGTGTTAAAAAATATGTCCTATTCTGTAGTAAAAAGAAAGAAGCAGTTTTACTCGCAACTCCTGAAAATATCACTTGGGGAAACTATATATAATAGTTTTAAAAATATTAATGAAATTGTATGCTAAATTCAACCATTTTAAAGAGAAGTTTGAAAATAAAAAAAAAATGCAAAATGCCAAAATAAGAGGAAGACCACAACAAAACACTTCAGTTTATATTTCTTTTATTCTTGCAGTGTCGGGGCCTCGGTGATCGAGTAGTCTAAGTAGTTACTACTGTAATCACTAGCCAGTCAACACTGAGGTTGTGAGTTCGAACCCCGCTCGTGCGGGTGCACTCGACTCCAATCTTAATTGACTAGGATTGTCAGTTTTCCTATCGAAGGTCGGTGGTTTTCTCCGGGCACTCCGGCTTCCTCCACCAATAAAAACTGGCCGCCACGAAATAGCCCAAAATCGGTGCTTAAAAGTGGCGTTAAAACACCAAAAATCAAAATCAAATCTTGCAGTGTCTGGGGTAATGATATCAGATACAGTGTAAAATGCAACATATATCAATTTTTTAATATTAAGAAGCAGTTAAACGAGTTATAAATGCATAGAAAATGTCAAGCAATAAACATAGGCAGCAGTAGTTTACTGGTGTTCAGATCTCATAAATCGATTTAATAGACAAATCAAGGTACGAAACAACAAATAAAATTGAACAGCCAAACAGACCGGGTGCGTCGACAGGATAAGCGGCTCCTGCTATGTATGCATTACCCGTAATGCGAAACCACATTCCGTCCATATGTCACAATAAGGAATAGAACATAAACGGTTAAATTACAAATTAGACGACTATCTTGGTATCTTAATATATCCAAGTCTGTGAAAACCTGTCACTAGTGAGTTTAGGTATATCGTATCGGGCAAGAAATTCGTCCTGGTGATCGCAAAAATTATCTGGTGTCGATTGTATTCGTTCTTCATCATAACTCTATTGGAGCAATATTTGTGTAAGGAGCAAATAATTACCGAACAATTTATTCATGGTGAAACATATAATGGCTGCGAAAGAAGTATGTTGGTTATAAGAAATAGATTGATGACAAATTCGATTTGTCATTATTTATTTTCATACCTTTAATTCTATTATTGTTGATTAGTTCTGTGTCATTTAAGTTTGTGTTAGACCCAGGACCATATCTCTTTACATTTTCTTTAAAATACCAACTCATCGACTCATCCACTTCACCAAAGAAAATTATTGAATGTTTGAAGTCAGTTGCAGCCTTCACTCCTTTATTACATATAATAATTGGTCCTATCAAACCAGTGGATATGTCTTTTTCAATATCCAGGGTTGAAAAGTAAGTCTGAAAATATTTGTATGTAAGTTACAATAATTGCTCGTATTGCGTCAGACTATAAATAAATTATGTAATGTCATTATAGGCAACTTTAGTTGTTTGCATGCTTTTTTAATTTTAGTTCATTTATATGTTTCGGAGTTTAGTATGACGTCCATTTTCACTGAACTAAATACATTTTTTTAGGGGCCAGCTGAAGCCCACCTCCGGATGCGTGATTTTCTCGCTGTGTTGAAGACCCATTGGTGGCCTTTGGCTGTTTTCTGCTCTTTGGTCGGGTTGTTGTCTCTTTGACACATTCCCCATTTCCATTCTCAATTTCATTCATAAACATTTGCAACCAAACTTCTATGTAACAAGATTGCTGCAACATTTAAAATTCCATGATTTCACCTGACTGTCGACCCATAACTAAAAAATTCGAAGAGGTTTAGTTGAAATTAATATATTTCATCTGATATTAAAAAGATTAACTACGGTTCTTTGTTAGTTAATCCGAAGCGCTATTCTAGATAAACCTTCATCAAAAACCCTTAAACTTATTCAAAATTGCCAAATTCATTTAAGGTCAACTTTGCCTCAGGGAGTTGGAATCTGAGTTTTTTAAAATTATTTTTTGATTTACGAATGGACAATTGTAAATAAGTCTGTGTTATACTTTTTGAATTTACCTTGGAGTTCGGTATTTTTTTTAGATACTTTTTTTTATATCATGCCAGAACAGAAGCAACATATGAGACAAGAATGGATTGTCGTTCTTCACATCCTTACTTGCCTTTGCAATGCATTCTGCATCCCCCGATCCAGGACCAGCACTTCGTGGAATATTCCAGGTAATATTTCTAGTATTTTTTGGCGATAAAAAATCGGTAAAATCTGCTATTACACCAGGCACATAAATAGAGAAATTTCTGTCAGCAATGTTTTTCATGTCTGAAAAAAAGATAGAGCCAGTTTAAGGATGTTCAATTTTCACGTTTCAACTTTTGCTTGATATTTTTGACACCCTATGATTTTTTATATAAAAATCCCGAGATATTTGTTCGGACAAAGATCACAAAGTTCTGTTTCAAAAACACGGGTTTATATTTATTTTTCCATCTTTTTGACGTATTATTCATTATCTAGTAAAAAATCAAAATTCACTGAGATTTAGTTATTTTGAAATTATATTTTGGAAACCTTCTTGAGGTCAAGACAAAGTAAATGAAAGTTTCGTGTAACTGGCATTTTGCTATCTTGTAAAATCTGAAAAGATGTACCGGAATACTTAAAACATATGGAGGTAACATTTAACTTTTCAAATTATCTGATATATATTATTGTCAAAATTGTAAGTTTTCATAAGACATCAATTAATGATTGCGTATTTGTGTTTGAATTGTTAAAAAAAAAATTCTTACGTAACATTTTAGTAAAAATTATAGTCTTATTCACATTAAGACGTTTGGATCATTTGTTTTATTTTCTTGTAATGAAACGACCATTTGTATATTTTATTTTCGACCAATTTTTAGGTGTTATTTTTCTAATGCAGTGTTGGGTTTTTTCTCGAGTAATTTATGGCAAAAATATAAGTATATGACATACTTATTTTCAGACTTTCTCCAACACTGGTATAAAACACGTGACCTACATATCCTTGATAGTTAAGTCTCCTTGTAAAGTCCAAGCGATTTGAATTGGGATAAAGATATCCAAACATTGCTTTAATGTATCTAGGAGACATCTTCATGTCCCCCGTTTGAAATCTGAAAGAACAAAACATTATTAGTAGTCAGCCCAGTAGTCAGTGCATCGGTACTGTCATGATTTATTACAAACTTTTAGCAAACAAGTCGGGAATATGACAATAGTTTTACATTCGTTTGGTGTGTTTGAGCTTTTTATTTTGCCATTTAATAAGGGACATACTACATTGTAACTGAATCCAGAGATAACATTAGCTATATATTATCACGGTAGGTATAGTGTCGGGTTGAGATCGTGTTTTTCCGAGTGAATCTTTTTTTTCATTTTTCAAGTGTAGTCAAGTTTCCGAGTGAAATTACATGCTATCAATACGATTAACTGTTATCGCTTTTATAATAGTTTTGTCCATGATCGGTCATCTTATTCGTTATACTACGCATTTTCTGAGCACAAACGATGCATAATTTCCTTGCCTTTTACTCAATATTCTGACTTTCACATACGTTTTTGTCGAGTAGAACGTTTAAAACGTACGGATTTTGTAAAAACAATATGAGTAATAAAGATGGCATTCGGAGCCTTTGAAACTGACTTAATTGATTTTATAACTATTATTCGGTGGAGGAGAATACAAAATATTTACAAAAAGTAACAACTGATATATCAGTATGTTGCTCCCTAAACCCTTTAAAATCGAATGTCAATTTTCGGTTTTGAATACTAGCAAATTTTACTATAACGTCCCAGTATTAGGATACAGTAGAACTCGTTTGATCCTTTATAAAACGGTCGTTTGAACCGAGTACTGGGGACTCAAATTTGTTTTAAACGTTATTTAAAGTACCCTTATTAACAGTCAATAATATTTCATGTTTTTAATATTTTACATTGTTTGCACTGCAAACGAACTGTGCTTTTTTTTCATCATTTATATATTTTTTCAAGGTAATAGACAAAACTTGCATTTTAACCCTATGTTCTATTTTAATTAAGCCATGTCGGCCATGTTGATCGACAGGCGGGGTCATTGGGCACATTTTAAAATAAGTTATCCCAATGCTGATTGTGGTCACGTTTGGTTAAATTTGACCTAGTAGTTTTAGTGGAGAAAATTTATGTAAAGGTTAACGGACAATGACGACGGACGCCAAGTGATGAGAAAAGCTCACTTAGCCCTTTGGACAGTGAGTCAAATTAAGTCTTAAAACGTCCTTATCAATGACATTACAGGAATTTTCGTTAAATGCCTGTATATCTAAGATTTACATTTGTATGTGTATAGAAAGGGCTTTATTCTATAGTATGGAATAAAAGCATTTCAACGCAAACTTAAAATTTTATGACACAAAATAATGTATGGTTGATAATATATTTTTATCACAAATACAAAGTAAACTTGTGTGATTGTAGTTTAAGCATCTGTTCCACATTTTACCAGAAAAGAAGTCTGGTTGTTTACATTTTAGATCATATTCACTAGAAAAACGTGGTCATACTCTTAAAAACTCGATCAAATGACTCGAAAAAAAAACACGATCCCAGTCGGACACTATACTTACCGTGAGTACACCCAGTCATTTCTAGAAGAAAACCTAGGTTATCGAATAAATCAAATCATACAAAGCTGAAGAAGTTTAATGTACGATCACAAATTTGTATGTTAAAAAAACCATATCTTAAAAAAACTAAAAAAGACAGCAAATGGCAACAAATGGCAGCCTGATATTTCAACCTTGAAGGTCCTTTCCAATGCATATAAACTCATGACAAAAAGGTCCTGACTAAATGAGTGAAATGACTACTAAAATAGGCAATAGGTTATTTCTCAATTCATTCTTAACACAGATGAATTTTTCAAGAGTTGGATAATGGTAAGCATAACAGTTTATTTTTTTAAGTGCGAATTATCGTAGCTATATGTTTCCTGTTAGAGATATAAAGATAAGGAAAGTCTAAAAAGGAAGAAATCTTAGAACCAATGAGGAACTGCTCAAACACAGTTTTATTATATTACACATAAGAAAACATTGAAAGATTTCGTATTGAAGAAATTATAATGGTTTTTTTATATCCGTTTTTTTGTAATTAGCACTGTTAATCTTGAAGCAACCTAGTAGTCTTATTTTGCATAAAAAAAGCACGATATCAAAACCGTATCTAATTTTTCTAAAACCATGTCGCAAATATTCATTTTTTAGAGCTAATTTCCTAATGCTTGTAGAATGAGACTTTGGTTGGCTTGCTTGCTTTGTTTGTATAAATGTTTGCTCAAGCCTAATAATTAAGATTGACATCTGCAAACAATATAAAGAGGCAGAGTTAAACCTGTATTTATTATACTTAAATTTGATTGGATGTTATCCTGGAGGTTAGGAATCTAAATATAATGTATACAGGTTTAACTCCGTCTATTTATTATTTGCAGATGTCAATCTTAATTACAATGCTTGAGCAAACATTTATACAAAGGAAATAAGCTCTAACTAGGCCTTATAAAAAAAAACTAAGATATTTGTTATGCTCTCTATGATGAAATACACATATATTAAATATCTCTTAAGCTGGCAAGTATATTAAAGACCAAAAAAGACTTTATCACTTTTTTTGTTTTCTTCAAAATATGGTCGTTCAAAATGGAGCAGGATCTGCTTATCCATACAGAAAACATGAAACCACCTCAGTCTTTAGTTTTCTATGTAGTGTTCTGTGTACTTGTTCGTCTTTCCGTCGTTTTATCAATTTTGTCATGGCGTTGTCATTTTTTTTCCAACTTAAGGGTTTCGAACATCTCCTTGGTGTCTTTTGTGTCTTTTTTTAATGCTTTTTAAGTAAAACCACATTTTTCTGAATAAGACTGTTGCGCTCCCTTAATATGACACTTTCAGATCGATGAGTGCCACAAGGGGCGAAAGAACTACCTCACCTTCCAGATAGTCTGCGTTTACTCACAGCATTGTTATAAAAGGGATCGCGTTGCTTTTATATTATTTTTCCTTTTTCAATTTCTGTGTTGTTTCTACCGGTAACAGTCTTGTTTATCGTTTTATGTCTTAGAAAACCGTCGTTTTAAACTTTCACATTTGTTAAAGTTGAAGGTTAGATCATTTACAACCGGTGGTTTATGAATTTGTTATTGTCGTAGGATTAAATAATTTGATTATGGGTCAAATCGTGCTTATTGAAAAACTGCGTTTGTTCTGGTGGAAAAATATCTCGTTATTTTAAGTTGAAATATTAATATTAATGATTAGAAAATATTGAAATCGTTAATAAGTTTCACAATCTTTTCACACTTTTGACACGTCTCGATATGAAAATGAAATTTATTCCATTGTGAATGCTGTTATTGTACAGAATATTCCGCATACCAGTATAAAGTGCCATTATTAAATTTTAGCTGTCCCATCTTAAATTTGTAGGATCTTTCATACTGCATGGTAAAGAAATGTTATAATATGAAAACTTACCGTTTCCACTTTGTACGATATCTTCTGTCAACATAATCCCATCTATCCTTGATGATCCCTAGATACGTCACCTCTTCGATTTCCTTGAAATCCTCCTCATTTGTTATACTACGTCCACAACGACTGACATTTAGGGAAAACCCTAATATTTCATCGGGAAAACTATTTACTTCTTTAACTCCTTAAAACGACAAAACATGTCATCTTTTTCGTGAGAATATGTGTGCAATTCTATTATGAAATAGGGTGAAAAGGTCTCATAAAATACAATAAAAATAGAATTTTTTGACGCAGTTAAAAAGGTTAAAGCACATACTCAATGTAAACTAGATTTCACATCTTCACTCTATCAGCCTTTGTTAGTTGTTTGATATTCGCAGAAGTCTGGTATTAGTGGACGGTGTGGTCTGTGGAACTGATTGATAGTGTTTCTAATTCCTGTTGTTCTTCTTTTTATGTATTTATACATGTAAATATGTATAATAAACGAAATTTCTATGTATGATATATATTTAAGCCCAGTAGAATCCGTATGCTGGAAATACACACACACATGAAAACTAAATCATAAAAGATAAAACGGTTTTAATTTCGACATTTTTACAAGTAGTTTCACAGCTTTCATATTTGATAATGCAGGGAAAGACAATTTATGGAATATAAATACACGTATGAGTGTGTGCATGTGTTGTTGTTTGCTTGGATATATCAATTTAACCATGGATGTTCGTGTATTATTACTGTGGCTTAAAGACAGCGTAGTTTTGATATAAAAGTGATATATTTAGTTATAAAATGTATTGAAAACATTTAAACTATATCTAATATACAATATGAAATATCTCTACCCTCTTGAGCTAGTTGAAGTGTCACCGAAGTTGGCAGGTGAGGTATCAGTCCAACAGCTGACATTGAGGAACCGTCCTTGACAAATGGATCACTTTTACTGATAAGTGTCACAGGTTGATTTGTAAGTGTTATAAAATGGAATCTATTCGTCTCTCCAGTACATAGATGCAGTGTTGGAAACATTTTTTTGCTCAATCCATTAATGTCTGAACATAGAAAATATCACCAATAACAAGAGACAAAATAAAAGATAGGTTATTAAATTGATGCATGTTTAAAATGATTGAATTATTCTACAAAAGCAAGTCGAAAACGGTACTTAATGTGCGTATCTAGGTAATGAATTAAGTAAACCATAAGAGTGAGACAACTTTTAAACCATTATATTTGAGATAACAGCTGAACGCTGTGCTATGTTTTCACTTTGTAGACAATAAATTGTTGATAGTGATTAAGACTATGACACAATGTTGACTGCTGTAACCCTATTTTTGACATTTTTACCTTTAATGTCTGTTTGTTTTGTTCACACATTGTTGTCAATATTATGTCATACAAGTGAGAGGTTTAGCTAGCTATAAAACCAGGTTTAATCCACAATTTTCTGCATAAGGAAATGTCTACTAAGTCAGGAATATAACAGTTGTTTTGCATTCGCTTGATGTGTTTGAGCTTTTGATTTTGCCGTTTGAATTTTTCTTGGAGTTCGGTATTTTTGTTATTTTACTTTTTCATATCTAAAAGTATTACGCAAATGTAAGGACAAATATTAGAAATGTTACAAAACCTAATAAATATATATATATAATGCGCTTTTTATTATTCACACGGGCAAGTGATTTCAAAGATCGTACTAACCCGTGGTATTGGCAATACTAGGAAGTACGAAAAGAAAGAAATCTTCCCCGCCAATTACCTGTAAAACAATAAACATAGAATAAAGTATAAACTCTCACTTTCACTCCCCATTTTCAAAAATGTCTGTCTGTTTCAGTTTTATTTTTTTTTTACAATTTGGTCTGAACACTGTTTAGCTTGAAACTTTGAGTTATGACTTCTAAAATGTTCTATTCTTCAATCTTTCATCTAAAATACTATGAATAATTCATTTGAGAAAGTTTCAAAATTTATAAAAGAACAGAGTTCCAATGTCCCCGTGTTGCACATATTGTATCTGTCTAAGGGGCATTAACAAGAAAACTTTTTTGTTTGTTTGTTGTTAAAACAATGCAATTTTCTGTATAATTACTATTTCCACGAGGAATTACTCTTTTAAACAAAGTTGATCGGCACTGATTTTCGAAGCTGTCCGAAACAGTGCTGATATAAACCTTTGATATAAAATTGATAAAAATCTGGCAAGAATTGTACACGCTTACAAGACGGTACGGACGGACGGACAACAGGTATCTCTATGTCTCACGCGGCACATTGCAGGGGGAGGGAGCAAATAAATCCTTTCAAATGCAGTGGGTTTAAAAAAAAATGGTGTCTTTCAATTCAAATTAACGGTGATTTTGCAATTAAAGGCGTCAAAGATGCCTATTTTTCGGTATTAACTTGCTTAAGAAACTCAAATGCAAACTTAAAAAAGACTGTTATAGACAAAAATACGAAACCTCAACGAAATTTAACGAATAATAATAAGGAATAAATAGTCACCGGTATCATCTATGTTCTAAGCTCGAATCTGTTCGGAATATACCAACCAAGAGAATAAAAACTGAGACGATCGGACGAATTCAATAAAGGAGCAAAACCGGTTACGCCAAAATGATGATCGTCTCCAGCTATGCTTGCATTTTCAGCAGTACGAATCCATACTAAAAAATGACAAGATAAAGAATACGACACAATCGATAAAATCTAAGCTCAGACGACAATTCTGTTATTTAAGGTTCTAAGACAGCACACATTTCTCGTGTGAAACACAGACACATCGCATCGGTCTAACAATTCGTGATGGTAATCTTGAAACTTGTACAGAACATATATCAGTCGTTCCTCCTTATAAACCTGCTGGAGGAGTTTTGATAAAACATAATAACCTAAAATCGCCCCGATTGATTCCTTTGGAAAGAAAAACCTTGATAAATTTATAAATGGGGTTTTCTGTCCAGTAATCCAGCAAAAAATGTCAGTACCGAAGACAAAAAAATCAATTTTAAATTTCCTTTTCTGTAATGGTTAATAACCCGGTTTTGAAGAAAAAAAGTTGTACTCCTTTACCAAAAAAATGGGTCTATATCCGTAAGTGTGCTTGTCGAGAAACCGCTAGTAATTACCTGGTTATCATTGTGGTCTAAAGCATATTGTTGACAGATCAGTATAGATCCCACCATTGTTGGTTCCCGATCTAGATCTACATAGTAATAACGCGGGATACACATATCTTCGCCAATTACTGGACCAAAGAATTCAGGTAGGAACCAGTAGTATGTTCTCTTTTCTCCTGGAGCTGTTTGTATCTTACCTTTAGCAATTAAATAATGAATAATGAATAAATATAGTTTAAACCAAAATCAAACAAAAATGCCTCTATAAGGGGTAAACTTGACAAAGACATTGGAATGCGTAATATCTAAACAATACATTACATGTTTGTGGTGTTAATAATTGTTTTGACACAAACGACTAGAATGTGTTTCTATGTATAGATTTCCTTAGCCGTATTTGGCACAAATTTTGCAAATTTTCCGTTATCAATGCGCGTTTACTTCGTAATATTTCAATTCGCTTTGCTTTGAAACTGCTATAAATCGAGCGCCACTGGCGAGTCTTCAGTATACACTACGCGATTCTGGCATACCATATATTAAGCCTGGTATCATTGATGAGTTTTACAACCACCGAGTCGATGCCACTGCTGAGGGACGATTCGTTGCCAATGGTATCACCAGCCCAGTAGTTAGCACTTTTGTGGTCGACATGAAATATTTTCTGTTAACTTACTGTTATAAATTGTTGAAATATTCAAAACTGTAAGGTTTTTCTACACCTAGGTGTAGATTTTCGTAGCCGTATTTGGCACAACCTCTCGGAAATTTTGGTCATTAATGCTCTTTAACTTCGTAATATTGAATTTAGCTTTGCGGCTGTTATGATTCGTCACTAATGAGTCTCATGTAGGCGAAACGTGCTTCTGGCGTACAAATTAATAAAGCCTGGTATGTTTGATGAGTTTTTATACAGTTCTTAAGGATCAAGACACAAAAAACATAAGTGAAAACATCTTGATTTTTTTTTATCCACCACGCGTTAAAAAAAGTGACGTCATATAATCAGTTCCGGTAAATGCAACAACTTTATAAAATATAATTCTGATTCAAAAACTCGGACGTCGACTGAAGGTATTGGTACGATTCACAGAACTATTTTAGGAACTACAATACCAGGACACATGTAACTTATGGAAAGAGGCAAATAAAACAAGAGGAGACAATAAAAAACTTTAATTAAACTAACCAACATAATGTCGAAAACAAGACAACACCATGACTTGGAGAAAAAGGACAAAAATACAAGCAACATTCTACAAAACACAACAAAATACTGAGCAACACAAACCCCACCAATAATATCCGTGTTCATCGTTGATATTCAAGAACAGTCAACCGTCTCATGATACCGACTCACTGCGTCCGTAAACTTTCGAAGAAATTATCTTAATTTACAAATTGGAACCCTTATTTCAATAGTTACCTTGTTACCAGCAAGTCTCTATCAAGGAAATACAAGCCCTGAAATATCGTATCGAGTGGGAGATAGAAAGTTCGTGTGCAAGCATAGCTGGAATGTTGCTACATATCATTGGAAAGTTCACAATTGGAAAGCTCAAATCTTATTTTTTGTCTTTAAATTTAGTTCTCAACAGTCCCTCGTATAAAAGAGACCCAAGCGGTTGTCAAGGCATGCATTGCAACCCCGTCTAAATGGCATGATTTGAAACCGTCAAATATGGAAATAATGCTTGGGTTTCAAAGAAAAAAATGCATGCGATCACGCTTTACTACTATTAACCAATACTACTACGACTACTACTACCAATAATAATTATAGTGAAAAGATACATGGGCGGAAATAACAAATATAGCAATGCATTAAGACTGTTAAGAGCTGAGCTTACCAGATACATTGTCGTTATAGATTAATCCTTCATATTCTTTATTAGTCCTAAGTCCAGCTGGTTTGATTGCTAGAGTCTTGTTTAACTTATTATAAAATACTACTTTGATTACATCTCCAACTTCAGCTTTTATCACTGGACCAAAAACTGTCCCCAAATAGGATTCTTTTTCACTTCTTTGGACTTCTTTATCGAACTTTCTGTTTGTATAAGCAAACAAACTATTCCTGAAATAACAATAATAAGATGTCCCTTATAACAATAAAAATGTGAAACGTGTTGTCAAATATACACAATCCGGTATGACAATAAAAATGTGAACCGTGTTGTCAAACATACATTTCCGGTATAACAATACAAATGTGAAACGTGTTGTCAAACATACACTATCCGGTATGACTATAAAAATGTGAAACGTGCTATCAAACATACACTATCCGGTATGACAATAAAAATGTGAAACGTGTTGTCAATCTTACACTATCCGGTGTGACAATAAAAATGTGAAACGTGTTGTCAAACATACACTATCCGGTATGACAATAAAAATGTGAAACGTGTTGTCAAACTTACACTATCCGGTATGACAATAAAAATGTGAAACGTGTTGTCAAACTTACATTATCCGGTATGATAATAAAACTGTTAAACGTATCGTCAAACAAAAACTATCCAGTATGACAATAAAAATGTGAAACGTGTCGTCAAACATAAACAGTAATAAAACATGGTGAAATAGCTGCCTACAACAATTTTCCACGAATAATTGCCAGGGCTTATTTATCATAAACTCTAAAGACATTTGTAAGAATCTTCAGTCAAACACCTTTATAATCTATTGTATTCAAACATCGTGTTAACAAAAGGCGTGTTAGTCTACTAGTACATGAAATAATTTTTGCTTTTTGTTATTTTTTAATTAGTGTCTGTTGTGTTTACACTTTTCAAAAATTCTTAAGCTCTTCCGGGTTGAACTTTGCAGGAATAGCATTTTATATGTTGTTTTTTTTTCAAAATTTTGTAATTAGGTTCCAATCAGGTGAAAAACAATCCGTAATTCTTTTTGGGTAATTTTGCTGTGACTTGACTGTAAGTGTTGCTCTCCACCTATTGCAACTTATTCAAAATTTTAACCAATTTGCAATTGGTTTTATAAAACCAAACTCTTCAACTGGTCAGAAATTTGAACAAACTGCTGTAGAAAACCACAGTCGTGAAAGTGCAAGGTGATAAAATAAAGAACACTTACAATCCCATAAGACTTTAATTCCACTTCAATGATATTATGAAAAATCAGTCTAATAATTTTTATACAAAATTTATTTTAATTGTCATGCTAAAGGTGATAGGTAGTAATTTTGAACTGCTATAAAATTCATAAGAATCAGACATCATTTGAATAAAAACATCTTATATTCAGTAAAATATATGTGAAATTACAATACGTTGTTAATAAGTTTCCATGTAGTATATTGTAGATAATAATATGTGCAATAAATGTTATTCAAGAAAGAGACTGATAGCTGCAGTGCTGAAGGACCTGGGTTCGATTCTGACTCAGGGCGCCGGAATTTTCGGTGCATCAGATGGATGATTTTCATATTCCCACACACATCTCTGGTTTACACAGACCAGAGTTTAAGCTAAGAATGGGTATTTTGGGGCCTCGGTTGGTCACAGTTGCACCCAACTTGACCTGGAGATCAATCTGCTGATATCTCTTCGGTTTGTCCGTTCCCGCCGAGCAGCCCGGTGGTTCTCTTCGAGTCATGAATTAGGCTTCCTCCACCATAATATCAGGCTTGCTGGTGTCATAGCACTCCCTTTGTGTTGGGGTGGGCATTGTCCTTGTAAATATTGTTATAAATACGTTATTGACACATCTCCATAAATCCCGACAGGGAGTGTACACGGATTCCACTGTACCCCGCAGCTCTCGAGGGAATACATATTTAATTTCTATGAACAATTATTTGTTTTTAAGAAAATATATTCATTTTTTATGAACAAATATTTCTTTTTATGAATATATATAGAAGTCTATAAAAAGGACCAACCAGCAAACTTACTATGTACCGGATCGTCTAGAATAGACGATACTGTGCAGATAAGGAAAAAATTATATGAGTCTAGAGATTTGCACAACGATACTAATATAAGATGGTATTATACGAAGATGTTGTTAATAAATCGTGTTGACAAATATTTCGGCTTATCAAATAGCCTTCTTCAGTGTCAATTATTTTAACAATACTGATTATAAGTATATAATATAACTGCTTTCAGAACAGAAAGTTGTCATTAAATTGAAAAGGGTTATATTTGATCAACAAAGTAATATGTTTTTTGTGACTTATTAAGAATATTTTATACAAACATATTTTAGCTAGTATTAGTGACTTGAAAAAAAACGGTTAACCAAAGACAAACAACAACAATCCCAAACGTTCAATTTTATATGTATAAGCACACGTGTTCTCTAAATGACATTTAGTAAAAGCTATTGTCTATTGTAATTCCGGTCCCTTCTAAACCTCGCATTATATTTAAGACGACTGACTGATACGTTAACAAAAAACCAGGTCAAAACAACAAACAGCATAAAATAGCATATTGATATATATATTTATTATCTAAACTAATAAAAACAAACTATACTACTTCCATTATATAATTGCTAAAACTACTTGACAACATATCAAAATATAACAATATAGTAAACAATAAATGTATCTAAGTTTTGGCTTTCTAAAAATAAACTATAAAGTATAGGGTGCGGTGGATACCAGCAACAGGGTGTCGGCTGCGGTGGATACCTGCAGCAGAGTGTCGGCTGCGGTGGATACCAGCAGCGGGTTTTCGGCTGTGGTGGATACCAGCAGCGGGGTTTCGGCTGCGGTGGATACCTGCAGCAGAGTGTCGGCTGCGGTGGATACCAGCAGCGGGTTTTCGGTTGTGGTGGATACCAGCAGCGGGGTTTCGGCTGCGGTGGATACCACCAGCGGGATGTCGGCTGCGGTGCATGGATACCAGCAGCAAGGTCTAGGCTGCGGTGGATACCAGCAGCACGATATTGGATTAATTCTCTTTCGGTCGAGCTCAGAATGCAAAATAATCCCATGCTTACTTATAAAATAATTAATAATTGGAATTTTTACTATACTGATGTATAATCAACTTGGGGTACAAAATAATTTCCCCGAAATTAACATGGAACAAAAAATAGTAAGAAGCCCCAATATTTAGTTGATCATATACATGTATATATATATTTTTAAAGAGATGAAGGTGGGGAAGGCGGGTAGGAAACAAAATTAAAATCTAATACGATGAACTGGCAGCTAAAAATGAGCTGATTAATACTTTCCTTATATCTCCTATCTGATTGGCTAACAAATCTTCTAAAAATATCTCAGTTCTCTCAGTAATTTTCTAAAAATATGTCTGTTCTCTCAATTTTATAGTCTAAAAATATCTCATCTGACGTAGGCAGGAATTATCTTATCGTATTAACTATAATTTAAATCTTTAAATTTCCAACAATATTGTCCTTCGCTAAATTACAGTTAAAAACTAGAAAAAGTCAGTTTGTAAGCCCAAGAATGTCTTCTTTCTTATTCACATTTTCTTCAAAAAACCCGGACCATTTGTTGAAAAACCCAGACGTTTTAAATGTTGCTCTCGAAAAAACACTGACAATATAAAACACTGATTTGTAAGTGAACTACAAGGACATTGTGCGTCGTTTGTGCTCAAAACATGTATAGCATTCAGAATAAGATGAAGTCACAAATAAATTATACTCGCGAAATAGCAGTAAATAGAACTGATTACATGCAATATCACTCGAAAAAACCTGATCTACACTCGAAAAAAGTAGACCGATTCACTCGAAAAAAAAAAAACGATCTCAGCCGGACGCTATACCTTCAGTGGTTTTGATCAAATAAAAAATATGACGACAATAATGTTCATAGTTTTTTTTTATTAAATCCTGTAAGGAAGGAAATCACATCTTCCTCTTAGACATAGATTACACTGAGCGATACAGCCTCTTGACATGCTAGTTTACACCGAAAAGTGCTGGATTAAAAAATAAAGTTAGTAATTTACAATACCTCAATTGTCCATTCCAAGACATGCTTTCAGCAGAAATATAATATTTTCTTATCTTTGTTGAAGTATCTATAATTGGTCTGGGGTTGTCACATTTTTTAATAGTGACCAGTGCTTGCATTCCACCTGTAAACGAGAGGAAGAGAGAATGGGTACTGAATAAGGAAGTCACAAAAATTTGAATTGATTCATAGATATAGGGAGGGAAAACCTGTAGTTGATCATCAAAGTACATAATTTAAACGGGTATACAATACATGTATCATTCATCTATCGTTTACCGATCTGCCCCGCCACCTTATAAATTACGCTATTCATACGTATTTTCAAACCAACACCAAACTTGAGTACTGAGCTACTGGGCTTGTGCTATCGTCGGTGCCTAAGAGTCTAACAGGAGAAGCATCTAAGTTGTTGACCTTTAGCGATGCCAGTTTTACTGCACAATATACGCCGCAGCTTGATGCAATTTTTTAAAAAGGCAAAATTTTCAACGATTATCATGGTGTATGTTTTTACCCATTTCTCACCTTTAATGTGATATGCAGATGTTGATGAAAACAGCCATTTTCCTTCCTCAGATGGAGCAATTTCCGCTGTAAGAGAAACACCAGAAAATACTGGAAGCGTATCATACCTGGAAAAGGGAAAACAATATTTGATACTTAAGTATTTTGTAAAGCAATAACTTGCATAATACATACCTAATAGTAATAGTGATGTAAACCTTTAAGCAGTTTTTCGTTTTGTTCTAGATATTTAAAGATATGAAAACTTAAAGTTAGCAAAACAAATAGCAGTGAATATACCGTTGCTTCATCAAGTTCGAGTAAAATGACAGTCTCCTGAAATGGTTTTGAGCTTTTTATTTATTTTGGGTTGTAGTTTTTGTTCTGTCAATTCGGTTTTTTTCTAAGCATTCAAATTCTGCCATTTTCTGCAACAATACGCGTAAATCATGGTTAATTTTAGATAATTTTGTTTCGTGAAAAGATTTCAGAATACTACCACGCTTTATTGTTATATTCATAGATATGAAATAGCAAGACATATTTTATTACTTAATAAGAAATTTCCATTTTACCTCTTGTTTCTGAATTTAAATGATTGTCCATGGAACTTGACAGTGTGGACATCATCTGTTCTACTGAGTGATGCTATATGCAATCTTGTCTTGGCACCAGCACAGAACGTTAAATCTGGCAAATTTGCATACACGAAACCATTTATGTTGTGAAGCGTGTTCGATTCGTCCTTAGTTTCATTAGCAAGCAGACTCAGGTTTTCGTCAATTTCTCCGAAGTAAAAGAAGGCATCGTCGTCTTTCTTCACAACTTTGTCTTCTGAGAAAAGAAGGGTAAAGATGGAGAAAATCAACAGCATTGATCTATTGGCTTATTCCTATAGTATTTATAATGTTTGCTATCTCGCATATATATATATAAGTGTGTCTGCTCGAATAGCATTAAATGAAAAACTGGGATTTTTCATAGAATTGGCAACTCCTTCACGTAGAAAATTCATCTCAAATATCAATAAAAAGAGATGTAGGGTCAATAAGACGACAACACAATCCAACGACAAAATTTACTCTGAGGACATCTAGAGGTCAAACTATTGTAATCTTCAAGAAGAGACAGGTGTTTATACAACATGTCCAATTCAAAATCTTCCCGAGTCTTTAAAAGTTGTACATAATTTTACCAGAAACAATCAAAAGATATTCATTTATGAAAACAAGACATTGTGTAAATATTACTAAATAAGACATTGAAGCTACGACCTTAATTATTATCTTTATCTTTATATCAAGACAAATAAACTTACTAGAACATACTAGGATGAAACCAAATAAACCCGTGTTGACATCTTTGATAAAATCGACATCTGAATGATATAGATGGGAAATGCATCCTTCCCCAAATTGTGGACCACTCTCTTCTGTAATGTTCCAAGAATATCTGTAGCTACTACCCGGTGAAACACCGGTTTGGCCATCATATGCACTACCTGAGGATTAAAAAAAAAACAATAAAAAAATAGTACGAATATGAAAACAAGTATTCATGAAAATTTGGAAAGATAAGAACCAAAATAAACTGGTGCTAGAAGTGAAATTAATGCAAATTGAACAAAAATCTAGACAAAACAACATAAATATGCAATTCTGACTAAATAGATTTTTATTTTTATTTATACAAAAATAAGGAAAAAAATCAGTGTTGTACAAATGTACAAAAATAATTTGATTTTCTTTCAACTTTCACATACATGTTAGTCTGTATGACCGTTCGATACTAATATTCGTTTACTAGTGAAACAGGCTGATAGTTTTTTTCTTTACTCCACATAATGTTATCCTGAAAAATTTAAAGTTTACTATACTGTATGGATTATGGAGAGTTGTCTCATTGGCACTCATACCACACCTTCTTATATCTATTTGCTAATCGTAAAAGGCCGTATGGTGACATCCGTCGTATTTTGGTCTTTGCGAGGTGGATGGTATTTTCACTGGCAGTTGAACCACATCTCCTTATTTTGATATTGACGAAAGCTATTCTAAAAAAATTTGCCATGTGCACTGAAATTGACTTTTATGATACGTTTATATTACCTTCATTTGCTTTAGTGTAAGGTACTCCGTGCGGGTGTATACTAAGGCTATGTGATGCGGTATTGTTGAAAATAACAATCAGTTCATCTCCAACTTCAACTCTTAGAATTGGTCCAAGAAAACCTAAATATTCTTGGGAGTCTTTGGTGATATTGAAATATCGATCTGTGTATTCTTTGTAGATAATTTTATTGTAAACGTGTTGTTCTATGTTCTGTTCTCTGAGGTCACTCTCAGTTGGTCTGTAAAGAAATTAGAAATAACTTATCGATTATTATATATACAACCATAGATCTAGGTAAGCACCAGTCATTCTAAAAATCTGGATGTCAGTATACTTGCTGTAAAAGAGAGGAGAAAGATACCAAGGAGACATTCAAACTCGTAAGTCGAAAATGAACTGACAACGACATGGCAAAAAAAGTAAAAAAAAAAAAAAAGACAAACAACAGTATACAAAACACAACATATAAAACTAAAGACTGAGCAACACGAACACCACCAAAATCCGGAGGTGATCGTAATCTATGGAACGCCACAGCTGTCTTATGTGGAACTCTGGTATTACTTTATGTTGTTTTATTATTACTTGATGATATTTTGTCTTTACTTAATATGGTTTTGACATTACGTAATGATGTTTTGATATAACTCAATATGGAATAGTCATTACTTAATGATATTTCGATATTACACGATATGGTTTCGTATTGACTTGATATAGTTTTGTCATTACTCAATATGGTTTTGTCATTACTCGATGTGGTTTCACCATTATTTAATGTGGTTGTGTCATTAATCAATGTGGATTTAACATTACTTGATATGAATGTGACTTAACGTTATGTAGTTGTTTCATTACATGATGTGGTTTTGTTATTTTGTAAAGATGATTTGCCTATTCTTTATATGGTTTTAACATTACGTAATGATGTTTCAAAATTTGACGATTTTACACTACATGATGTGTTTGTTTCATTATTTGATGTGGTCCTGTCATTCTTTGATGTGGTTATCCCATTACTTGATGAGGTAAAATCACGTGACCAATTCGGAAAAACCTGTTCTATTTTTAGATAGATTTCGATGTTGTATGTGCCTTGGATGAGTGTGGCCACCCATCGAATTAGAGTTCGGGTTACTGTTTGAGTTAAACTTTGAGTAAGTCTTCGATTTCGAATTCAAGTCATTATTAGAATTAAAGTTTTAGTTAGCATTGAGTTTTGAGTTGGACTTCGAGTTTGAGTCACATTTAAAGGTAGAGTTCTAGTTACAACATTAAATTTGAGTCACTTTTTGAGGTAGAGTTTGAGTAAGATTCGAATTTAAGTCTCATTTAGATTAATTAAGATTATGAGTTGAAATTCGAGCTATCTTATATGAGTTCGTAATTAAATTTTCTATCGCGGAACAAGACTTTTGCTCGGGCTTCCGAAAAGAGGGCTCCGGGGTATGCGTACAAAAGATAAAAAATGTTACAGTATACAAAACGCAACATAGAAGTTGAAATAAAGCTAGATGTGGAGTGATTGACAATGAGACAACTATCCACCAGAGTTTAAATGCAGTGGATATAAGAAATCATATATAGGCAACCGTACAGCCTTCAACACACCATTTAGTCAGCTACAAAAGGCCACCATGCACCATGTGAAAAAATTCAAACGGAAAAACAAACGGTCTTATTTATAAATAAATAATCTACAAAAAAAAAAAAATGACACACATTTATACAACGACAACAATTGAACTTTATGCTCCTGACTTGGGGCAGGTACATAAAGAAAGTGCACGTGGCGGAGTTTAACATGTATGTGAGCGCTAAATCCTAACCTTACATCGGACTGTTACAGTTGTGTAACAGCACAACACGAGAAAAAAATGTAAACTAGACAAAGTGATGCCCCTGCACTCAACTCATTTAACCGATTATACTCCAAAAATGACAAAAAAAGTCCAACTATCTCCCAAAAGAGCAAAAGATAATAAAAATAAAAACCCTGACCACATGCACACCTTCAATATATATACAAACAGACAGTAAAGAGAAAACTTCCTATGATTCAAACTGTAGGAGGAGTTATGCGGAATAACTATATACCCATAATGGGACGGACAGACGGACGGACGGACGGACGGACGGACGGACGGACGGACAGGGGTAAAACAATATGCCCCCCAACTTTCAGTTGCGGTGGCATACAAAACAGTTTCATTTGGCTGATTCAATAGATCGGTATGACTGGGTAATATAAATCCTTCGGGGTGATCTCGGATGCTCCAGAAAGGCACCCGTCGTGTTATTCGAGAAAGTACAAACCCAGTGATTTGGTTTTATTTGGTAGTTTACATTCAAGGAAACGATGACGGTATTGTGGTTACGACCACTGATACAGATATTCCAAAACTTTTATTTTTCAATTAGTGCGAGGTAGATCAGGGAATTCAATTGATTACAAATAAAAGATTGATATTCGTATAAGTTCAAATGATCATTTACGCTAAAAAACATTCAGAGAATTCTTATTTTATAGTATTGATGCTTTGTCGCTTAGTCCGAGCCGCCCTCCCCCTGTTTCCCTGTAACTTTTGTGTGAGTTGATTTGAAGTGTTTCATTTGTTAACAATATAAAGTTTAAGTCTTTTGATTTGTGTCGAGCCTGCGACATCAATGTAGCGGCAGTGAGACACAACAAACCTATATTTCGTCGTCGATAGTGGCGTCGGCCTCTCCATCTCCATTTTTTTTATTTCTATTGAGTTTAACCTTTCATTATACATGTTACTAAACATGTATGCCATCATAATTTTGTACTTTTAGAATATCATACTGTATTTGTTTACCTCGACTATTGTATCTGTATTTATATTGTATGTTTCTCTGTAAACTTGACATGTATTTAGTTTTTAGAGAATAAAGTATCTCTGTATCTATCTATAGATCGTTAGGTTTCTAGTTTTTTACATTTTTCATTTCGGGACCTTTTATAGCTTACTATAGGGTATGGGTTTTGCTCATTGTCGAAAACCATGCAGTTTTGTTTTAGTTAAATAAAACCGAATTAAACTGTTTTGACATGATAAATTTGTAAACCTCCATGAAGTGTTTTAAAACTTGTATAGGAGTTATTCCTCAATTTCAAGAAAAAGCATCTACAGAAAAAACTTTTTTTTTTTAATTTTGTGTTTACCGATAAATGTATAGGTAAATGTACAGCCGATCAACATGACGCTTTTACACTTACAGCAGCAATATCAGGCGAGACACATGGTTCCGTGGAATATTTTACAAATTTATTACAAAAAGACTGCTTCCGTTTGAGAAGTTAGGATAAAAACAACAGGACCAAGTGGTTAAACGTTGCGCACGATGTTGGTACTACTTAGCGTTACACGACGTTCCGCATAATGAAGCGATTTCGACGATTTCAAAGAACGTTTCAAGCGTTCAAGCTTATAATTGATGAGGTCAATTTACTGTTGTGAGTTTGGTAACCGATTTCGGTTTGTCTGAAAATGAATAGTTTAACAAATAAAACTCAAAGTGGTCGTACACATATTTTTTTTAATGAATATTCATTTATAGGAGTTGTCAGTCTTTCCAGGCCATAATTGATCATTTACTTTTGGCAGCAGTTCGCATTAATGAATCATACATTAATTTCCAAATTTATACAGATTTCTTTTTAATATAAATTAGATTTTGATTTTATTTTCCCTTTTTAATGCATGTTTATACACACTCCTTTTGTTGCATTTCTTTCCGTTTCCGTTTCCTTTCTATATTTTATCATTTCCCGATGCTTTCTTTGTCGCAAAATTTCTAGGTAGTTAAACATTTTGGATTCATGTTTTTCTCATTTCCGTATTTTTGTGGCATATGCATATCCTTTGTTTTGTTATAATAGCCAGCAATGGGTTTTCTCTATTTTATTTTATTAACAAAAAAAATGTGCATGTTGCTTTTGGTGATTTAAAACTTGCAGCTAGACAACGTTCCTTGAATAAAACAAATGTCATGAACGTGCTGAAAAAAAAATAAGATCCCGATATTTTCTTATATCAATCTCATTTGTTCAACATTTGAATTCCTTTTGAATTCCTTTATCATACATAGGTTATATTATAACTTATATCTTTATTTTCATTCGAATTAAACTGGAAGCAAATAATTATGAAATAAAATTAAAAACCCGAGCATGACATCAATTACGTTTTGCGAACGTTGGGACAAAAAGGCTATACTTTTTGAAACGATATAAACATCTTGTTGCCTATCGAAAAAATGTTAAACACTATATTGTTTAAAAAGAAAAAAGAAAAAAACTTTTACCGCCAAGTTTTATTTTCTTTGATCTAACTATGCTTATTTAATATACAGCCGGTTAAAACCTCAATTGTAAAGAAAATACAGCGGTTTTTTTTTCTCGATGGGACAAGATGGCTATACTTTTTGAAGTCATTGCAATAGAAACTATAAGCATGGTTTCCGGCTAAAAAATATCATGAACCAGGAGAAAATTGAAAAAACTTTCAAAATATCATAAATATTTTCCCTCTCAGCTTTTCCAATTTCACGGTATAAATGCGCAAACCCGATATATGCTTACCTTGCATATGCTTGGACATTTTTCAGACCGTTTTCAAAAATAACATTTTCCAGTTTACGGTTTCAGTGATATTGATTTTGCTTTAACACGCGAATAACAATAACAATAGCAATACTCTTGTGAAGTTTTACGATGGTCAGAAAAAAATACTGTAGGAAAGAAACGGAACTCCGATCTTTTGCACACAAAATGTAACGTTGGACATTACGTTTTTGCGTAAAAATGGGATAATTAAGTGTTATAATTCTTGATATTTTAAATTTCGGTTCCCTTTTTTCTTTATTTTCAAGTCTAATGTAATAAATTCAACCAAAAATCACTATATTTTTATCGAACTAACCAGTCTACGTATTTATTTTCATGCTAATCTATAGCCAAATGAAATTCGTACCAACATCGTGCGCAACGTATTTGGGGATATCCCAATTATGTCCGAAATACTGTAAACTTTTTAATACTTTTTTTCTTATTATTGTCTGCCGTTCTCCTTTTTCATACCAAATAACTCTGAACAACCACTCGAACTTTAATTTGAACTTTAACTCAATGGATAGCGATACCCATCCAAAGCACATTAAACAAACGATATATTGAAATCTGTTTAAAACTTGAATAGAACATATTTTTTTCCAAGTTGGTCACGTGGTTTTACCTCATCAAGTAATGGGATCACCACATCAAAGAATGACAGGACCACATCAAATAATGAAACAAACACATCATGTAGTGTAAAATCGTCAAATTTTGAAACATCATTACGTAATGTTAAAACCATATAAAGAATAGGCAAATCATCATTACAAAATAACAAAACCACATCATGTAATGAAACAACTACATAACGTTAAGTCACATTCACATCAAGTAATGTTAAATCCACATTGTTTAAGGACACAACCGCATTAAATAATGGTGAAACCACATCAAGTAATGACAAAACCATATTGAGTAATGACAAAACTATATCAAGTCAATACGAAACCATATCGTGTAATATCGAAATATCATTAAGTAATGACTATTCCATATCGAGTTATATCAAAACATCATTACGTAATGTCAAAACCATATTAAGTAAAGACAAAATATCATCAAGTAATAATAAAACAACATAAAGTAATACCAGAGTTCCACATAAGACAGCTGTGGCGTTCCATAGTAATCGTTTCAATCTTTACTAAGGTAATGGAATTCACAAAACCTATACTATATAGGACATGCAAAGAAAAGATAAGTAGAACTTTATTTCTACATCTTAATTGATAATATCATTATAGGATGCATTTCCCATCTATATCATTCAGATGTCGATTTTATCAAGGATGTCAACACGGGTTTATTTGGTTTCATCCTAGTATGTTCTAGTAAGTTTATTTGTCTTGATATAAAGATAAAGATAATACTTTAGGTCGTAGCTTCAATGTCTTATTTAGTAATATTTACACAATGTCTTGTTTTCATAAAGATATCATATGTTCGTCTTATAGACGAAAGCGTTAATCGTCAAGGTATAAATATTCCTATCTAAAACCCCTATACGGCTGATATGTCGCTTTTACTGTCATGAATCTTAAATCACAGACAAACAGCATAAAGAACTATTAAAGTTATTCATAATTGACTCAAAACTTATAAATGGAACATTTACAGTGACTTAACAAAGTGTCGATCGGCTGGTAATCTACACAAGCAGAACAATCGGTTCTGCAATGAAAAACGTGAGAGGTTTTTCCGGTTATGCTTGAGTGGTGTCATTGCCGCCGCTTCGCAAGGTATGAACATTTCTAAAATCGCAATTTTCTAATTCAACTGATCAAATATTGCAAATCGGGGAATGCTATGCTGTGGTGAATGCTTTCATGAAGAGACACATGTATCGTTTACTGTTGTGCATGGAGTTAAACTCCTGCAAAATCAATCGTCCCACGAGAAATTTCCGAAAAAACTGACATTAAACTTTTGAGATTTTTCTATTACAGACCTGCAAGTTCAAATTTCGTTTTTTTTTCTGTCCACGGGACTGAATGTCGTTTTGGGCGGCTTACACGCTGTCAGAAGTTGATAGACGTCTTAATAAATCTAAAAACTGTTACTGTTCATTATTTCGTGCGTGAGGGGATCGGTTCTGATTGAGGACATCATGAATGCTTGAGGGGAAGTGCAAACCTATCTTATCGAAAGCTAATGAATATCACAATCTAATATTGATTATATATGATAATAACTTTACCCAAACTGGGGTTTATCATTGATCAATGCTGAATAAATGCGGCATAAATTTCATTCACAAAAATTGCAACAATCACTTCAAAGAAAGGCAAGTAACTTGCATAGTTTTAGTGAAGTTCATACTAAATATAAATTGACAATGGAAATGGCTACATTGTAAATATAAGTGGTTTAGATTTATGATTGACTATGTTTTTTACCGCATGCATGTAAGACTTTTTTGTCTATGTTTCAGATGGATAGAACACGCCACCATTGTCTGCAGTGTGATAAATCATATTCTCAACGTTCAAAGCTGAACTTCCATGTAAAGCTGGTACATGACAACATACTAGACACAAAGTGCAGCTACTGTGACAAGACATTTTCATCTAAAGATAGAAAAAGAAGGCATGCACCTGTGGTCCACATGGGAGCCAAGCCTTTTCAGTGTAACACATATGATTGTCAGGAGGCATTTTCAACTTTGTGCAGTTTCCGGAAGTTCAGCTTGGTATGATACTAAACCCCTAACGGGAGGGATTTTACCTGATTTTCATATGATGAAGACATAATCTTTCAATCAGTTTAATTGAGGTCTGGCCTTTGTTAGTCTTGTATGTTTTTTAAATTTTAGTTCCTTTATATGTTTTGGAGTTTAGTGTGACGTCCATTTTCACTGAACCAGTACACAATTTTATTTAGGGGCCAGCTGAGGACCACCTCCGGGTGCGGGATTTTCTCGCTGCGTTGAAGACCCGTTGGTGGCCTTCGGCTGTTATATGCTCTTTGGTCGGGTTGTTGTCTCTTTGACATATTCCCCATTTCCATTCTCAATTTTATTTACAATATAATTGACATGAAGAAGTTAATTATGTTATACTATGCAGAAATATTAAAAGTACAGTAAGCAAACATTATTAAAAGCATAATACAAGTTTTTTTTTTATAGAAAATCTGAGAAACTTACGATACAAGATTCCGACCACTTGGAGCATAATCCCACAAGATTTCTTCAGCTGCAATATAATAAATTTTCTGTTGGGAATTTACTTCAATGAAATAAAAAGAAAATAGTAAAACTGCAACCAAAGCGTGCATTTTGGTTTTTAACTGATTGTACAAACAATTTACTTCGAAGTACAGTGTACATGTTATTTCCTGACTGACGTTGTCGATAGAAGTCCTACTTAAAAGTCATTTCCGAAAATGCAAAGTATGCACTTTACCTACATTTTATCTTCCTGGACGGTAGAAATAGTTGAAAGATAAACAAAACAAATTGGGGAAACGAATTATGCTATCACAGAGAAAGTGAGAGGAAAAGAAAAAAACAAACAAACAAACATTTTTTCTACACAGAATGAAGAAATCCCTGCATGGATGTTATTCGTGTTAACATATTATTAATTAGAAACAATAAATATAAAGTACTTCAATCAAAATGAAATTTAAAAACAAATTGTATGCATACTCCCCTCCCAATAGCAAAATACCCCCCTCCCCCCTCAAATAAAAGACTCGAAAACGCTAGTTACATATTAGTCGTAGGTGGTGGTTAATGAGGATGGATACAAAAAAACAAACAGACAGCACACTTTCAGTGGTTAACGTCCCTCACTGGTTAACTTTAAGTGGCGACACACTTTCATGTTGATTGATGTTTTAGAACTTCTAGTGATTAATTATGTCATGCATATTCAAAACGAGAAAAAGTTTAACGTCCTTTAATGAATTCATCATAATAAAGGATGGTAAATTCGCTCTGCCACTTGAATATGAGGGTATGAAGGGTATATTGGGTAGGGAAAGAAATGTTGCCATGCAAAAGGTCAACGTCCGACACACGACAGCTATTGTTCTTGTACATGTAAAGAGCATTCTTCCTCAAAAGGAATCGGTTTAATAGGTGCCAATTATAAACCGAACGTGGCTGGATGTTGTTCGTGTTAACATGCAATTAGACACATTAAGTTGTTCTTTAATCAAAATGCAGGTTAAAAACAAATTATATGTATACTCACCTCCCCGTAACAAAATAAAATTCCCCTCAATTAAACAAGAGTGCACACGCTGAAATGTCTCGCCTGCTTTACTTATCATTGATTTCATGTTGAAAGTCTTAAAGTTAAAGGTTTTACTACAAGCACCACATAAATTTTACATTTTAAAAGATCCATGACAATGAGATCAAGGTCAGATAAATCCTGTCAGACAGACATGTACACCTTACAATTATTCCAAACACAAAGTATAGTTGATCTATTGCTAATGGTAAATGAAAATCAGACCAAAACACGAAAACTTAACATTGACCAATGAACCATGAATATGAGGTCAAGGTAAGATGAAATCTGACAGATAGACATGTACATTTTACATTTATTCCATACTCCATACACCAAATATAGCTGACCTACTGCTATTAGTATTTGAAAAACAGACCAAAACACAAAAACTTAACATTGACCAATGAACCATGAAAATGAGGTCAAGGTCAGATGAAACATACCAGACTGATACGTAACCCTTACAATCATTCCTTACACCATATATAGTTGACCTACTGCTTATAGTATTTGAGACACGGACATACTCACGTAACTTTAACCTTAATTACTGATCCATGAAATGAGGTCGAGGTCAGGTGAACCCTGCCTAACGTACTGGACATGTAGACGTTGCAAGGAACCTATATACCAAATAAAGTTAGCCTATTACTCATAATATGTAAGAAATTCACATGACAAAAAGATATGATTTTTTTTTCAGGCAGTTGCTGAACCATGAAAATGAGGTCAAGGACAATGTACATATGACAGACGGAAACTTCGTAACATAAGGTATCTGCATACAAGATATGAAGCATCCAGGTCTTTTACCTTCTGAAATATAAAGCTGTATACAGAAAGTTAACAACGCCGCCGCCGCCGGATTGTAATCCCTATGTCTCGCATACTGCGACTTTCGTCACAGGCGAGGCAAACACTTGAAAACGCCGGTTAATATGTTAATCGTAGGCGGTGACATTGATGTTTGTTGAACTTCCAGTGGTAAATTATTTCATGCATTTTTTAAAATTTAAATTAAACTGAGTTTAAAAGCTCAATATCATAAATATTTAACGGAGACATAAAAAGTTATATAGGAATCGAATTTGCATACACGAAGAATAACTTTTGTTCGATTGTTTTTTAATATACATGTAAGCAACTTAGATAAATAAAGCATCCGCTTTTTGGGAGATAGACCATTTCACTACAAACAATGTGGTTTTAAAAATTTATTCCTATATTTCCATTGGAGATAGACCATGGATTTTTTATTTTTGTAATATCCCCAATTCTGTACATCTGGATGTGCTCAGAATTGCTCATAGATATATGTAGCGACATATCAGAAAACGGGAGCGATGAGAGATCGGTTTTCAATTAGATTGTCATAAATTGAGTTCAAACCATGCAAACCATTTACGATCATTTAGTCATAGTTCTATTTTTTTATAACAATTATTTAACAGCAAAAATACTTGAGAAATAGTGGATATACAACACTATAAAAATATGTTTCTCTGAACTAACTAGATGAACAAGCCATTATAGTCCGATGGGAGTGTGGAGATAGAACAGTGTAGTTCTGACAAAAACTCGTAGTGTAGAAATCTCGTATTATAGTTGTAAAGAGATACAGGCCATTGCATATGGGTGTCAAATATATAGCTATCTCTATTTAATCAAAAGTGGATATACAACACTATAAGATTCACACGACAATTTGTTTGATAATTTTAAGTTCATAAAAGCATGTCATTGTGTTGGAACATAGATTGAAAGTCCCTTAGGCAAAATCGACCAGTCACCTTAGACGACGACTTGGTGCCGTCTGCACAAGGATAATAGTTACGCTGAACGGTGCCCACTGGTCACCCTATAAATAGTGCTCTTGTGTGTAGTAATATTGTAGTTCTAACACATGTCTAAAAATAGAAAGCTTAAAATAGACAATTCATCTTTCTATTTAGCAATACACCATAGAGCCTGTCACCGTCTGTATTATCTGTAAGTAAAATTAACATACCGAGCAATTGAATACAATGAATAACACAAACTTAAGCATATTAAGTTTAATTAAGTCATTCAAAGCAAAATAATTGTTTCATCCATTTTGCATGATTTGTCATTTGTGATGACACGTTTTTTTTAAATGTTCGAATCACAGACTAGAAGGATATATTCACCCTAAGACTCTAAGTAGAAGTAGATATAAAAAAAAATTCACAAAATAAATAATTCACTAAGGCCGTGTTCACACCAAACGTCGTGTACAGTAAACATGTTTACATTTGGTTTAATGTAATGTACGCTAGTTTCACATTAAATTTGTTCACATCTATACACCTTGTTTAGTTACATGTACATAAGATTTGTTCACACTCGTAAACTATATGTCATTTAAATGTTCATTACGTAGAACCGAATTCAAATTTTCGAACATCTTTCTACAGTTAATAAACGACCACTTGACTTTAAAAAAGGGGGGGGGGGGGGGGGGGGGTGGATTTTTCCACAATTAGATTTAAAAAAAAAATTGAGACATTCAGACAATTATAGAATGAACAAATATTCTGAATCAAACGTTTTCCCATACATTATAGTGTTAAACATGTTAAATATTATATAAATTGGTACCATCGAAAAAAAACTAATTATAAACTTTCGCGCGAGAACTCAGAACCCCTCTCCCTTTTTTTTGAAGTAAAGTGGTTGCTCCTTTAAGAAAGTCATTTTGGATGATTTGCAGTAGTTTAAAGATGTCTCGATTACGCATTAAAAACGTAGGATTGCCATTAGCGTGCTTACAGACGAAGAAAAAGAATTGCTATGTTAAGGATCACTACATTTCTATCTCTTCTGTTTGTATCAAGTGCTATTTTTTTTTATCCAAGGAGTATTTGTCAAAGGGAGGGGAGAATGTTTTTTATATTATTTCTAATATAATTTTAACGAGTCTCAGATACTACACAAACAAACAATTAACCTCCCCCTTTTTCAGTAATGCATTTATAAGTGAATCGCTGTTTGAGTATAAAGACCAGTGGCAAATATTTCTGTCAGTGTGTACGTCTGATCGATTCAGGAAGACCTTTTCAAATGAACTATGTGTTCGGCAAAGATGATAGATGAGTCTTGATTAAATCTTCATGTAAACATTAAGTTTTATCAATGGGAACGCAATTATGTTTAGTTAATGTGTGAGTTACACTAACACAACACCGAGTTTAAGTCAATGTGAACACGGCCTAATCTTATACATGTAGTTGATGATATTGATAATGTTAAGATAACTTAAGCAATGGATGAACTGTATTTTAATATTTTTTAAGGATAATGTTAGCTGTCATAAAAGAAAGAAGTAAAGGTAAGTTTTTAAATCAATTCTATATTTATCTTCAAGAAGAAAGGAAATGCTATTGATCTAGTGCCACCTTACAAACGGAAGACAAAAGTTACACAATACAAAGTTAGGGATTTACCTACTTTAGAGGTTTGATCAAGAGTACCAGAAGGTTCCATATTATGACATTTACTTTTAATAATATTTTTCAATGATTTATCTCTTGAGCTTGAGAAGGTTTCTTCTGATGTTATGCTGATCTTACAGTTTTATTTGTCAACTCAACCAGTAACATATTTATATGTATTTATGAATGTAGACATTTGTAATGTTGTTAGCTATATATAGTTGGTGTAATTATATTAAAATGCCATTGAACAGTATTAAGAGTAAGGTCACATTCTAATCGACTTAATCCTTTTAATTCAGGATTTAATATTTATATAATAGTTGGACCGCTCACAGGACAGTGGTATTGACTAAGGTAGCGATAATGACGCGAAGGCGAGGTCATTATCGCTGTCATAGTCAATATTACTGTCCTACGGGCAGTCCATGTATCACGATAATGACCAGTTTTTTTTGAAGAACTATTATGTTTATTTCATTGAGGAACTATGTTTTGAAAATTTTCATTAATTCAAAATGCCTAAAGCGAACTCGAGTAGTTGACGTACGATTTGTATGGCAGAGAGTGAAGACCAGTTGTAGGAATACTCCCATTCATTTTAGTGCAATTTTTCAGTATATAAATACTTAATCAAGTTCTCCTTAATTTTATTATTAACAAAAACAAATAATAAACAATTCAACAAATTAAATATAATATTAAAGAAAGGAACATGTTTTAAAAATGGATAAATCTCTCTAAACAGAGAAACCACGCCCCATTGGTCATTAACAGAGAAACCACGCCCCAACGGTCATTTACAGAGAAACCACGCCTCAACGGTCATTATCAGACGGAAACCACGCCCACCTGTCATTCTCATGTAAAAGTTCGTTAACGACCAGTTTTCTGGTCCGTTTTGTTCTGTTAATGAAGGATGGAATTTATTACTGAAAAATAATGAATGTCATATTACCCCTTTTTATCCAATAAGAGAATCTTATTCTGAACCGATATGAAATAAATAAAATTACAATTAAATTTCAAAGTAGACGTAAACCATAACATAAAACTGCTAGGAATCCAAAAAAATAAAGAGGGAGGGCCAATTTGCCGGAGATTTGTTTCATTCGATAAGATAGGTAAATAATGTTTTAAATAGCCCTATAGATGCTAATTATAGTACAAGAAAATACGTCACATTATTTATTTTCATACCTTGAACAGGTATTCCTACAAAAACAAGGCCAAGACTATTGTTTTTTAATATTGATTTTATTTTATTATTAACATCCTTTATGCGAGGTGCCATACCATGTAAATTGTCAAGGAGCCAAATAATATCGAACTAATTCAAATCGTGATTTTCTCATTCTGAATATGTATATCTGTATTTGTCCTGGTCTTTTAAGGTTTTATCGTCTATAAGATAAGACAAGAAAATACATGTACATGTATATAAAATTAAAACCGGAGAACATCTTACATCAGTTGGTCATAGATCACCCTGTGTTACTACTTCATGTTTTATTGCCTTTTCTGTAATTTTAACAAATCGGCCCTTCGTTGTGATACAGATGCAACAGCTTCTTGATGTTTTACCTACAATCGCGATTTGTAGTGTAATTGATTTGTTCTGTTATGTTGTTTTATTTTTCTGATGAGTTAGGTACCCGTGTATAGAAGGTGGTAAAAATTTCAGTACTAGTATCTTTACAGTTTGTGATTTGGCGACAAAATTGTTGTTGACTGCATTTGTTACATATAATACCATGTTCAAAAAAGGTTTCGACGAATTGTTTTTTGTTGTTATGAAACTTGTATACAATGGCCTTATTTTAAGTTATGTATATATTACACCCGCAACATGTAGGCTTAATTTCTATAGAATTAATTCTCGTGTTATTGGTTATGTACAGGCACCTACATCAATTTGACGGCAGTTGTCCCTTGGATATACGTAATAATGTAAACACATGAATAGAAAGTAATTCAAGAGTATGGACAGTCATAGGATTGCACACAATAAGCGATACATTATTTTTCTTTGATACACGTAAAATTATATACTAGTAAACTAACTGAATAGTCAAAATGAACCCGAATGACTCTATGAGTCAAGCAAACATCCGAAAAAATATGATAGAAACTTTAAAATTTAATATAACAACACAAAAAATGCAAAAGTTCTGAGCGAGGTTCGAACCCTTTCTTCAAATTCATCATTTATTAGTAGTTCTGTGCTCTAATGGTGGAGCTACGGTGATTCTGATCATTATGATTCTTATTTAGAAGGTATATCGGTACAATTTATCGATGGTACAATTTTTTCTTTAAAAAGTTGTTTTTTATGTAATAAGGACACACTAAACCAATTTCATTTTTGAAGTAAAAAGTAGTATGACTAACAACAGTCATAAAAAGCATAACTTTTTTTTTGGTTTGAAATGTCCTTCTTGGGGGATTGCCTGTTTTTTCCACATAAAAACAGCCGAAAATCCGGATATTGGATTTTCATCATTTTTTAGGGTTAAATTAACTATTGATCACACATATCATACTATATGTAAATCGAGATATTGATCAAAAAACATTTTTATTTTTTGTTTTTATAGTAAATTTTATTCTGTCGGCACTTTTTGAAATTGGCCCTTCTGTGAAAAAAAATCCTCGGCATATTGGCCCTACCTCTTTCTTTCGTTGGAAAATTAAAATTACCAAACTCTGTGCAGTAATTGTGTGCATACTAAAATCATATCTTCCAGATTAAACAATGGTTACCTTTGGTCACCCTTCATATATATTGAAACTGGTTACTTCCTAACGCCATACACGTGACAGATATTGTCTTTCGTTTGCTGTCGGCAGTTTACATAGATATAGATTTTGATTAAAGATTACATCTGGTCGCCATAGAGATTTATTGACTGGTGCCCTCTGGTCACCTTTCACATATATTAACTTTGGTTACCTTTGGTCACCTAACACAGATATTAACTTCGGTTATCTCTGGTCACCCTACTCATATATTGACTTAGGTTGCCTCTGGTCACCCTTCACATAAAATGACTTTATAACCTCTTTTCCTACTAAGTTATTGACCTGAGTTACCCCCGCACAATTATCAAACTTGTTAACTTGTAGGCAGTTCACACATATACAGATTTGGGTTACATTTGTCCCCTACGGATTTATGGACTGGTGCCCTCTGGTCACCCCTTCCCATTTATTGACTTTCTCTACATTTGGTCACCTTACATAGTAAATGACTTTTGTAATCTGTGGTCATCTTACACATATATTGATTTTAGTTAACTTTAGTCAGGTGACAAAGTTATGAACTTTGGCTAGCTCTGCGACATTTAAACAGATATATATATTCTTTGATTAAATCTGGTCACCCTACGCATATTGTCTTAGTTAACATTCGCTTACCTTACAAATATATTGACTGGTTACATCTTGTTGCCCTTCACTGATAGTGACTTTGGTTGACCTCTGGTCACCCTACATAGTTTCTGACTTACTCTGCTAACCCTACACATATGTTGATATTAATTACCTCATGTCATTCTGTAACTTGTAAACCTTTATTACCTCTTTGCAATTTAAACGGTTATAGACTTAAATAATATGGCACATATTGTTTATATAATATTGACTGCGGCTACTTCTGGTCACCCTACCCAAATATTGTGATCTTCTGTGCTAAACAAGATTGCACTTCTGTTTTCGTAGAATTCCAAAATTTAAAAGAAACTTAATTGATGTCATTTGTTTCAGGTATTATTATTTTTATTACTTTGATTGTTAAAAATGATTATTTATTTAAAGCATTTTTGGAAACTATATGGGATTCATGGAAAGGAAATGCTGACGAAAAGTTTGGTACGGTGTATGGGAATGTTCTTTACGTATCGGATTTAATGAGGTTAAAAATTGAGGAGGAGTTGAATGATCAGGTAACAGTACTAATGGTTTAATTTATGTAATAAAGGTTAAACGTTTTCAAAGATCTTGAACTCTCCTCTGAAACTACTGAACCAATTCCAACCAAACGTAAGCTTAATCATCCTTAGGGTATCTAAAATAAAATTAAATCTGACATTGGTGAAAAGGTTCATTAGGTAAAGCATTTTCAGACAAATAAAACTACCCATTGTTTGGTTGATGCCACTAAATTGCTAATTTTTGTGACCCCTTAAAGAGTTACTGGCCTGTAAGTAATTGTGTTTTCTTTTATGCCAAGAAATATAGTCACTATGGCTTAATAGCATATTGGTTTAAAATGCATTGTTTTGCCATTGAAGAAAATATGACAGATACCAAAAAAAATTAAATACCAATTTGACAATGTAAGCACTACTTTATTTCCATTGAAAAGCAGAAATAATCATTGATGAAAGATTTAACAACAAAAAAAAATGCAGGTAAGTCATTCAGGTTTTTGGAGGTCTTTTGATTTTATTTAGTTCTATAAAATGTACAAGGATTTTTTTAAATAATCTGTCTTAAACTGATATCATAATCATGGTACTTTATGTTATGTGTTATCTTGATCAAACTTGTATGTCTTCACCTTTGTGATATTTAGTTTTGTTGATGGTTTCCTTTGTATCATACTGATTGAAAAGATCTGACCTTATCATTTTCTTTTTTTTTTTTTTCAGATAATTAATCTTTATTGTAGTGTACTGCAAAAACGGACGGATCAGTGTGTACAGGTAAACGAATTAAAAGTATTTATTTAATAACCGTTTTATCATATTTCAGTGCATTTATTTTAGAGTTGACTGATTTTTTCATCGGCTACTTTAAAGCATGCTTATTTTTTTGTAACTTCCAGGATCAATTCATTTAATTTCGCTTTTTCTACATGATCCATTCCTCCATTAAGGGTATCTGAATTATCATTCTAAACTTGTTTTATGCATTTTTTATTCATTTCCAATTTCACCAAAGTAAACTGTGTATTGTAAAAGTTACTTTCGCACCCACCACCCTTTTTGCAGAGAATGAAATATTTGTTCCACTAAATCATCTTTTATTTTTTCCCTTTTATATAATTTAAGGTCTTTCTACCTTTCGGTTGAAAGACTTTTAGCTTTACTTAAGGATTATAATTATTATCATTATTTTGATATTATTATTTATATTTTGTTCGCCTTTTTTAAGTTGAGCTATTATTTTTAACAGATGTAGCTTTGACTTTGTTTTATATGATATCGTACAGCTTATGAGCTTTCGCCATTGCCCTAACGAAGACTTTTTACTCTCATTAATAGAGTTACCTCCCCAATCTCGATTTTGCGTGTAGATACATCTACTGCGATATTTTATTAGTTTACTCAATTACTCGTTACACCCTTATGATGTCATATATTATTTAACCGAAGCTATCTGGATATTCCTTATAAGAGTTATATCCCATTTGGAATTGTCGTTAAGGAAATATATGCACAACTCATTAACTATGAGAAAAATGAATTTACTTTTATTCCTCGTATTTTTGATGGGTAATTTCATACTGACTTTGAAGAAGTATTGAACCAGGCAAGAAAAACCTTATATAATTTCACGTTCCGATGTAATAGAAACAGTTAAATAAATCCAATGTTCTTGTCACACAATTTGTTTTATACATATTTCCGTTTTCCAGAAAGTGTCCCGTGCAGATTGTCTGATTCTGACCTCAATTTTTGAAGGGAGGAAAAGCGTAACTTAGTTTAAAAAGGTATAATACTATATAATCATCTGTTATAAACTCTTTTTATATAAGTGCTTTTGATTTACACATAGATTACTCTTTTTACAGCTTAAAGCTGGATATTACCAATTCGCCTTTCACGTTTTAACAAAATAATAAGACATTCTAACATATTGATGATATATGTAAATTATCAAATGATAAATAATAAAACAATATGCTAAATATTGTATTGTGTATGGTATTATATTGCTGTTTATAAAATGTATTTAATGTTTCATCGGTCTTTTTTTTATCAGTTTGCAAGTTAATAATAACATTTTACAATACTTTTTTTAGGACGATATACAACAGTATGACACTGTCATTGGGTGCATTAATGACGGGAAGTGTCATTGGGTTGCTGTGGTAGGTTTATTTGCTCAATTAATGTTATTAATTACACTATTCAGGCATTTTTCCATGAGGTTATAAGTTAATAGAAAAATGAGTTGCAAGAACAGCATTTCAGACATTTCGTTGAGTTTTTAGTCATGTTAGTTGTTCTTCTATAACTTAATTCAACTTACTTGACTTAATATATATATTTTCTCATACATTTTTCCAACTGATTTTGCACTCATTTATATGAAAGCATTTATACTGCATGGAAATGATAGTTAGAAAAGAAATATCAGATATAAAATATTGGCTTCTTCGTATAGAATATTATCAAATATTTGCTTCTGAACATTGAGCAACAACCAGTAATTAAGCAAAATATTTATTTTTTTATAAATGTTAATGTAAACAGATTTAAGTATGTGAAATTAAAAAGAGAGAATAATTTTTGTTTCAGGTTATGGATGTCCAACACCATATTGTGACAATTATGGACCCGCTCAAAATATCAAAGAAATTGAGAACACATGAAAAGAATTTCAAGTAAGATTGAAACTGTAGTTACATGACAGTCGTTTATTGCTTTAATGCATGTGATTTGTTTCAAAGTAAATTTTTATTTCTGTGTTTGATATATATACTTAAAAAAAAGTTTATAATTCTGAAATTTTCAGAAGTGAGTCACAAGTTATAAGGACAAATCTAGAGAAATATAATTTGTTAATCTAAAATGAAAATTACTTCTGGTTGATACTGGAATTGAACTATAAATGTATTATTGATTGCACAGCCTTGTAAATTGAATATAGCAGTAAGAACTGAAGACCAGTTATTTTTTTCCAAACGTTGTTGATATCAACTTTAAAACAGCTGCAATTATTTTTTTTCCTACATTAGAAAGGTTGGTCAAATGAACGGTTTTCTATGGAATGTGCAATATCTCCTTAAGTATCATACATCTAGCTAGACATGTAAGTTCTATGATACAGTCCAGGGTAAGGCAATGGCTGGCATTATGGCTATAGCCAGCTTGACTTTTTAATATATATCAATTTTAAGTAACACATTTTTCTTTTCATATTATATTATGTAGCTACTTCACTAAAAGCAGAGATCTTGGTACATGGACAATCTGTACAGCAGTTGGGTATCCTCTGCAAAATGATTTTAGCTCATGTGGTGTTTATTGTTTGAAGGTACATAAAACATTGGGCTTTGCATGTATGAATTGAGAGTTAATAAATGAAAGTTCAATTGAAGCTTGAATCTTAAATCAATGATATATGTATACTAATAAAGATCACAATTTTGCACGTAAAAGACACCCTTGTTGATTTTGAAAAAAAGGCAGAATCGTACAAACAAGATGAACAAAATATTGTTGTAAGTTGTAAACAACTTGTTTCCCAAACCTGTTTATTTAAATATGTGTAAACAATAACTTGGAATATATATCATGTAAACTATTTCAGTAAAATCCGCAAAGCACAAAGGTTGTGTGAAATTTAACCAAATCTATGATTTGCATAAATTACTTTAAATGTAATGGAAAGAAAAACAAATAAATATGTGGTACTTTTAATTTACCTTTTGTAAAAAAAACATTTTTATATCATTATTAGGCCTACATGAATCATTTCAGTAATTTAAACATTCAGTTTTGAACAGGCCATAGAAAATTTACAAAACAATGTGTACATTTAAGAATTATTTTTTTAGTTCCTCGACCGATACCTAAGTAAGACAGATACATCTTTGGAATTAAACGTCCAAGCTGAAAGATTCACAATTGGCAGTGAAATTGTTCAAGCTGTGCGTAAGTAATCAATAGAATAAAAGCATTTACTAATAGTACCGTATGTTATGTAAATACTTAATATCTTCTTGCTAGACAATAAGTGAATCTAATAAAAAGGGAATATGAATTTTAACATGTTCAATAATGTGTTTGAAATCCATTTCTTTGATGTTTATCTCAATTCATTGATGATTTGTTTTTAATTTTATCTATTGTTTCTGACCAAATTTCTTTACGCTATAAATGCTGTATTTATGTTTCTTTAATGTATTATTCATTATTGATATGTTATACTTAAAAATGTAGTTTGGAAATAATAGCTTAATAATTCCGGTTGTTTTCTGTAATAATTTCTCTCTTTTTTCTACAGCTCAAACTGTACTTATTTTTATGATATTCCATGTCTTATATATGTATGATAATGTGTTGTTGTCAAATATTACGATCTTATTAATGGAAATATAAACATGGAAAGTAGATGTTTAAAAATCAACTAGTTTTTGTAGGTCTAATTAAGTTAGCCGATATATTTATGCGATTGTCTTCTTCATATAAACTGCCGCTGTCATCAATGAGCATCACCATCATAATTACCATCTACGGGAAGGAACGTAAAAAATAACATCAACCAAGTGTAAACATTTTCAATTTTATGACTTATTATCAGCTGCTGCAATTTGTTCCTAATTCATGTTAACATCTATTTCTATTTTACTATAGAAACAAAAGGTGCTGTTATGACATGCTTCTTGTGTGCTAAAGAACCAACTAACATGGTAAATATACATTTATAGATCGTTGATGTTCAACTTAACAGGGTGCTTTATTATTTTTATTGCTTATTTAAATACGTTTTATGGTTAAAATTGATAATTTTTTAACAGAACCTTGTGATATTGTAGGTTAGAATATAAATGTTTTTTTTTATATCAATTTGATGAACTTTCACTAATATTAACATTTTTCGCAATAACTACATTAATTCATAGAATTTGAACATGTCTATTAAATATTGCAGAGAGCATGTTCATGCTGTAAAAGGAATTTCCACAAAAAGTGTATGACTCCAGGACTATGCAGTCTGTGCTCAATTTTTCCACCTGGTGAGTGCAATAGAAAATTCTACCATTTCTAATTTTTTTTTAAAGTAATACAATGAAATAGAATTTAATTTGCAAGGACAAAATGCGATATAACAAAATTGTAGAATGATCATTGTTCTTCCATTTGTTCAATAATTCTATAAGTTGCGTTTAATTTCATAACAGAAGTCGACTTATTAATTTTTGTAGATATATTCATGTTGATATTTCTTACATTTTTTATAGATTGCACTAAATGAACTTATTCTAAGATATCTTTGAAATCCAAAGATTTGTTGTTCTCACATTCAGACTCACATGGTAAAGGCAGACGTTTAATGTTCCCCCTCATGACTTAGTTGATTAATACAGAATGACGCTGGCATAGGTACCGTTTGCTTAGTGCACACTACTTTTTAAGTCTTCTTTAAATATTGTCTTTTCAAATGATTTTGTTATATAACTTGTCAGTTTCTTGTTTGCATTGTATAAGCTGTTGGATTTTATTTATTTTTTTGTTTCTTATATACAGATGTATGGTAATGTATAAAATACTGTGAACTTTTAGTTTGGTGTGCTTTATCCTAAATCTGTACGCTTCAAATATAATCAATGTGTAGTCAATATGCCACTACTTTTACATATTATAGTTCTCACTTAATGTTCTGCTTGACACAATAATTACAATTTCCTTATTTATTATCTCTGCTGTGAAGTCATGTATCTTTATCACAACTTCATTTCTATCCTGTATCAATTTTACATTACATTATAATCAATGATAGATAAACATAAATGCATGCAGAAAAAATAATAAAGCATGCTTCTGAATTAATTCCTATGAATATATATAATTCACACAGTTTTCGCTAGAAGTAAGTTCACGTTAAGCTATTAATTTTTTTATGTTTCACCCACACTTATTTAAAAGCACTAAATGGTTCGTGTTGTTCAAGGTAATCTATACTTGACAGAGAGGTTACCCTTTTTTTATATTGCAATTTAATAATTTGAGTATATATTTTTACTCTGAATTGTACTGACTTTAAAAATATTAACCTTTAGTTTCTCTTCATGGATTTTGTTTATTCTTTTTTTTAGAAAAAGTTAGACATTCAAAGAGAGGAAAAAAAGAACAACAACAGGTTTGATATCTATAATTGGTTCATCAAGACTACAGATGATTGTTGCATAACATTTTAAATGTTTATTCATTGAAAACACTTTACCATCGAATTTTCTTCCTGATCATCTAAAAAAAATGAACGAACTTGCAAAAATTGTCAAGAACATTCACAATTAAAAATCGGGTAAATTTATGCTTGTTCTCACTTGATACTTCTGAATAAATCAATTGATTTCCTTATACAATTATTATATTTTTATCTTCTTTTTTCAGAAGTCCATACAAATTTTAGATGAGAATGGTATGTATGCATTTAATTTGTTGATTAAATCAATTAATATGATGGATAATACCTTATGCAGATTTCAGATTTTGTTAACTCTGATCAACTAATGCAAATATTGAATTTGGTTACCTCTGGTTATCTTATGCAAAAAAGTATTGTATTACCTCTGGTCAACTTATGCAATTATTGGATTTGATTACCTCTGTTAGTTTATGCAAATAGCGGCTTTTGTTACATCTGGTCAACTTATGCTAAAATAGTATTCGGTTAACTCTGGTTACCTTCTGCAAATATTTGAATTGTTACCACTGGTCACCTTCCGCATATAGGATTTGGTTACATCTGGTCATCTTACGCATATATAGGATTTGGTTACCTCTGTGTACCTTATGCAGATAATTGATTTGGTAACCTCTTGTCACCTAATGAAGATAACGGATTTGGTTACTTCAGGTCAACTTATGTAAATATTGGAATACGTTCATCTAGTCACCTATGCTGATATTGGATTTGGTTACCTCTGGTCACCATATGTATTTATTGGATTTGCTAGCTCTTGTCACATAATGTAAATATTAGGTTTTGTTACCTCTGCTCACCTTACCGCGATATTGCATATGAATACTTGTGGTCACCTTGAGAGTGGTTTGTATGCATTTAATTTATTGTATTAAACCTTTAATATGATAGATATGTACACAAAGTTCATATAATGCTGCAACTAATATTCTTTTTCAACTTAAAACTTGCAATCGTTTCTGGTAATGGCCACTTAGGCTTAGTTGAACAAATCATTTTTTGTTTCTTGTTTACCTTACACAAATATTTAATTTTGATTACATGTGGTCATTTTTACCAGAAATTAGATCTGTTAACCTCTGTTTGCCTTACTACAACGGGGTTACTTCTGGTCACCTTATTCATATATTGGATTTGGTGACCTCTGGTCACCTTATGTTAATAACGGGTTTGGTTACCTCTGGTTACCTTATTCATATATTAGATTTGGTTATCTCTGGTCACCTTATGGAAATACTGGATTTGGTTACCTCTGGTCACCTAATGCAGATTTCAGATTTGGTGACCTCTGGTCACCTTATGTTAATATTGGATTCGGTTACCTCTGGTCACCATATGCATATTTTAGATTTGGTTATCTCTGGTAATTAACATTTACATACAACTAGTTGATGTTTTTCATTTCATTTGTAGAAAGTTTTAGACAATCAAAGAAAGACAAAAAAGAAGAAGAACAGGTTTGATATACATTATGGATTCAACAAGAATATAGAATATTATTACATTAAGTTTAATATACCGATAAACTTTACACATTGATCATTATCTTTCATGATCATCTACAAACAAATTTAAGAAAAATCATTGATCTTTCAAACATTGCCAAAACACTGACAGTTGATAATTAAATAAAAATAATACTGATCCTCATTAGATATTTTTGGATACATAAAATTGAATTTACTAATACAATTATCATATGCTTATCTTCTTTTTTCAGGAGTCCTCAGAAAATGTAGATCAGAGTGGTATGTATGCATTTAATTTATTGTATCAAACTTTTAATATGATGGAAACATACACTATGTTTATATAATGCTGCAACTATTATTCTTTTTGAACTTACAACTTGCAATCGTTTCTGGTAAAATGGCCACTTAGGCTCGATTGAACTAATAATTTTTTTTGTTTCTTGATTACCTTACACAAATATTTAAGTTGATATCATGTGGTCATCTTAGCCAGAAATGGGATTTGTTAACTTCTGTTGGCCTTAATATGCTAGAATGGGGTAACTTCTAGTCACCTTATTCATATATTGGATTTGGTTACCTCTGGTCACCTTATGTTAATATTGGATTTGGTGACCTCTGGTCACCTTATGTAGTTTTCAGATTTGGTTATCTCTGGTAAATAACATTTGCATACAACTAGTTGATGTTTTTCATATCATTTGTAGAAAATTTGAGACAATCAAAGAAAGACAAAAAAGAAGAAGAACAGGTTTGATATACATTATGGATTCAACAAGAATATAGAATATTATTACATTAAGTTTAATATATTGATAAAACTTTACACAATGATCATTATCTTTCATGCTCATCTACAAACAAATTTAAGAAAAATCATTGATCTTTAAAACATTGCCAAGAACACTGACAGTTGATAATTAAATAAAATAAAACTGATCCTCATAAGACACTTTTGGATAAATAAAATTGAATTTACTAATACAATTATCATATGTTTATCTTCTTTTTTCAGAAGTCCTCAGAAAATGTAGATCAGAGTGGTATGTATGCATTTAATTTATTGTATCAAACCTTTAATATGATGAAAACATACACTATATTTATATAATGCTGCAACTATTATTCTTTTTGAACTTGAAACTTGCAATCGTTTCTGGTAAAATGGCCACTTAGGCTCGATTGAACTAATCATTTTTTTTGTTTCTTGATTACCTTACACAAATATTTAAGTTAATATCATGTGGTCATCTTAGCCAGAAATGGGATTTGTTAACTTCTGTTGGCCTTAATATGCTAGAATGGGGTAACTTCTAGTCACCTTATTCATATATTGGATTTGGTCACCTCTGGTCATCTTATGGAAATATTGGATTTGGTGACCTCTGGTTGCCTTATGTTAATATTGGATTTGGTTACCTCTGGTCACCTTATACAGTTTTCAGATTTGGTTATCTCTAGTAAATAACATTTGCATACAACTAGTTGATGTTTTTCATATCATTTGTAGAAAATTTGAGACAATCAAAGAAAGACAAAAAAGAAGAAGAACAGGTTTGATATACATTATGAATTCAACAAGAATATAGAATATTATTACATTAAGTTTAATGTACCGATAAAACTTTACACAATGATCATTATCTTTCATGATCATCTACAAACAAATTTAAGAAAAATCATTGATCTTTCAAACATTGCCAAGAGCACGGACAGTTGATAATTCAATAAAATAAAACTGATCCTAATAAGATACTTTTGGATAAATAAAATTGAATTTACTAATACAATTATCATATATTTATCTTCTTTTTTCAGAAGTCCTTAGAAAATGTAGATGAGAGTGGTATGTATGCATTTAATTCATTGTATCAAACTTTTAATATGATGGAAACATACACTATATTTATATAATGCTGCAACTATTATTCTTTTTTAACTTGAAACTTGCAATCGTTTCTGGTAAAATGGCCACTTAGGCTCGATTGAACTAATCATTTTTTTTGTTTCTTGATTACCTTACACAAATATTTAAGTTGATATCATGTGGTCATCTTAGCCAGAAATGGGATTTGTTAACTTCTGTTGGCCTTAATATGCTAGAATGGGGTAACTTCTAGTCACCTTATTCATATATTGGATTTGGTTACCTCTGGTCATCTTATGGAAATATAGGATTTGGTGACCTCTGGTCACCTTATGTTAATATTGGATTTGGTTACCTCTGGTCACCTTATGCAGTTTTCAGATTTGGTTATCTCTGGTAAATAACATTTGCATACAACTAGTTGATGTTTTTCATATCATTTGTAGAAAATTTGAGACAATCAAAGAAAGACAAAAAAGAAGAAGAACAGGTTTGATATACATTATGAATTCAACAAGAATATAGAATATTATTACATTAAGTTTAATGTACCGATAAAACTTTACACAATGATCATTATCTTTCATGATCATCTACAAACAAATTTAAGAAAAATCATTGATCTTTCAAACATTGCCAAGAGCACGGACAGTTGATAATTCAATAAAATAAAACTGATCCTCATAAGATACTTTTGGATAAATAAAATTGAATTTACTAATACAATTATCATATATTTATCTTCTTTTTTCAGAAGTCCTCAGAAAATGTAGATGAGAGTGGTATGTATGCATTTAATTCATTGTATCAAACTTTTAATATGATGGAAACATACACTATATTTATATAATGCTGCAACTATTATTCTTTTTTAACTTGAAACTTGCAATCGTTTCTGGTAAAATGGCCACTTAGGCTCGATTGAACTAATCATTTTTTTTGTTTCTTGATTACCTTACACAAATATTTAAGTTGATTACATGTGGTCATCTTAACCAGTTCGGATTTGTTAACCTCTGTTTGCCTTAATATGCTAGAATAGAGTAACTTCTAGTTACCTTATTCATATATTGGATTTGGTGACCTCAGTTCATCTTATGTAAATACTGGATTTGGTGACTTCTGGTCACCTAATGTTAATATTAGATTTGGTGACCTCTGGTCACCTTTTGTAAATATTGGAATTGGGGACCTCTGGTCACCCTATGTAAATATTGGATTTTGTTACCTTTGGTCATCAAAACATAAGTCATGTTATGTTTTTTATCATTTGTAGGAAACGTAAGACAATCGAAGAGAGGAAAAAAAGAACAAGAAAAGGTTAATATGCATTACTGGTTCAGCAAGGCTATAGAATTGTATTGCATATTACATTTAAAATATTAATAGCACTCAACAGAATGATCATTGTCTATCCTGATCTTTTAAAGAACAAATCTTTGAAAATCATTGACCTTGCAAACATTGCCAAGAGCATTGACAGTTGAAAATTTTGTCAATTTTTACTTATCCTCATAAGATAATTATGGATAAATAAAATTGAATTTACTAATACAAATATCAGATGTTTATCTTCTTTTTTTTAGAAGTCCTCAGAAAATGTAGATGAAAGTGGTATGTATGCATTTAATTTATTGTATCAACCTTTAATATGATGAAAACATACACTATGTTTATATAATGCTGCAACTATTATTCTTTTTGAACTTAAAACTTGTTATCGATAGCTGTAAAATGGCTTCTTCGGTTTGATTGAAATTAATTATTTTTGGTATATTTAATTGGCTGCATATGGTCAACTTTCCCAGATATGGTATTTGAGTACCCTAAGCAACCTTAAAATGATATAGAATTGTGTTAACACTGATCACCTGAAGCAGATACTGTATTTAGTTATCTTTGGTCACTTTCTGTTGTTATTGGAATTCTCTTGACAGTTGACACCTTTTGCAGATTTCGGATTTTGTTATTCACTGGTCATTAAATTTTACAAAAATTGGTCATATGTAGTCTTAGATGTATGATCGTTTGAATTATTTTACATTTCTTATTTCCGGGCCTTTAATAACTGACTATGCGGTATGGACGTTGCTCATTGTTGAAGGCCGTACAGTGACTTATACTTGTTAATTTCTGTGTCATTTGGTTTGTTGTGAACAGTTGTCTCATTGGCAATAATACCACAGTTTCTTTTTTAAATGTTGAGTTTTTTTTATCATTTGTAGAAAATGTGAGAAATTTGAAGAGGGTGAAAAAAGAAGAACAGGTTTGTATATATCATTGGTTCAAAATATAGAATACTATAACATTATATTTACTATCTAAGTAACACTGAACAGAAAAAATGTACATTATCTTCCATGATCATTTAGAAATAAATCTTAAAAATAATTGAATTTGCTTGCGTTGTCAAGAGCCGATAATGAAGTCATTTTATACGTATCTTCATTAGATCCTTTGGATAAATCAGTTGATTTCCTATACGATTATTTAATATTTAACTTCTTTTTTCAGAAGTCAACAGAAAATGAAGATGAAAGTGGTTTGTATTTATTTTATCATTTTTTTAGTATGATGGATAGGTTCATTACGTCTATATGATACTGAAACTAAATTTCTATTTAAACTTACAACTTGTTATCGATAGCTTTAAAATCGCTACTTAGGTTTGATTGAAAAATTTCTTTTTCTCTTTGGATTAACTTAGAAAAATATTTAATTAGCTATAAGTGATAAATTTTATCATATATGGTATCAGATTATCTCTAGTGATCTTAACATGATATGGAATCGGATTACCATTGGTCATCTAATGCAGATACTAGATTTAGTAACCTCTTGTCACCTTATGCAGATATTGGATTTGGGGACCTCTGGTCACCTTATGCAGATATTGGATTTTAGGACCTCTGGTCACTTTATGCAAATATTGGATTTGGGGACCTCTGGTCACCTTATGAAGATATTGGATTTGGATAAATCTGGTCACCTCATGCAGATATTGGATTTTGGGACCTCTGTTCACCTTATGCAGATATTGGATTAGAGTTCCTGGTCACCTTATGCAGATATTGGATTTGAGGACCTCTGGTCTTCTTATGCAGATTTCCGATTTGGGGACCTCTGGTGACTCTATGAAGAAATTTGATTTGTTATATATCTGTTCACCTTATGCAGATATATGATTTGGGGACCTTTGGTCACCTTATGCAGATATTGGATTTGGGAACCTCTGGTCACCTTATGCAGATATTGGATTTGAGGACCTCTGGTCACCTTATGCAGATTTCAGATTTAATTAACTCTGGTCATCAAAACATAAGTCATGTTATTTTTTGTTATTATTTGTAGGAAATGTAAGACAATCGAAGAGAAGGAAAAAAGAACAAGAACAGGTTTGATATGCATTACTGGTTCAGCAAGACTATAGAATTGTATTGCATATTACATTTAAAATATTAATGATCTCAACAGAATGAACATTGTCTATCCTGATCTTTTAAAAAACAAATCTTAGAAAATGCTTGAACTTGCAAACGTTGACAAGAGCATTTAAAGTTGATTATTAAGTCAATGTATACTTACCCTCATTATATTATTTTGGATAAATCAATTGATTTCCTAATGTAATCATTATATATTTTATCTTCTTTTTCAGTCACTAGAAAATGTAGATAAAAGAGGTATGTATGCATTAAATTTGTTAAATATAATTCTTATTTATGATGGATAAGCGCCTTGTGTCTATATAATACTGCAACTATTATTCTATTGAAACTTTAAACTTGTTACGAATTTTGTGAAATGGCATTTAAGGTTTAATTAAAAAAAACATTTTTCTTTTGGGATAACCTTATAAAAATTTAAATTGGCTACATGTTGTCAACTTTACAAGATATGGTATATGGTAACCTCTGGTCATCTGAACAACATATAGAATTTGGTTACCTCTGGTCACCTTACGACGATATTGAATGTGTTTACTTGCCTCTGGTCACCTTACGACGATATTGGATTTGTTTACCTCCGTTCATTTCATGCATATATTGGAAATCTCTGGCCACCCTATGTATTATTCGAATTTGGTTATTTCTTGTCATCAATATTTACCTACAACTGGTCATGTTGTGTTTTTTTTATCATTTTAGAACATGCTAGAAAATCAAAGAGAGGGAAAAAAGAAGAAAAACAGGTTTGATATACATCATGGGTTCAACAAGAATATAGAAAAGTATTATATATTACTTTTAATATTTTATTACAATTAACAGAATGAACTTTGTCTACCATGATCATCTATAAAACAAACGTTAGAGAATGATTTAATTTGCAAACGTTGCCAAGAGCATGTTCAGTTGATAATTGATACTTATCCTCTGTAGATATTTTTGATAAATCAATTGATTTCCTTATACGATTATTGTATTTGTTATCTTTTTTTTCAGAAGTCACTAGAAAATGTAGATGAAAGAGGTATGTACGCATTTAATTTGTGATATATAATCATTATATATGATGCATAAGTACATGAAGTTTTTATAATACTGAAATTATCATTCTATTCTAACACAAAACTGGTTATCATTTTTTGTTAAAACGGCTACTTAGGTTTGATTGAAAAGTAAATTCAATATTCTTTTAGAATTTCCTTACAAAATTCTTAAGTTTGGATACATGTGGTCATCTTCCCAAGATATGGTATCTGGTAATTACTGGTCACTTTTAAAAGATATAATAGGGTTTTGTTACTGTTGGTCACCTGATTTAAATATAAGTTTTGGTTACCTAAGTTTATGCAGATATTGCAATTATCTGGTCATCTTCTGCATATTTCGGATTTGGCTTCCTCTGGTCACCTTATGCAGATAATTGATTTGGTTACATCTGGTCATCTTATTCATACATGGGATTTGGTTACCTCTGGTCACCTTCTGTAGATTTCAGATTTTGTCACCTCTGATCACCTTATGTTGATATGAAATATGGTAACCTCTGGACACACTTACGCAAATAAAATTTGTTTTATTTAGTCTTTTATAACAGAAAATGAAACAATTAATGTTAATATAAATTGCAAAAAAATATCAACATTTACATTTGAATGGTTCATGGTTTTATTTCTTTTCATTAGTAGATAATGTTAGACAACCGAAGATCCAGAAAAAAGATGAAGATCAGGTTAGATATACATTCTTGGTTCAGGGAGAATATGTTATATTGTTATATTAATTTCAATATATTAATAACCATTAAAAAATGTACATTGTCTTTCAGAGTCGTCTAAAAAACAAATCTTAGAAAACAATTAAAATTTCTTACTTTGTCAAGAGGATTTTTACAATTGATTATGTAGACAATTTATACTTATCATTATTAGATAATTTTTGATAAATCAATTGATTTCCTAATACAATCATTATAATTTTTATCTTCTATTTTTAGAAGTCAACAGAAAATGTAGATGAGAGTGGTATGTATGCATTTAATCATGATGGATAAGTTCATTAAGTTTTATGATACTGAAACTATCATTCTTTTTGAACTTAAAACTTGTTATTGATATTTGTAAAAATGCTACTTAGGTTTGATTGAAAAGTAATTTCATTTTCCTGTTGAGATTATTTTACAAAAATATTGAATTGGTTACATGTGGTCAACTTAACAAGATATTGCCAATTTCATCAAAATTGAATGGGCAAGATGTGGCGCCATAGTTAAATTTATGAACATTGAAAAAGGTGACAAAAAAGTAGGGAAATTGACCAAAATGAATTATTTTCCTATTTTAGAATGATATATTTTTAAATATGAAGCATATAATAGTTTTTGTTATACTTTATATAAAGAAAACAATTGAAGTTTTTAATATACTTCTTCACAGGGCAGGCTTTGGAGTTGACTGGCTCAACCCCCAACCTAATTTTATTTAGGAGATATTGGGGTAGAAAAATGTCACTTTGTTTCTAAAAATGGTATCATAATGATCAAGACATTGATATTATGTAGTTATTTTGTACACAAAATCAATGCAACCACCAGGAATTAATTACCGAAGATAACTAGGATTACATTTTATGATTAAAGTAATTGTGTTTTGATTGATTTCTTATCAATTATCCTGAATAATACTCTTATCTCAACATGTACAAGTGAGACGACGGATTGGAATGAGATTACTTCTTTTGAGGAGTTTAGGATTGCAAGTATGTACATTATATTTTTTTGATCATTTGCATACCATGATCACCAACAATCTATATTTCACCTCAACAATCATTATATTTAGCACTTCATGGATTTGGGTATGAATCATTACTTGTTTTATTATTGTCTTTCCAATTACTTTTTATGAATAACAAAGCTAAATGTCCTGTGTGATGACTGTACCTTCACATTTTCAGGAATGGCTTTTATCTGTTTAGTAACAACCTATACATATACTAGTTTGATATTTACTTGGTAATTTTATACATTTAGAAGCTCCCTGTATCATTTATTTTTACATTGTGCCTTAAATAATTCAAGTCATTGATTTCTTTTAATAGGCTAACAAAAACACAATTTTAAGTTTCTCATTAATCTTATCATAAGGGTTCATGATTATTTTCCAATTTATTTTAAAAAGACATTAGACCTGTGAGAAGTAGACTACAGTCAATGAAAACAAACAAAACGGAGAAAAGAATGATTTATATGGTGAAGGGAGATGAAATCACGGCCAGAGTCCAGGGACCAGACAGAATGTCAGTTCACCAGATAGGTGATTACTTGACAATAGGGAAATCAAATACTACTCAACAAAATCGAAAGGAACTTTCAAGACTAGTCAATTTGATTCCAAAACCAACAAACATAGTGCCACCAATCACATCAGCCTGGTCCATGTTAACAAACGGTAAGACTTTAGTGAATACACTTGATTCTCAAAGAAAACAGTTTATGCTGGTTAAAACACATAAATTGATGATCTCGTGTTTTTTTAAGCATTGATTGATTAGAAGGTAAGGAATGGTGAATGGGTCGAAAGGAACAATCAAACTGAAATTTGGAGAACAAACTGACAAAGCTGAGCAAAAAAATTTTAAAAAATGATGGAAAGTCAAAAATGCAATCATTATAATTCAATATAGAAAAAATAAAACTGAGCAACATAAACCCCATAAAAAACTAGGGTGGTCTCAGGTTATCTATATTGGTTAGCAGATCCAGCTTATTATGTGGTGCCCATAATATTGTTCATGCTTGAGTTTATGATCCCTTGGTATATAACTGTATCTTTTTAAATCATATGTCTACTGTGAATCATATACATGTCGCTTTGCCAATCTGTAAGACATTTTTTTAAGTTGTAAGAACTTTCATAACGGTGCTTAATATGTCTTATTACATATATTTATCAGCTTAACTGCAAGAAAAGATCACAACTGTATTTCACTTCATTTTCAGGTGATGTTGACTATCAAGTTCAATCTTTAAACACTTTGACCGAGGCTCTTGTTGACAAAGAAGCAACCAAAAAGGCTGTATGCAAAAAAATGAAAGGGACATCTGCCCAAAAAAAGGGTGACATTGAAAAAACTAAGTAAGTGTTTGAGGAGAATTCAATTGTTCAGATTTTATGAACATTGGATTTATAATGGCTACAAAGGCAATCGTCTTCTTGACATCTTTATTACATACTAAGAGTATGGAATAAAATACACAATAGAAAATGCAAACATCTAGATTAACATGAAATATATAAAACATACATTTTCCAAATACCATGATCATTATGTATTTATCTTCTCAACAATCAATTATAAACTGAGTTCTCATCTATTCAATTGATTGCTTATCTGTTTCAATAATTATTCTAGACTAAATTTGTGACAAAATTCAGATCATAAATTCATAATCAAGTCTATAATGCAATCTATCTTTTTACACTCGAGGTCTATATATAGAAAATGAACAATTGTGTTAAAAGCGAATGGAAATGTGTAGTTATCATTTTAATATACAGTCAAACACAAACATACTACCAGCTGTTTAAAAACAGATTTCGTTTTAATATAACTTTATGGACACAGGGATTATGTCAAAGAAACAACAACCCGACCAAAACGTAAAAAACAACTCAAGGTTTCACATTTCTCTGTGTACTAAATAATAAACTTTTCAAAGCAAAATGACATGGAATCAATCATTTTAAAATTAATAGCATCGTTAGAATACTAACTATAAAATCATATACAATCTACTTCTTACTGGTCATAAACTTGAAACAATCCACACTACATGTTTATCAGAAAGCTAGGTAGAACAATTGACTTATAATTATTGATGTACAAATTACTATTTAATTTGGCCTTACAATTCGACTTGGTCCTTTGTTTTATTATTGATATGTATAACATTGCTATTCTCATTTATTTTCCAACGGTTTAACATGCTCTATTTTGTTGTAGCTAGGAAACATTTGAAATTATTGAATACAATTTTTGTTAGTAATGACATAAATTAAGCATTATAGTATTAACATATTAAAACATTTAAAAAAAAATATTTAAGTCAATAAAATAAAATGCATTCTTGTAAATTAAGTCTTTTATTTGCTTAGATTAAGTGATTCTTATTAAAACTAGAATAATTAAGATGGTGTCATTATATAAAATTGTGTAGGTAAAGAAATGTCCTATAATAATAAAATTGCTGTCTTAACTTATATTTGCAGAGAAATTGTTGGCCATGTTATAGCCGAACTAAATAAAACTAATGTAAACAAGGCAATGCATGGGAAAGTTTTTGAGGCCTTTTGGAAGACAATACAGACAATGCTGCCAGGTAATGATTTATTAGACACATGACACGTATTATCTTAACTTAAAACATATTTGATCATTTGCTTAAAAAATATAACCTACTTGAGACAACAAACAGACCTAGTCCAATGTAATAATTAGCCAAGTTATCTGCTTGACAAAATCATCATTAGGAATAGGTATTTGTTATATTAAATTATATCCATTTGTTCACATCAGTATCTTTGCAAAACATTTCAAGAGCAAACTGTATATGTCCTACTTTTAAAGCATTTAAGCACCTATGTAACATATACAATTTTTGAACGAATATCTAGAAAAGGCAGTTTTTCAAAATCAGTATAATATTTCATTATTTTTTTCATTGAAATGGTTTACGAATGGATCCTTTCTTTCTGTGCGTAGATTTGAAACTGCCATCATCATTAACTTTACGCCCCCGTTTTTTCAGAACACACTTTCGGCTTACTGAATAGTCATGATCAGTTTTTGGACTTTTGGATTTTCTGCTTGGAAACAGCGGTTGCTGCTTTCGCTTTCTTGTTGTTTTGGAAAAGTTGGTTGTCCTACAAATATGTAATGCCGTTGTGAGTGCTTGACAAATAGCTTTCTTTTTTTTCACGTCAATTGTCTGGAAATTTTTATTGTTTACATATAAATTGATTTCCTCAATTTTTCTTTTAATAGCCTGGTCGGTTGTTTCTTTGTCTTCAATTAATTGTTGTTTTGTTTCATCAATTGAGGTAGACTCTATGTCAGGTGATGGAACTACCAGTTTTGCTACCATCACACAAACACAATGTTTACCATGGCTATTGGCAAAACATGTACATTTGAAAGAGGTCAAATTAACAACTGATACATTTCCCAATCTTGACAAAACCTCTACCTGGTTGTTATCTCTGTCATAAAAATATTGTTCTGCATTAAATACATCCATTGCTTCTGATCTGCGCTCTACAGTAAGGTCGATGTTCCTTTTAGAAGCAATCAATTCAGCTAAATGAACATGCTCACACATTCCTGAAAAATAGTAGAGAATGGAACATAAATAACTTGTACCTTTATGGTTCACTTTCAATTGTACAAACTTTAAACAAAACCACTAATGAACGTTGAGTAAAGATTTACTTAAATTGGATCGCATTGTTTTAGAAAATTTGATGAGGAAAATGATTATTTGCACTTGTATAACCTGATGACGGTTGATAATGCCTTGTTGGAAGACAAAAACAATCAAAACCGAGGAGACTCGTAAAACCATAAGACATTTACAACAACAGTAAAAAACAATAATCAACAACACGAATTCCACTGAATACCTGAAGTGAAATTAGGTGCTTTAGAAGGATAAGCATTTCCGGGAACCATATACGGTACCCGAAATTAATAATCTTGATTTCAACAATTCATACTTGATGGTGTACTTTTAAACATTGTTGGACTGACTTAAGATGCTAAAAAAATACCTCTTGTTGTTGCTGCTGGACAATTGCACACTTCATTGACAATGTCCACATTATAAATCGTCCCAAATGCTGTCTGTGATGGAACAGTGCATTCTGTGGATGAAGTCCATTGCACAATTTGGTCGAGTCCTGCCTTGAGCATATTCTCTGCTGTCAATTTACTTTTGTCTCCCCTTTGTCCTCCCATATTTTTCAGGCGACCAATCTTTGCGAGTTCATCCAGATAGCTAAAATTACGATGTTTTTTTTAATTTATTTTTGGTTATGAAAACATAATTCAAAGATCTAATAATAAATTATTTCTTAAAAAATTGAATTCACAGTATTTAATATTCAATGTATTTGCATCTTAAATTAAAATGATCTTTCTAATTTCAGACGATTCAAGTGAACGATAAGAAGAACAGGATTGTGACAAATTTAAACTTACTTACTCATAAAACATAGTTACATTTCCATGGAGAAGGAGTAGTAAGTCCTCTACTCTGCTATTGGCATACCCACCAAGGAAATGGTATTTCATGCCCAGGAAAAACCTGAAAATGACAAAATGTTAAGGACTTTGAATTTATGATTTATATTTGAATGTACAAATAGAAAGTACATAAAATATTAATGTGTTAACATTTGAATGTTATAAGTAGCATTATATTTTTTTGTTTTAATATCCTCATACACATCAGGTTTTGCTAGACTACATTTTTTCATTTTGTCTGCTTTTATGTAATTATCGACTTGCATTGACAATTATGATATTTGTATTAAATTTGCATAACCCTATCATGAAAGAACGGCAAAAATCCTCTCCATATAGTTAAAAATTGTAAAGTTTATATCATGCTATGTCTTTGGTTACCCATGAAGAAGTAGGATTTAGACAAAGTGTAATACTTTTTATAAATCAGGTCATAAAAACAGAGACAGTTCAGAAAATTTATCCCCAAAATAAAATATACTTAGTTACTATTATCAAACAGATGATAATTAGATGATGCTTAAAATTTCGATCTTGTAAAATATAAGGTGTATAGTAATAAAATGTATTAATAACCTTTCAACTAAGTTATTTGTATCTTGATCTTCATGAAAAAAATGTCTTCCATAGTTGGCCCATCGACATCCCCACTTGTCAGTACACCAGTTGTCTAACAAGTAGTCTGCTATTTGTTTGGAAGGCATCTTCTCTTGCAACATTTTAACTTTTTGAGAAAAGTCTTCTTTCTGATGAAAAATTATATTGACACATTTCTTTTGAGTATAAAATCAGATTTTATAGATTAAACACGCGTGTACTCATAAGCTTTGTATATTTATAGGTAAGATCTTTAAATCGCATTAAGCAACTATTTGTACTTTCTAAATTATTTTACTGCTTTAATTCAATAGAGATTCATTTCTATATGTTTCAGTGGTTTTTTTTTCATCTTTTATCAACCAAAATTCATTGATTGTATTTTTTATTATTATTATTATTGCGTTTTAATTGACTCTATTTGAAAAATCTTGTTGATATGATTTTGATATTAAAACAATTACAATGTTGGAAAAGGAGAAAAAGATCCCACTGAGGTTTCATTTCTACAGGGATTTTTCTTATAATATAAACATATCAATAACCAATCGTGTTTCATTGTGAGGCAACACACTCGTGATTAATTTTTTTAACAATGTTTCACATCCTCTGCATATAAAACTGTTATTATCAGAAGCAGGTCAAGTTATACTATGTAAATTAACATTCACCTAGTACATATTAAATATTCGAATACATTATTTGAATTTGTCAGGACCAACTCAAAATTATTGACCAATTTAAAAATTATTATATTTCACTGTGGTATCATAGGTTCATTATATTTTATTTGTCTTAACTATCACGTTTGATTACCTTGGTACATATTTTCATAGTTCTAATATAGTCAATAACTTTTTTTCTGGTATGTGCGTGCATGGGTCCTGATACACCAGATTCTTTTTTATTCAAAAATCTGTACACAGCCTGTAAATCAAATCATTTATATTTAGTTCATGTCTTAAAGATTCTTGATAATAATAATTAAACATTGTCTTGAATATATCATGACTAATTATTTTTCAACAAGATAATATTTGATCTATGAAAGTATTAATGCGAAAGAGTCTATTTATTAATTCAAAACTGACCTCAAGCTTATAAACACAAAAAAAAGATATAAAATGTTAAATCCAATGCAATTAATACTTATTGATCCAAAAGAGTGAAACTTCACAGAATAACTCTCATTTAATAACTGATTTTTTTCCCATAAAGAATAAGGTAAAATGTATGATACATATATTGAATAATATAATACCTGTAAAACATGAAACCAGCAAAGTAAAACAGAGCTGTTTGGGAATACTTCATTAATTGCGCTGATTTCTTTGGTATCTCTGTCTACCATAAAAGATCTAGTAAACAAAATGTAACACTGCAGTATCAACAATCTATATCTTTATCTCATATTGGTTTTATTCTATAATACTATTTGTTAATTTGTAAATAATTATGTAAATTCTTTTTTTTTTATATCAATTAGATTTTAAATTTGTGATTAAAAAGTTTGGAAACAAGCCTAAAAAAGCTTTAATTATTATGTTATGTATAAACCTGACTATGCTTTAATCTTAAATGCTTTGGTTTTAAAGCCTTGCTATAGATCACACTCAAAAGATTTTAAGGAAATTGATGTTTTTGTAAGTTTCATTAGTCCATTAGAAAAATATTATTATGCAAAAATTATTTATCTAATATTCTTTGCCAAAATTCAACTGAAATTATTGTGGACCTTAATTGTATTAATTTTGATATGCATGAAAAAATGTTTCTTTAGATGAATCTTTCATAGCATTGTCTATTTGTCATTTCAAATAACTATCACTGCACGAATATGTGAATAATGTCATAGTTTAACCTGTAATTTTTACAGCCAAATTAATTAAAACATATAATTGAATGGTATTTATTTATCTTTTATATCCATATCAGATTTGATGTTGACTCCGAATAATGTTACTAATTGTAAACAAATAATAAGACGAAAATGAAAAGTGTTAATAAGCAATGATATTGAATTCGAAATATTGTCAACTTTGATACCCACAAACCTTGGACGGAAATCAAATCCATGATTTTCAGCCGTAGTCTTCAGAGATCTCAGAAATATTTTGACAACTTCACCAGTATCATCTGACGAGATACAGTACGAAAGAGGAGTGCCTCGGCCTTGCTGTTCATCTCTTGCAACAAGAGCATAGAATGAATAACCATAGGCAGTTAATCCTTAAAACAAACAAAAAACATGTTGTAAGTTTATTGTCACACAGTTCAATTCTTTTAAACGTATCAATATTTTAAATTGAAATTTCCATGATTATATACAAGTATATACCTTTATATGTAGCATCTAAAAACACAACATTTTCTGCTAGTTTCACCATTCTTTTTCTTTGTGCTTCATTCTGGTAAATAATTTTTAATGGCTGTACTCCCCTACAATGTAAATGTTACATATTTAATGACCAAAAGTATGAGTATGAATTATATATTTTATGTTGAAATCATGTCCATTTAATGGAAAAGAAGACGACAAACTAGCTACATTGTACTCATATTAAATAACCTCTATTAAAACTGAAAAAGACAAAAATGTAAAATATATTGACAAAATATATGACTTGTGAACAAGTGTAGCACTAAAAACACTCAAAAGGATAAAAACCAAAAATACAAATCATCTATTATGAGAAGTCAGATATACGTTCAGTCTACAGAAAACTCATCTGTACAGCTCTCATTGAAACATTTTACAGACAAAATCATATACGAAATTGGACAGACGAGACTATAAAAACTATTTGAACATAAGGCAATCCAGTCATGTCTGAAGAACAAAACAGGGTATCAATCAGTAATTTCAGAATTACTCTTTATCAGCATTATGCTTATATCAGTTATTAAAATTTACAAAAGTACATTATTATATAAGAATAATTACTCTTTCAATTCTTGGTAGAAAATTATCTCTTCCTTCAGTATTTGTTTGCATAGCTCGTGTACAGCTACAGCATCATTCTGGTGAATTCTAAAACAAATGAGGAAATATCATAGATCAATACCAGTACTGACATATACAAAATCAATGTCAACAGTACATCTGTATAATTTGACCAGAAAACACCAAAGTTAATTTACTGTGTAAAGTGCATGTTTACAATCAGATTGGTAAAAAGATTAAAATGGTGAATAAAGTAATGATTTTAACAGACGAACCATTGGGTTTGCAAACAGTGCATCAGTTTAAAGAACCACAAACCAAAGGCTGTATCTATAAATGTGATGGAGGTAACCAACGTCATTTCCAGTGTAAGGTACTAAATACCAAATGCTCTTTAAATTTCACTTTACTAAAGTATGTAGATGTAAGAAGACGGAACCAAGGATATACTTTGTGTAAAGCTATCATTTTTTTTTAAATTGTCCAGATGTGACCAAAGTTGCGGTGAACAGTGGTAACCAAAGTCAATATATGTGTACGGTTTCAAAAGGGATATAGATTATATACATATCTAAAATAGACATAGGAAACACAAGTATGATTAAGGTAGCCCTAGTCAATACCTGTGTATCATTATATATATGTTTCAGGTGACCAAAGTTAACAAAATGGTGAAAAGTGATTATCAAATTCTACAAACATTTAAGGGTACAAGTGGCGACCCAGGTCCATATATGTGTTCATTAACCAGAGGTTACCAAAGTCTGTATATGTTAAGTGTTATCAGAGGTAGCAAAGTCTTTGTCAATATTAAGATTTGGTTCAAGTTATCAGAGGTAACTGAAGTCCGGATAATGTGTTATTTTTCGATGACTGGATACGTAGAGACAAATATAAAAAAGAAGATGTGGTTCGATGACTGGATACGTAGAGACAAATATAAAAAAGAAGATATGGTATGATTACCAATGAGACAACTATCCACAAAAGACCAAAAATGACACAAACATTAACAACTATAGGTCACCATACGGCCTTCAACAATGAGCCTGTTTCTTTGGATTTTTTAGAAGAACAAAGTAGTAAGTACATATTTTAAGTAAATCTTTTGATTATGTTTTGATACCTTTTATCCATTTTGTAACGTTGACATATATTCTTAATGTCAACTGGTGTCAGATAGTATCTTCTATCGTGCACATCAAAATGCCCTTGATCTCTAGCCCATTTTCATGCTTTGCACAATATTTCCATGGGTTTTTTCCCCTATTGATAATGAAATAAAATTAAATTCGTGTCAATTACAATTAATTTCAAATTTAGTTAAAATCTTTTTGAGCTTAAGGATTTTTTCAAATCAACACAAAATATGTCGTTGTATCAATACATGTCATTGTAAAAATATATGTCTTCTAGAATATTTTATCATCAATGCTATTCAGCTTTAAACTGGTTTTTTCATTAAAATATTTCATACAAGCGTCCGATATTTATATAAATGCATTAAATGACTCTCTGGCAAGCCAATTTTATCCTAATCATTTTATTTTTGATTTATTTCAACCTATTCATTCATTATAATCTTTGCAAATCATGAAAAAATGCGCCGGAAGACAAACACAGACATCGAAAAGAACAGAATGGTTGAGAAAATATTAAACTCCAATAATGTCAGCATACACAATTTTTATTATCATTGTGTTTATAAGAGTGCCAGCAACTTATAATTGAAAAATAAGTCAATTCGTTATGAGCAATAAATTATATATAATACCGACGACATGAATACCTGATCAAGTAAAGCATCTATATAAAGCAGTAAGCTGTGATCTGGGCGTGATTGGTGTTTTTCCTCTTTTATCTGTAAACTGTGTCCATTGTGTTTTAGTTGTTGCCGAATTATTACTGCTTTTTTACTCAAATGGGTCAAAAATCTGTGTAAGAAGATATTAACATGCCCTTTAATGATTTTTTTTTACATGTACAACGTCACTGGTTATTACTGTTTTGCCAAACGTATCATTATTATATTTATTACAACAGCTTGTAAGCAATATTTAAGATCTATCGGACTTGAAGAAAAGGATTATTTTTTCTAAAAATATGTGTAAGGCTACTTCGAATAACTGCTATGGTTGTTGTGTTCTCCTTGTAAATTGATAACTTATCATCAAAATGATATATACCAAATTCTATATAATTTGATACAGGGATTCTCTATATAATAATTTCAACCATGACAGGGTGTATTGACCCGCTCATCACATGAAATGTCAGGTAAACTAGCCAGAAACTCATGAATGGTGTATGCCCGGTGAATACCTGTTTAAATGTGTTTGGTTTAGTAATATGATAAATGCATTTAATTCCCACTCTCAAGACACGGACAAAAGGTTGCTTAACTACAACAAGGATGTTAGGATCAATAAATAATGATGTTCAAACGCTTAAAAGTTATAAATTAATTTATAGTTTTGCATTATAAAAGAAAAGTAAAAGAGATAAATGAATATTACATTAACATAACATACTGGAATGACACATATGCCTGACAATTATTTGCCCTGGTATTCAAAGGACCTGTTTTTTCCTCTTGGTTTATTACATCTAAAATAAACATGATAAAATTTAAACAAATATGCATCTTAACTTTATAGATAACCAAAGAGAAAAATGTTGTGCAATATTTCAGAAAATTCATAGTTCAATACGTTTAAAAGCTTTCGGAACTATCTGTTATTAAAGGCCATACTATAATTACTGAATAAACTATAACACAAAACGTATATTATTGAAAAAAAGCAAGAGAATAACATACAACCAGAAGTCAAGATTATACAACTCATCTCTTTCAAAACTATACCAATATTATTTTCTGTCACAAATGTATCTTTTAACTCAGCATTGTCTTGCAAATTTGATATGCAAGATATGTAAATAGATTCTTTAAGAATGTTTACGATTGTTACTAAAGTTGTTCTCTTTTTCTATTTATTGTTTATTTGGAGAAAAACAAGAGTGGATTTATTTCAAGATAAAATTCCTTTATAGATTATCGACTTAGATGATTAAAGTTACCTTTCACACCTGTATTGCAATGTGGTTTTATTTGCTTTCCTGTGAATAAAATTCCCTGTGATTGTTATATCCATTAAATGCTTGGTTATGACGTCTTCGTTGTCCACTTCATTTCTGTTGAATGATAAGCAAAAACTGAAGCCAAAGTCACAAATGCTAGCTGATAAAACACAACAATATGTTTCAGTGTAATAGTATGACCAAAAATTCATCCATATATTCAGAAACATTGGAAAGAGTTACACCATAGTATAATAGACTTAAATTGTCCCCCAAAAAATGTAGTTCTTAAAAATGATCCCTTTGTTAATACAGTGATTTTTATATTTTGTAAGACTATTTGAAGTTCAGTAAAATTATTCTGAATAACAAACAGAGTTATTTTTCAATAATCTGAAGGTATATGTTTTGCTGTGATAGATATTTATTTTCTTTTAATTCTATTGAAACCATTAGGTCATAGGAAGAAGGTAGCATATAGAAATTAGTTGATTTCAAAACTATATATTTTCGATTAAAATAAAATTTCCCATACCTTAAACGTCTAACAATGCAATCAGTACCATTTTTCCGTTTTTTGATGAAGGTGGATCTCACAAACTCTACGAATGGCATATCTAGGGTAAGAAAAGCATATGTATTGCTATGTAGTAACACTAGTTTACTTGTTATAAATTTAAAAACAAATGATGACATCGATGAAAAATACCAACAAACGACCTCTGCACAATAAAATTAACGGTACCAATTTTCTTGCACCAGATGCGCATTTCGACAATACATGTCTCTTCAGTGATGCTCGTTGCCAAATTATTTGAAATCCAAAGCTTATATAAAAGATGAAGAGCTATAATCCAAAAGGTCCAAAAAGTATAGCCAAATCCGTGAAAGAAATCAGAGCTTTGCATGAGGGAGATACATTCCTTAATTTATAATAATTTCTAATATTTTGTAACAGCAAATTTTAATAACACAAAAAAATAGTTGCATATGATATATTTGAACGTTTCAACAGGCACAAACCTGCACATTACACGTAAAACAGCAGTAAAACATTAAAAGAAAAGACGCACTATAAAAGCAAATAATTGAAAATGGCTTAACTCTGACAAAACAATTAACGAGTTACAAAAAATACAATTATAAACATAAGTATACTTCGCGACACAGTATTAATACAATAATAAAACGAATTTGCAGTATAACATAGACGTTACAGTTAATAATAAAAAAGGAGGACACATGATACAACTATTGCGACAAAATGACGTTAGATAAACCACTTTAAATTTCGCATGTAAAGTCAAATTTAAGAATAATAATTTTGTCGTTGGAAGTACGGAGAAATGGAAATAAAATGTGTTTTAAATGCATTGTTGACTTTCGAAAAGCCTTCGATAAAGTCATGCTCATTGGTAGTATCTATAAACTGCAACTTTATAATACAACTAATTATTTTTTATAGAATATTGACGTCTATGTATACTAATGGTAGGTTATGTATAAAAGTGGATGATAAAATGACTTTTACTTTTTATAATAAAATTGAGAATAAAAATGGGGAATGTGTCAAAGAGACAACAACCCGACCGTAGAAAAATACAACAGCAGAAGGTCACCAACAGGTCTTCAATGTAGCGAGAAATTCCCGCTAATTATAAGTTATTCAAATCATTTTAAAATCACTGATGATAAGTATGGCTAGTGAACATTTCCGAAGGAACAATATTGTACCTTCAACATCATGTGTCATTTTATAGTTGCTGAGTTCTTCGTTGCACACATCAACAGGAATAAAAAGGTTATCATCATTTGTTGCATGCTTATCATTCGTGTGGTGATCAAGTTTGCCACTGTCACCTAAATTTGTTGTATAAACGTTACAATTAACAAAAAAAACGTAATAATTTATAATTAATACTAGTTTATCTGTTAAAATAAAGCTTTTTTTGCATCTGAATGTATTTGCCAATTAGAAAAACTTTGCCTCTAATGCTGATTGATATCAATGCAGTAATTATGCAATCGAATTATGTAAAGTAAACTTATATAAATATCACATTTACAATACTTCCTTTAATACTTTTCTTTTTCAAAAACAGTCTACAGTGAAAAAACGTAAAACGATTTAAGGTAGATCATTACTGAATTTTTTTCTCAGACATAATTTTCTTATACATAGCCACAATTTAGTAGAAAATCAAAAGAAAAAGGGTGAAAATAAATCTCGTTTTCTTGCGAAAAATGGAAATTTCATTATCATTCCTTTAAAGAAAATTCACCAAATAAGTTATCTTCCGTTAATTAGCTCAGTTGACAAATTGAATCAAACAAAGACTGATATCCGGTTTTTACAATAACACTTATTTTTTCAATGATATAATGCACTTATTTACATTTATCAAACAAGAGTTTTAAAAATGAATAGCATTTATGTCTCAAAATTTGCAGTTTTAAATAAAGAACTTTGTCGCTTGTGTGCTGCTATTTTACAATTCAAGATGGCGATATACAGATATATAGTGATGATCTACCTAATTCAAAGATATAAGGCTTAAAAATGTGTTCCGTCTACGTAAGACTCATTAGGGTCGCTCCTATCGAAAATGTGAAAATGCCTAATGAAGAACAAAGTTAAAGTAAACTTATTTCATTTCGTTTTGCCAAAAACAATTTGATAAAATATCAAATATATAAATATGGACATTTTACTGATTCTATGGTATTTATCCCTTTCTGAGCACAATATTGATCAACATTTTACCAAACGTGGGTCATTTGATCGAAGTCCTTCCTTAGTCGAAATATAATAATGACGACAAATATTTTGCTTTCCTCTGAATTTTATATAATGACGTCATTGGAATAGGTGATCATGCCCGATGAAGTCAGACAAGAAGAGCATGACTTTTTGTAAATAATCTAAACAAATTATCAAATTTTATTGGAATCATTAGATTAACAGATTCCACAACTATATCTCGTGTTATAAGATATTTCCCAACTATCAACCGTAGACATTATTTTTTTAACATAGATTTACATATGCGTTACTTTAAACTATAACTGTAAAGGTATCTCTTTATGAGAGATAATCATAAATTATATAATTTCTATTATCAGTTACCTTTTGGCTGGAGTGACTGGTAGTGGTTTTCGAAAATGTGCCCAAGAAGAATAGGATTACCGGAAAAACCATCACAACCAGTTACCCAAAGGACACTATCCTCATTATTGGTACTGGGGGCACTGGTGACAATAACTATGTCTCTCTGTAGCATTCTGGACATTCCAATGACCACAACATGGTCTGCGTACTCTCCATTCTGTAACATCCTGTCACAGTAGTCCGGAAAATTGTCTTCAACGAAGTTTTCTAATAACACAATGCCTTGACTGCCCTATTGATTGAAAGAAAGCTACTTACATAAGTCTTTATTAACTACTGTACATTGAAATTGATTAATACAAAACAAATACTTTTATAACTACATTTTATCAAAAATCATCATGATCATAACATACATTTTTTATTTATTTTATTGTTTTTTGTCAATACCTATTATTTAGCATTGTACTATATTAACTGTAAATGATTTATTTAAACATCTGCAGAAAAAAGCATTCTGGTTGATATGAAAGTCTTAACTGATGCTTATTCTTTTATCAGTTTGTAAATCTTTAAATATTAAATTGCATTAATCACAGGTATTACGGGCAGTTACGTCAATTCCAAATTAATATTCTGTCGGAAGTATTTTTGATGGTATTTGTGTGTTAATAGCTTCTTAACTGATTTAAATCATATATTTAAGTTGTGCTGATGCGCCACTAACGTTGCCAACGGTTTTGATTTGTCCCCTGAAAACATGTCCAACTAATTCTTTATGTTTCTGTCCATGGAGGAGTTTGATAATTAGTGAATGTATTTAACAAGTAAATTAGTTTACCTCAAAACTAGGATGTGTTGATATGTAGTTTACAACATTTGTTCTTAATTGTTCGGGAGACATAACGTCTGCGCCAATTCTATCTAGCTGGCATGTGATTGCTTCAAAAAAACAATTCCCATTCCCTGGTGTTTGACCTCTGTATTCTAAGCCATGGGATGAACAGTTCCTCTTAAGTCTCTCAACTATTAATGTTTGTTCCTCGTTTGAAGCTATGGATTGCTTTATAGCAATTTGTAGTTCATCAGGTGTTTGGAATGATTTCCCTTAATATTAGAATATAAGGTTAAAATTTCTTCACTACAAATTTACCGCTAAATGACATTGTTTATACATACTTATGTGTATTCAATTGTAATAAAAACGTATCATTGAAAATATTACTTGTTTATTCAGGGATCATTTGACAGATTTGTTAAGAGTGATATGATTCTGGGTAAACTCTGAATTTTACAATAAAATATGAATTATGATTCTTTCATTTCTTTGTGAGGTTGTTGACATTCACCTCTTTAGAATTATAAATTAACTTTTTCAGACCTTCTGCTCTGAAATATTTGTATCACAAAAGTCTGACATTTTTGGCTATTCATAAATTTATTCAAAAACAATATTTGACTTTGTTATTCATGATTATTGAAAGCAATGATAATATGCTGGTGGTTGACTGGTTTTGTGTAAATTATTTTGTTTTGAATTAAACAAATAAAATGAAGATACAGAACCAAAAACATTCTAAAATTTGAATGATGGCAGCAACTAGATGCATGTAATTGGTATTGACATTTTGTTTTAGAAAATGTGTGTGGAGGTGTGTATGTGTGTTGGTATGTTGGTGTGTGTATGTGTGTTGGTGTGTTGGTGTGTATGTGGGTGTGCTGGTATGTGTGTGTGGGGTGGTAAAAATTTGATATGAGTCCTTTCTTTTTACTAATAAAGGGCATCATAAGAAAATTGAAATAAAACACTGATCAGTATTAAGTGAACTGCCAAAGTGTGTTATGTACACTAGTTTTGAGATAATAAACAAATGATAAAGTAAGGAATAAACCGCAAACCAATTCCGTGTAATGATGTTTGTCTTGTTCCCGATTTTGTGTTTATTGTCGTGGCTTTGTCAATTTGGTTATGACAAGTGGATTTGATTAAATGCCTTTTGAATTTTCTGTTTTTCAGTTTCCAATTTGCGTGCCAACAGATATATTCAACTACAAAAGTCTACAGTATTAACATAAAAATAACACTACTGTGTTATAAATGTATATCTATAATATAATACAGATAAAGAAATAAATCACCTGATGCTAAGCATATCTTTTCTTTCATCTCATTTGCTTTTTCTGTTAAGGTTTGTGCGTGGCGAAGAATATACTGTTTTGAATTTGTATTACATGCTAAAATGGTAGGGAAATATAATATTTGTGCGTGTAATTTCCTAGAATAAATCATATTTTTTCAATTTGCATATGTACACAAAAAAACAAAAACAGTAACAATTTTCGATTTGTTGGAATAAGATACTAATTTTGAAACACTTTTAAAAAAAATATATACGCAGTCGCTGAGCCATTACAAATTGGCCAAGGATAATTGATCGTAGCTGAATAAAGTTTTAAAAAATGAAGAGCATATTATCCATGCCATCGGTCGTTGTAAAATATTTAGCATAAAAGGTCAATCCGTGGTAAAATCAGTATAAATTCAAGCCTAAATGAATTATTTCTCAATTGTATGATCTAAACAGCGTAATCTATACAATACTGTATGAAAAATATCACGACATTTGTGGCGGTTTGGGCATAAATGAGAAA